TTCAGCCAAAACGTATTAAATAGATACATAGTAGTAGTACTCCAGATTTTAGAGTCGCGACTAAACCAGAAGAACAGTCATTGCAGAAGCGCCCAAATGTTTTGTTTAATTAAAAAAAAAAAAAAAAAAAAAAAAAAAAAAAGAGAAAAAAAAAAAAAAAAAAAAAAAAAAAAAAAAAAAAAAAAAAAAAAAAAAAAAAAAAAAAAAAAAAAAAAAAAAAAAAAAAAAAAAAAAATAATAAAAAAAAAAAAAAAAAAAAAAAAAAAAAAAAAAAAAAAAAAAAAAACTACCGCTCACCGCTTCTCGACCAAAAAAAAAGAGACACTCCTCAGAAACGCGAAAATCCTTCCTTTCACGACCATAGAAACATGACCAGAACAAGACTATTTGCGATTACTTCTTCCCACCCCTTCCAAACCCCGCCCCCCAGCTGAAACGAGGATGTGTCATGATTTTTGAGGCTGGCGCGTTTTTGAAGGTCCCTGTTGAATTCGTTCGTTCCATTGCCTATCAAAAAACCATCATTTGCATTGTACATGTGTGTGTGCGTGCATCGGCCACGCTCACCGCTCCTCTCTGCAAATACTTTTTCTCCCGTGGGAGAAACCTTGGACCCAACATTTCACATTGCATGCTCCTCCGTTCGTTCTTTTGGGCTCTTCATTTCGAGGCTCCCTTGGCACCTGGATTTCTCGAATTCGCGGGACCTTTTCCAAATATGGATGTCGTTCGCTGTCCACACAACCTCCCCCTTTACACTCTCCGAGGCCTGAGTTCTCTTTTTTTTTATATTACATATCGATACTCCTTTTATAATTCTTACCATTTTTTTTACCTCTTTCTGATCCACATATCCTGCCCTATCTCCCCTGTGTTATCTTTTAATCACCCGTGTATCTGCTTCCCCCCTTTCTCTTTCTCTTCTTTGTGAGTATTATCTCTCTCGCGACCTGACATTCTCCCCCATTTTTGGACCCCATAGTACAGACAACGTCATCTTCGGTCAAATCTGTTTCCGGATTGCGTCACATTTTTTAGCCTCACCGGCTCTTTACCGCATGCTGCGTTTTCGACTTTTGTTTTTTTTTTTTTTTTTTTCGTATTCAATTTTTGGCCGATCTGCCTTCCGTGAACAAATTTCTCGTTTCTTCTCGTTGTCAAACCTTTTTCCTGCCACTTTACTTCTTTATCATATGAAAATACTTGCGTACGGAGCTGAGTTTTGAAAATGGTCCCTTTTGTACGATGTACTTTTTTTCACGGTTTTTTTCTTTTTGCTGCCCTGGTGGAGGGACTCGTTCTCTCTCGTCTTGTGCTGAACGCGTTTGAGATGGACTTCATGGTGGCTTATACCCTGTGCCTTTGCCAGCTTTACCGATGCTTCTGTACTAGACCCCCCCCCCCAGCGCTTGTCGAGTTCTAGGGAAATCTATCTACACTGGAATTCTTCTCGTTTTCTTTTCTTTTTATCAGACCGTCGTCTTTTTTTTATTCCCTCATCCCGTTTTTTTCCCCCCTCCTCGAGTATACTTGCCTTGTCGTCCTTGGGTTCCTTTCACAGGGTCCTCCGGAACATTGCATCCCAGCCCGGGGTTCCCCTGTGTCCGAATCCGAAGAGGCCACGGGGTTTGGAGGGATTGCCCAAGCTGGCATCGTGATGTAGCACTGTAGGATTAGACGACCGTTGGCTTGTAGCATAATGTCGCAGCCGCGTAGATACTATGTACTACCACTGCGCAGCGCCGACGTCTGAACAAACTTCCGGATATTTCTTTTCGCTTCTTTTACCTTGATTCATGATGAGCTTCCGTGTTTCGCGGCTATTTAACTGGCCTCTGCGTTGAACGTGCAGGTTTCGCGCTAAAGGAGCTGGGGGACCAGTCCTTGCCCGCTTGACGTAGCACCGCCTGAGCTCGGGGGATACACAGCATCACAGGCGATACCGGCATTACGCATTCTATTTTAACTACACCAAAACATCATACAACATGACATATCTCTCCTACTTTTCCCCATTCGGCGCATCAACATCATCATCTTCGTCCTCTTTCATCACCATTCTCCCCTGCACATTCTTCTCAATCTCCCCAACCAAACTCTCCATATACTCCAGATCCGTCCCCACCAGCGTCACAGTATTCCTCTTCTTCCCCCATCTCGGATAGCTCCCCACCTTCAGCCCTCTGGGCGCCACCCGCTCGGCGAGTTCCGTCAGATACGGCGCCACGGTACTCTCATACAGCGGCGTCGCAAAGAGAAACCGATGGATCCCCTTCCCCTCGGGATCGATCAACTTCGGCAGCAGGACGGGCTTCAGACGCAGCAGCAGGCGCTCGAACAGCGACGGAACGCCCGGCAGGATGTACACGTTGCCGTGCACGATGGAGACGGGGATCCACAGGTCGTCGTCGACGAACAGCGACTGCTCCGCGAGCGGCCGCGTCGCGTCCGTGGGGATGTGCACCATGCGCAGCCGCGCCGTCAGCGTCGCCGACGGCGTGTCCCAGTCGAAGTCCGGCTTGGCCTGCTCGGGCTTCGACAGCCGCTTCATGCGCGCGAACGCGGCTTCGTGGAATTTTAGCTCCAGGTCGAACGCTTTCGCGATCGATTGGTACGTGATGTCGTCGTGCCTGTCATGCTCGCACCCCCCCCCGGCGCGTCGTAAGCTTCCTCAACTCGTAACTAGTCATGTATATCACACGCTATTCGCGTTGGTGGAAAACGTACGTGGGCCCGATTCCTCCGCTGGTCACGACGAAGTCGTACTTGTCGCTCATGCGCCGCACGGCCTCGACGATCTCGTCCTCGTCGTCGGCGATGACCTCCACGCGCTTCAGCTGGATGCCCATCGAAAAGCAGTATTTCGCGAAATACGCGGAATTGGTATCGACGGTCTGTCAGCCTCCCATTTCCCGGCGTCTCCCCGCACAACACAGTATACAGCTCGCGCGCGCGCGTGTGTGTGTGCGGGGAGCCGCAGGTACAAGAGACAGGAACGTCAGCGGACGAGGTAAGGAAACGCCCAGTAGCAAAATAAGACTACATGCCTTCCCACCGAGAACTTCATCTCCGATAATCAAGCACGCCGCCGTGCCAATGGCCCGCCGGCTATTATCCAGCGCGGTTCGTTCGGATGATGTCATGATGCGAGGGAGCGAGGGCGAGAGGGCGAAGGCGGCAGAAACAGCGGGACTGCGTAGGGCGAGAGAGGAACGGCTTGTCAGAGTCGCGATCCGGCTAAACATGGACGGCTAGCCGGTGTCAAATCGAGGGTTTGGAGAAGGGGGAAACACTGCGGGGAGCGTCGCGGTGGGTTTTTTTTTTGGAGTGTGAGGCCACACGGCCGGAGGGGCTGCAGAAAAACTATATGCGTCAGCCCCGCCAGCTCGTCGGCTCTTTCTTCATCGCCATCACTACCACGACATCCGATATCTGAAGTGTGCAACACTTTTTTACACTGCTCAAACTAGTCATATCTGAAGCTGGAGTTTTTGAAACATCAATAGGCATCATGGTATGAACCCACACTACCCATGCCTCCCGATGTGGGGTTTGCCGCTTACATTTTGGTTCGATATTATCGCTTCAGTCTGACACTAGGCTCTACACCTTCTCCCCGGAGACGAAAGAGAAGCTTCGCAAGTTTCGATTAGGCACGTCCAGAGCGAAGGATCCCCAGGCTATTATCTGTACGGAAGCCCCTCTTGATCGTCTCCTTGTAGGATCTCGATAAAAGGGCCCCAACTCACGTACTACTTCTCCCCGAGACAGATTTAATAGACGCCAAAACTCAAGAGATCAGACCCGCCGATGACCAAGTGTACTCCAGTATGGAGGACGTCGCAGACGAACTCCCTGATTCGTCACCGCGATTCATCTTGCTAAGCTACCCACTTACTCTGGTACGAGAAACCGATCCTGCCGTGCTCCCTTTTTTTCGTCTGTTGTGAGAGAAAATCATCAAAACTGACGGAAAAAAAGTCTTCCGGTCGACTGTCTGTGCCCTATGTGCTCATTTATTATCTCCCGGAAAACTGCAATCCTTCCTCGCGAATGAGCTACGCAGGCGCGGTGGAATTGATGAGGAACACCGCCGAAGTCAATAAAGTGATCGAGATTGAAGGCGAATCCGACGTGATAGACATCAAGTTGCGGCTGCTAGGGGAAGATTCTTGAGAGACCGGTTTGCACATGGACAGGGTAGAGCTTGTTCGGCGCGGGCGAACGGTGGGGAAGACATTATTTCTTGTTGTGCTCTGGTGGGAACTGGTGTTCGGCGTCATCCGCACGGAAATGATGAGCAGGTCTCCTGCATGAGGATATATAACCTAGGGAAACGCTGTCGTCCCACGTGTGTTTTGTGTTCAGGATCCCGCCCGGGAACGGGAGCGCCAGCAGGCATCAGTAACTCCTTAGTGATGCGCTTTTTTGGTATCAGACTTTGAAATAAAGAATGTGCCTCGTCATGCATGGAGAAGTGTTAATAATAATATTTCGCAGAACACATGCCTGGCCGCAGGGGTCTAGGCTTCTAGAAAAGTGGATTCAGTAACAACAAATGGGGCCTGAATTTTAGAATACCGCGAGAGGAGCGAAATACAGGCACATTATTATCCTCGGAAGCTCGTGCTGGCTTCTGTCGAGTCGCGGCCTTCATGGCTCGGTTAACTAACTATATGGGGTCAGGCAATCGACAGACCTAAGGAAAAATAGCTCATGGACAAGTCGACTTTCTTGTTCGCAAAGGCAGACGTAAGCCCGGCGTCGGCTCCAACCAATATCGCTGCCGATATTCCTAGGTTCAAGACGGCATTTTCTGATTCCACCGCAACAGGTTTTGCTCTCGCGGAAAGTTCCTCTCTCAGACTTTGAGATGGCAAAAAGCCGAAGTATCTTGGAGGTGTTGGCGAAGACAAGATACGAGGGTATCTATAAGGACGCTCCAGGGCTGCTAGCCCGCCAAGGGAGGCGTTCCCCCGTGCCCCAGGGCTCGACGGCCACCTGGATTGAAAAAAAAAAAACCTCTTGGGGATCAGCAAATAAGTAGCCCACACGACTCCATAACGAGCAGCCTGGTCTGGCGATCGCCAACCTGGAATGACGGTTTTATATGTTAAGCTTTAACCAGCTGGGAGGCAAAACTTCTGTTTCGGGGATGGCGCTGTGGAAACATGCGATTTTTTTTGAGTTTCTGCACCAAGCCCAGCTGTTGAATTTGACTCCCATGTGTTCGTTAAAGCGTGGCAGCCGAGTGTGGCGACTCTGGATCCTGTCGGGACCGACGATATCTTCACCACGCCGCGTCAACTCTCTCGCGATAAACATCGGCGGCGCTTCTGGCGGTCTGAGATGGACAGAGTACTAACCAGGACACAGCAAAAGGGTATCGCAGCATACCGCCTGGCAAACACTGTGGTATTGGTACCAGGGCGTTTCAGTACCGCAAAAAAGCCTTCCCAAAAACTCGGTTCGCCAGGGGCTCCACCCACAATACCACCGATACAGGGCTTGATACCAGTATCCATGTATTCTTCTTACTCAGCTGCCTGTTCTGGACACAGCTGCAGGCAAGAGTCTCATCCCAGGGGGCATTTCCGGCTTCGCTGTCCAAATGACGGATGCGCGCAGCAATCACCACACCACGTAACGGATAATTGGTCTCAGTTATCGTCGCGCCCAGCTGTGTTGGAGATTCCTCGGCCAGGTCAACAAAAAACAGAGAACTCATGACGCACGCTACACCCCTGATTCAGGGTGCAGGTCTGCGGGCGGGCTTGCCTTCCTTTTGATTCCCGGTAATCCTCCGGGTGCTGCCGTAATCATTTGCCATTATTATTATTGGAGATCCGCGCCCTCGTGTAGCGATGTCTCCTGCAGGCCCCAATTTTCGGCGATGAGCACAGCATTGGCTCTATGCACAATGCCCGGCCCTGCTGCACTTGCGAAACTGATGGTCTGCCCCCATGACCGTTATACCTGGGTTCCGATACCGCTCTGCACGACGGCATATGATGATGGGCATTGCAACGTATAATACCCGCCCAATGCATTCATCTTAAAAAGCGGCAGATTTCAGATTGCTCCCATGCACAATGCCATGACTCGCGATTGAAAAATACGCGGTGCGTACAGGCGTGTATGTATAGTTACGTATGTACCGACCGTATGCGGGAGCATGGTGGTAATTCTGCCTCGGTAAAGGGCGGTCTCGTTTGGGATAAGCATGACTCGTCACAGCATTTCTTCTGGAAAACATCGCCAACTTTTTTGTTGGAAATCCGGGGAAATCCCATGGCCTCGGGTTGGCCTCGAGTCAAGCAGATTCTGCATGGGAATTTTCGGGTCAGCCAAGTCCAGCGAGATATCGACGGCGCGCGCTCGCCTTTCGCACAAAACAGAAACAGGAGGGCAGAGGCGTGAAGGTGATTAGAGTGCCGGCTAGCGAGGCTACGAAGTGCCACCAATCGCGCCGACGCTGCACGCGCTGCTCCGGGCAGCGTTCCGTCACCGCACCAGTTCGCAGCGGGCTGGGCTGGGCTGGGCAAACCCAACGCCAGGGACGCCGCAGAACCGCTGGGACGAGACAAGCGTCGTACCGCTGTAACGGTACCGTATGACAGTCACAAAACGGCAGGCTTGGCCGGCGTCCCGCGTCTCCGGCCCGGTTCGCGGGCTGTGAGTGGCCTGCGCGCCCCGCAACGTACTGCCGGGTCAGGCTGCCCCGCCCAGCGCCAGCAACCCCCCGCGAATGAGATCGCCGCAAGCTCAATCCACCGTATTGGCGGCGTATCGCGCAGTCGCTTGCTTCGTCGCCGTCGTTCTCCTCTTCACCTCCTTCTCGCCTGCTCTGCGCTTTCTCTGTCCGCCTATCTGTCTCTGTGCGTTGTGCGTGGGAGACATCGTGCGCCCGGGGCTCAACGCAGCCCAGCAACACTTCTGCTTTAGAGTGCGGCGAGCCCGCCGACTTCTGCTCCAAATCCTACCCTAGGCGGCTGCAAGTCGGGTGGTGGAGGACGTGGACCAATCACTCCCGTACACCCTGTTCCACGACAGTCGGACTTGCACGACTCGACCAAGTCTCATTAACGGCCAGAGCGCAATCCCGGCGCACAAACTGAATCTGTCTCGCCACCTGTCCATACAATATCTGGCCCCGAAGGCCCGTGTTGCGTCGCCTGGGTGTTCCTCCTCCCTGATCCCAACACCACGGAATCGGGCTTCCGCCATTTTGTTGGCAGCCGCAGCTTGTTCAACCACGCCGACTGACGTGACTGGCCGCCCCTCACCTGCAACTCGCTCTTGTCGGTCAAGAGCAGGGGGGCTGTCCCTGGGTTCGCACCTCGCTTTGGCCGTCCTCCGTCCTTTTTTTGATACCTCGGACAGGACTCCCAAAGCAGCAATAATAATACGCAATTAGTTCACACTCGCTGCCTGTCTTAATTATGACGGAGCCCATCACACCCGCCGGCGCTAAGGACGATGGCATTTCGAAATATATGAAGCGCATGAAGACCGTCCTCAGAGGCCCTCGCTCAAATAGAAATTCGGTTTCAAGCCTCCCTGACTCCAAGGGCGACTCAGGCGCCGTCAAAGTTGGAACCGCTTCAAATCCCAGGTAAGTTGCCCCGGAATTTGGGGCCGCAATTGGTCCTTGGTACTGGAATCTGACCATTTATGATCACCAGTCCCAAACTCCCGGCACCCGGACCAGCTCAGACACCCAAGAAGGCGGTGTTGCCCCGCGTCCACGAGACAACTGGACGCTGGAGCACAATGCAGGAAGAGAAAGCTCGTGCGCTGTTTGCAAAGTACGGGTTAACGCTGGAGCCCGGCGAATGGGTGACTCCACGGTCCGCGCGGGAGGACGTCGAGAGGGTTGAGAAGCCAATCCGTATGAGGATTCGGCGCATTTGCCATCGATGTCACACAACGTTTGGGGCGGACAAAGTGTGCGTGGGCTGCAGTCATCTCCGCTGCACTAAATGTCACCGCTACCCGCCTGCTAAACCAAAGCCTGCTCCTGAAGTAAAGGGCGAAGTTCGCAGCACTGAAAGGGCTATCGATATGATTGAACGGCGACCCAAGAAGCCTGTTTTAACCATTCGGTCACGAACGGGCGGCCAGGATCTAGTCCGCAAGCCCATTCTTCAGCGAGTTCGACGCACTTGCCATATGTGCTCGACCATGTTTGCTGCCAATGCCACCGAATGTCGGAACTGCCATCACATACGGTGCAAAAAATGTCCCCGTGATCCGTAAGTTTATATTTCCGCTCCCTGATTCTTCGTGCTCTAGCTTATGCATTTTCTCCAGGGCCAAAAAAGATAAGTATCCAGATGGCTATCCGGGCGATGCTGAGCCGCCATTCGAGCCACCGGAGCGTGTATGGCGAAAACCAAGACGCAGGATACGATGGACCTGTGATTCCTGCTCCTCTCTATTTGCCTTCGGCGAGAAAGTATGCTCAAAATGCCAGCACGAACGTTGCAAGGACTGCATTCGAGACCCGTAAGTACAATTACTTGCAGCCAATGGTGATCTATAGACTAATGTATGTTGGTAGACCCAAGAAAATTAAACCGGAGCCCGACCCGGAGCTTCTTAGACGAGTGGAGGAAAAATTGGCCGCGATGAATATGTCCTAGCATTGCGATGCTGGTTTTGATTATAAACACGAGGTTTACAGTCCATAGTCTATTGTGATATCCATTTTGCTTTCCTCTCATACAGCCTACTCTTTGCCCTCTTCAAAGTGCTATATTTCTTTCCATCGACGATTTCTGATGACTCCTACGGCTCTACGCACGCATATTTCATTTCTCGAAGGTCTGCCATTATTAGCGTTGCTGATAACCGTTTTATCTGGCGCTACGTGGCTGGGCGAAAGCTCGGATTCTTTGCGATATACCACTCCCACTGCTATAGCTAGTCTACCTCTCTCGCTCTCCTTCTGCTCGTTCTATTACAGGGCAAACAAACGCCAACTTTAGAACGATAAATTACTTCTTCCAGTTAGACCAATGCACCCGGGTATGGGGCCATTCTTCAGTGTGAACCCCTGCTATTATGCGGCTTCTGTATATTTCATTTTGTATGTAGTTACCGACACCCCCGGTGTAACTGTGTTCTGCGATAGCCCCTATTCGGAATTGCGATTGTATCCAGCTTGTGTTCGGCCAGCTGGCACGATGCACTGTGGCCCAGTCTGCAGCCGACTCTCGCACCTGATAACCAGAACGGGTACTACGTATATATGTGCGTGTATGTGCTTAGACTGTACACAGCGCTTTCTTTGGTACACAGTTAATGGAATTATGAGCGATGTATCACATCCAGCAGACTCAGAGATAACAGAAGCCCAGCATATTTTTCTCCTGGCGTGATGCCAATTTTGCGAATCTATTTTGGTGCCGGATGATGTGCATCCAGCCCGTCTTAGCTTTACCGCGGCCGGCCCCCAATCAACCCCTGATGGTCCGTCTCTCATGGGTCTAAGATGCCTCTGAGAAAATCTCTTCCTTGCACTGTGTGGCAGTTTGACCGAGGTTCCCGCTCAAGCCAAGCCCAGTTACCAGGCGCTCATTGCGAATCCAACCCCCAGGTTGCTGCCGTTCAGTTACATCCTGGCGGGTCTTGTATGGCTGCTTTGCATGTAACTGCAGCGAAGCAAGCAGCATCTCGAAAACTGTGATCTGCAGCAGGACCCGAACGCTTGCTCTGCGGCGTCGGAGCTCCGCTGGCCGACGCCTCATCAATACTGATGCCTGCAGCTGGCGCTGATGAAAAAGCGAAGACATGCCGATCAGACGGGGTTCTTTACCATTCCTGGGGTTTGAATCTGCCTGACGGCGGTGGCCCGTGGGAATCAATGCACGCCTTTGCCTCAGCGCCGTATCACGCCACACGCCCAGTCGCCAACACGCCACGGTCTTCGAGCTTGCGAGTGGCCAGTGCATGCAGCTGTGCATGTAGGTGGGACGCCCCAAGGCCCGGAATGCAGGCAGCGGACTCCCCATCGCTACGAGGCCGAGCCGGACTGAAGGGTCTTGCCGGGTTCCCATGCCGTTTCATCACCCGGGGTGAAACTACTCGCCCTTCAACCCTCGCTGTCAACCCCCACGAATGCGCAACAGTGATAGTGGATATATATGTGGACATGCTCTGGACCTGGAGGAGACGCCGATACGGAGTACATATGTGCAGCGTATGCCGCGCTCCGATGCCGATTAATAAGAATCAGCAAAGCAATGCCGCGCATACCCTGGTATAGTTGAACACTCCTCGGCGTCGCAAGCTTTTCTACACCGAACCGCGAGAAAACTCTTCTTGCTTTCGATCCCGGCCTGGGAAGACTGCATTTGCGCCGTTACTCCGCATACGGAAAGCGTTTGTGGGCCTCAACCCTCGCTCTTGGATATATTTTGCTTTTTTTCTCTCAAGGAAGCTAAAGCTAGAAGGACTCCGAATGGTGCCTCGGAGTTGGGCTGGCATGCATCAGGAATGCGGCGGAGAAGCCTGATGGAATTGTCTCATCTGGTTATTAACACTCGGATGCAAATCCCGCAGCCTTGGTGCCACATGTGACGAGTACTCTGTATGAAGTACGGAGTACACCACAATTTATTTCTCGGTAAGGCAGAAGTGGCGCTGTTTTGAGATCGACCGCTTCCTTAAATCCTCAAATTTGAGATGCGAATACGGAGTGTGCGCCTACATACGGAGTATACATAGATGCTCCTAGGTATGGGGTACTTTGCATGCTATCGATTGTCCAAGGAAATATTGAATCGAATCCCGGTATGGAGTATTGTGAAGCAATTCATGGTGCGGAAAGGAGCAAAGCCACACAAGGGTGACGTAGCCTGCAAGACTGGTCCAACGAAGGCTCTTTGGTGGCGGCTGTACTCCGTGCATATTGTGTATGTACTCTGTAGTTACCCAGGGCTTCATCACATTTGACAGGTCGATTGTCACTTGGAAGCAAAACAGTATCAGTACTCCGTATATAGCAAAAAGGTCCAGGAAATTGAAGAAAACTCCAAGGAGATGACGAATCTCTTTGGGCTGAATCAAAAGGCGGCAACCACTTCCTCCACACTTTCCCGAAGGATTGGTTGAAAGCGTTGAACCGACTTCGCTGTCCAGTACCATGGTACAGTCCTGTCTATGAAGTTGCACAAATACGTACGGAGTACAATCAGTCGACAATCGGGATGCGCAAACGGGAAATGGTACTCCGTACAGTGGTTACCTGCTGCGTTGGCTAGGTAGCCAAAACGTCATGAGAGTAAAAAGAACGCACCAGCACAGAGCCAAACCCATCCAGATCTCCATATTTGCCATCAAGGTAACCGACTTCACGACAATGGCCTTTTGGATGACTGCGTCCCACATCCCAGGACAGCGTTTCTGTACGGGCCTTCCCGACCCAGGGCAGTGGTAGCTAATCGGATCGTCCCGCGCCAGTGACCAATTTTGATCTGGCCCTCGCATCAGCAACTTGTAAGCGGCGATATCCTCGCCTTTCACACCAGAATTCAAGGAATGGGGGAAGGAGGCCTTCTGAAGGTGGTGCTCCGGGCTGATAGTGCCCGGGAAGGAAGACTCAACATCCGATTTTTGGCTGTTTCTTGGTATTTCGTCGTCCTATTGCCCTGCCGCTCCATCCAACAGGATCAATACCGTACAGAGTACTCCGTATTTTTCGCTGCATGACTAAGCATAAATAAATACAACTTGTATCATGTCAAAAATATTTCAGTATGTTGTGTATGTAATGAATATGGTACGATACGCAACTGAATATAATACAGTACTTGCCCGCCTCTCAGTTGAAGCGATGGCGATCAGCTTGAAGTCGCTGCGTGAGAATCTCGAAACGCTTCTCTCTTCTCTATTAAGCTTCATCAACGAGAAACCCCCTCACTTGCCGTCGCGCTTATTTGGTCGCGGCAAGCTTTAGGGCAGGCCCTTTCCATGAGCTTGTTTTGTCCTCACAGAACATTCAACAACTTAAACATCGCCTTCGCACTGCTATCTAGACGCCTCTCCTTCTCTCGCCCAATGCCGATTTTTTATTGCGACAAATACCCTATGAATAAGAAGTGTCCATCAGATAGAACAAATCTTTCTTTCCTCTTACTGATATTCAAGTTGCTACTTTTTCAAGAGTGCGCTCAGATGACCCAAATTCCTACCCTTCGAAGCCTGAAACGCGTCAACCAAGCTCCAAAGGTAGCGGCTGTTTGGGGCGTCGGCACCGCGTTTCAAGTCTTCGCTTGGAATAAGTCACCGATGATGGGACGTAAAGAAGAAAGATGCTACGCTACTCGCTGAACCCGCCAGCCTTTGTTGGCTTGTCGATCGTGTAAGCGCTTGCATTCACTAGATGAGCAGCCTGCCATTGCATGTACAGAGTACGAAGTCGGAGTACTAGTAAGTCCGGTCGTTTTTGCCTTATCTCTTCTTACTTTCAAGAACAGAAGTCTCTTTATCTGCTTTATTTTTTTTCTTTTTTATTTTTTTTTCAATATTTTGATATTTCACGACAAAATCTGGACGGCGTTGCGCATCCGCACAAAATCCAGCGGAGAAACAAAGGAACATGTTACACAGCGACGACACTCAGCCGTGTTGTCGTCGGCCTCCCTGTACTCCGTACCACGACTTGAAATCATTCTTCGTACTCGCTTCGACATGCTGTAACTATGTCCGCTGTTTATTGGCCCAGGTCTGCAATCTCTCCTGGCGCCCTCTCGTTTTTCCCTGTCTCAATCACCGAATCCGGACCAGCGAGATAACTTACTACGTCAGGCATCGTCTGAACCGTCGAAACAGAGAGACAAGACACTGGCCTTTGCCGTGATTCCCTTGATTCACCCCGATAGCTTATTCGTTGCTTATCTTCATGGGGCGTCAGACGAAGCATGCCAAGCAAAGGACCAAGGTCTCCCGCGATTTGAACCTTGAAGAGACGGCTGTCGATCAGACACGCCTTAGACTCTATTCGTCGCCGTCAGACTGCAATTACGGCTTCATGCGGAGCGCTGCGCCAGGTTGCTTGCAAAGCAAGGAGCCCGAAGGCCAGTTTCGAGTGATCTCAGCTACACTGCCCCAATCACGCTTCTCTCTGGGGGCGGCAGAAGCTTCAGCTTGTGCGACTGTGGACGGCAAGTGTTGCATACTACCCTGGTGACCGACAGGGTATACAAACAAACATATCAATTACATGGCTCCATGTAGTTGCTTCCAGTTGTTTCACTGGCTTTCTCATTTCCGTGGACGCTGACTCGAAAACCTATAAGATATGAAGTCAAAGCTGGTTGCACCCGCGTCCAAATCGCCTGGTGTTGCCCATCCTGTCTCTTTGACCATTCTCTAAACTACCCATTGACCTCAATTATTGATTGTGGATGACCCGACGGAAACCAACATGCCTGGAATTTACTCTTATCTGTGCACCCTCGCTCTGGCGAGCAGCCTTGTGAATGCGAAAACGATCAATGTCAAGGTGGCTAACGGCGGCTTGAACTACGACCCCGACACTATTCGCGCCGAAGTTGGCGATGAAGTTGCTTTCCTCTTTACCACAGGCACACACGATGTCACTCTCGGACAATTCGACAAACCCTGCCAATTCGCACCGGATGCCTTCTGGTCTGGACAAATCAATATTCCTGCCAACACGCGAGCAAATGCTACTTTCACTATCCCCATCATGGATAGAAATACCAAGTGGATCTACTGCAGCGTTGGGAGACATTGCCAGCGCGGAATGGTCGGTGTGATTAACCCGCCGTAAGTACCTCCTTACCAGAACGTTGTAGAATGATATTTTATCACTGCGTATGCATTGAACGATTGCTGAGAGTGTCTTGCTTAGCTCTGGGGGCAACCAAAACATCGGTGCCTTTAAAAATGCTGCTAAAGAAGCTCCAGAGAGCAACCACCCCACAGCTATTAACGGTGGAAGCATCAACATCGGCGGCGACATTCAGATCCCAGGATTCCCAGGAAACCCCAGCACTTCGAGCACACCCAGCGGTACGTCATCGCAAACTTCCTCTACATCACAGCCTACAGGAAGCGAAACTACATCAGCCACTGTCACAAGACGGCCCTCCAGCAGCGCAACTGGATCTGCTACTGGTATTGGCCTTAACAGCCCTCTTCGTGCTCTATTGACCACGGAGCTAACTCACAACATTTAGCTAGTGGAAGCTCGACTCCTAGTCCTACTAGCAACGCCGCGGTGTCCACCTATAGCCAAGGCGTATTGAATGCCGTTCTCGCTATTGTCGCTGTTGGTGGAACGTGGTGTGGTTTGATGTAAAACATTTCGTAGTGGTTAAGTCTTTCTCTTTTTCCCCATATTCTCTCGGTATTTTCTAGGTATGGTATCTTTTTCGCCTCAACGACCTAGCCGACGAACGTTAACAGAGTTGCTCATCGCATAGTTGCCCCGGTATGCGCTATGAAAATTGAAGACCGCAGCCCGAGGTTGTTATGGGTCCCTTGTCTGATTATAGATCTTGCTTACCTTCGGATCGAGTTGGTGTTGTATAAAGTGTTTCATATTTTTTTTCTCGGCCCCGATTCCAACCTAGAGTTAGGAGCTCTGTTACATACATAACTACATTATTATTGTAAGCATGATTTGAGGATTCATAGTACCCATTTTGTTTTAGTGTCTGAAACGTGAAGGCGAGTTATTGCTCTGTAGGTAACCCTGTAAGATAACCTTAGTAACCATGGATCCAGGGTTTACCTCACTGGGATACCTTGAGTAGTAGCCCCTAGACTTCTTGTCACAACCCTCTGTTGTAATTTTTATTTGGCCCAAATTCTCCCCTTTTGCCCTTTTATGCTAAAGATGCACTATGTATTGGAATTAAGGTGGCAATAAATTGAAACCTGGTAGGATGACGCCTTCTATCTCATAAATGATCGCCTTGCGTGGTTGATGATATATCCTTCGGAGCATCTACTAATTATCAAGCAACTTGATTCTATCATAAGGAATATGACTTTTGAACAGTCGAATATTAGCTGTAAGATTGCCCAATGTAATGGAAAAAGAGCATGTAATTTCTATCATTCTGAAATGAGTACTATTGTATGTACCGTGTACATAGAGGCAAAGCCCGTCATGGGCTTTGGGAGGCTGGTTTCTTCTTAAAAGCAGTGCCGGTTGGTGCAACATCGTCGAGATGTCACCCCATCGATTACGATCGGATACGAATCTCTACAATACAACTAAAATTAAAAGTTTGCTCAATAACCATGGGAATCATTCTAAACAATAATGGGACCAACATGAAAGAATGGCTAAGCAAATACTGGAGCATCTGGATATGACCCATTTCTGTCGTCACGAGTCGTAGTGTCGCACCCTGCATCAAAATGTATTCTGGCCAGGCTCGACTACAAGAGCCTAGAAAAGAATTCCACTTTATCCGGCCAACAAATATGGGGTGGCACCATGACACATGTCTCTGACAAGTTAGTTGGAAAGGCGAGCAGGCGAGCCCTAGTTAGAAATTTGGAAGGTATTTTGGAGTCACCAGCCAGTTTACATCATAATGAATCAAACACAAATGGTCTAAGGAGTACGAGTACAAGCTTCAAGTACTAGAGCTAGTCTCGAAACGTAAGGTGCTTCTTGTATACATGAACTCAGTGTGACTGGCGATCAGAAAGCCGTGTACTGACATAGAAAACCAGCAGGCGTGATACCCCTTCGCCATGTGATGGCTTGAAGGTTCCATTCTAGTCCCTGGTGAGACCATCGGTGCAGAAAGAATTGATTTGATCATGCGGTATGAGAGAAGAGTGAATGACCAGAAATTGAACTAGAGTATACCAAAATAGGGTTGGCAAATCACCAAAAAAAAAAAAAAAAGGGGGGGGGGGGGGAAGAAACTGTACCATTATTAACCTGCTGGAGGTGCTCAAGTTTATAGAATACACCTCGACGTAGAGCTCTAGACTATGTGCCAAGTCGTTGACTTTGCAATTCGGTACCCATGTTCTTTTCATAATCGATTTCCTTGTGTAAATCAATCCTGTTGCCTAAGCCTCGCCGAACAATCCAGTCTTTGCTCTTGATGTCTTCTTCGACAACACCTTCTGCAAGTGGGGGGATTTTTTGACTACCACTCAGCCGTTTCAAGAGTACATCTTCCTCGGGGCGCGAGAAGTAAACAAGACTGTACCGTGTAGTGTCTACCTGAAGTCCAGGAGGAGACACAACTCGATGTATATTAGATCTGAGCAGGCCGTTTGTGAACTTGACCATGGCATCACCAAGGTTGATGATCGCATGGCCTGGAAGAGGACGGACATAACACCACTCTGAGTCCCTGCCGGGTGGGAGGATTTGTAGGCCACCAACACGGTTGAAAAGGACGGTCACGCTACCGAAATCAGTGTGCTGCCCGAGAGCAACGCGCCGATCGTCCACCGGCTGCGGTGGCGCTTTGATAAAGCGCACTTGATCGCCTGTGGCGTGGTTCAGGCGATGCATGTTGACGAGCGTCGAGGCAGGCAGTCCCAAATGACCATTTAGTAGGTCGAGGATAAGGTTAACAATGGAGTGGGCATTGGTCATGAACGATTTGAGCAAGGGCTTGGACTGGCTCAACACATCAGGCGCGGGCCAGTGAGTAGCAACATCAAGAATGTCGTCCTTCGATACCTAAAGATGGTTTAGCGCTGCAAATTTTGGTATTTTGTTGCAGATTAACGCCTTGATAGGTAAAGTTATGAATGTATACGAACATTGTAGAATTCATTGCGATCAGGATTTCCGTTTCGGTCAACTACGGCTACTCCAGCAGCTTTGTAGCCGAAATACGAATTTTGCTTGCTAAAATCGTATTTCTTCTTGTCTTCTAAATCAAGATCAAAGAGCTGTTCACCGAGAGCGAAGAGTTGATCTGCTTCGTCGAGTATTGTATTGCCTTGATTCGTGCCCCTGAAATCTAGGTAGAAAAAGCCCAGATCCTCGCAGGCAGTACAAAAACGTTCGACTTCGCTTTCGTCATTTTTCAGCAGTTTGTCAAAAGAAAGGCGAAGTAGAGGAGCGGTGACAACGTTGTCCGGAAAGGGGGGAATATTGGTAAAATTGTCTTCGTAGGACGACATGTTGATCAACTGACTAGAGGCCGAGAATTCAAGCACGCCTGCTCCCAAAGCGAGAAGCTTGCTATAACGAATCGCAGCATCGTGGTCGGCTTGATACTGGATCTTTATGGCATGTCTCCACGCGCGGGGAAGTCGAAGATGCCGAGGGCTGGAAGGCTTTAGTTGCCCTTCGGCCCCAAGTGGAACCAGTCACGGGCGGCGTGGCGCCCACAGCTTGCTTTGCCTCAAAAGTCGAAAGACTCGAAACCACCATCATGCAACAAGCCCTTGAGAAGACACAGCAGCAACACAGCCTTGTCTGAGATTAAACTCGCTTGTGTCTCTGAATAGGCCTCCCAGCTGATAGCATGGCAAACAGCCGGCAGACCTCTAGCTTGCCGCAGTCCCATATCGCGCACCAACTCCTCTCTCGCGCCCATTCCCCCGACACTGCAGATCAGGTATTTGCCGAGAAAGTCAGACAGAAACCACTCTATTTACGGCCAACTTCGCCTACACCAGCAGACAGCAGAGAACGAAGACGGCTCCATCGTCTTCGTAAGAAAGAGTATTTCCTGCGCAAACAAAAACCCAAGCCCCTCACAGCGCGAGAGAAACGTGCTCTGAAAGTCCATGACTTGCCAAAAGAAGAGCTAAAATATGAAATATTCAAGAAGCTTAATGGTTTATGGATTGAATACATGTGGGATGTGCTGGAATTGAAACACGATACGGGAAAGAAACCGAGTTCAGCACAGATAGTCACAGCAACAGCTCATGGCGCGAAGCTTGCGAGCGCAGACTTCCATGGTGCAGAGCTTCAGGTCGTCCGGAGTAAATGCGTAAGCAGGGTGGGAGTGAAGGGCATCGTCGCTCGTGATTTGAAATTTGCATTTGTACTAATTACAGAGAAAAATGAGAAAAAGAGTATGTGTGCAGGCATTCCTTGAGTGTATCCTTTTGTTTCTACATATTCGTATAGGCTTGGGGGAAAGCTGATATCGCAAACTTGCAGCAATACCAAAGGAGCATACGGTCTTCAAATTCGAAATTCCAGTGCCCACTGCTTCGTGTCTGGTCGATGGGTCGATGGATATTCCAACGACTTCAAAGAAGTTGATATTCGAGCTCCATGGAAGCCAATTCGAGAACCGTGCAGCAGACCGGGCGAATAAAAAGTTCAAATGGAGAAGTCTTGATTATATTTGAAGATTGGATAAAGTGAGCTGTACTATGCCATGAACCTATCTGAACGTTGTTTTATAGATAAGAATGCTAACTAAAGAATATATTCTTTAGTTAGCATTCTTATCTATAAGAGCTGGGTTTGAATGGTTAAAGGTTCAAATACCTATAATACATACCCATTGAACCCCTTGTGGCAGAAGAAGATGATGAAGCTGCCACAACTCTTATGTTTACTGGAAATCCTCCGATAATTCTGGCAACGTCGATAGAAAGCAATTTTTATGTCCACTGCTAGGTCGTGGAGGGTGCATCGAATTTTATGAAAGAAAAAATTGCTGCCCTTGTATTGTCTCTCGATCGTGAGGGTCGAGGGCAAGTGCGCACATTCTTAATAACCTTCCTGGAGACCTGGTTCTCGAAGAACAAGATTTATACCCAAGGTTCCCCGCCTGGAGTACTTCTTCCGGTAGTATACTGGTATTGAGGAGACACAATACCCCCTTCTGTGTCTCCCAAGTGCTGCACGTGTGTTAGGAGTAGCTTCATAGAGTAATTTAACATTAAATATTTCTAAAGATCAAAGATTTCGCTGGTTTTGCTTCACATTCCAGCCCATTCTAAGCTGAAAGCCCTGATTTGCCTTGTATCGACCAATGCTTCCTTTTCTTCCATGGGCATTTCACCACCGATTAGATACCCCTTTTTTACACCAGTTCCCAGACGACCACCCACCACCAAATCCATGAGGTCTATTTCTTCATCCCACGCCGAGGCAACAACGAGAAAATGAGAATGGTATCGAAGTGGATCACCCGGATAAGCCATGTACTGACATCCAAATCGAAGCCCCGGGGAGAGAAAATACCCCAGCGAATGCAAATGCGTGTATAATGCATAAGATGAAGGGACGCTTGGCAAATAACCCTCGGATATGGGTGGAGGGTTAGGAACGAGAGCGTGAGAATCTGCGGGTGTGATTCCAAATGCTAGCTCTGTGCCTGTTGATGCCCTGAATGTTGTTTTCTCATTAGTATTAGCTTCAGAATCAAAGAGTAGATCGCGCGAGGCATCGCTTCGATCTTGGCTATCAAGCAGATCTGGTACATTCGGTGCCTGCGTCTTGGAAATTTTTTGTTTGAGAGCCTTTTCCCTCAGATGTTCTTTTTTCTGAGCCTGAGAGAGAGCTGCTTCGCGCCCCTCTTGCCGCAGGCTGTGAAGATAGCGCCGACGGTCTTCAGCGGCTAGAGACTTTAACCCATGTTTGTGAATTTGCCCATCGTCCACAATATACGCCACCTTTTTTTCGACCAGCAGTCTGGCCTCTTCTGGCATTAATTCCACGGGAAGGCCTAGAAAAATGTTTTGTTGTGGTATTTGCGGTAACGTTCCAATGAGGACACCGCAAATATTGTGTTTTTGACGTAAATATGCCACTGCATCAGCCGAAAAGAGGAAAAAATGGCCTAATATTAAGGAAATAGGTATTGGGAGGTGAGGTGAATTGGGCATTATTAGCGATAATTTAAGCCAGAAAACTGTTGTGGTACCTGATGACACTCTAGTTAGTTCCTGAATAATATATATAGAGAGAAAAATAGCGAGCGACAAGTTGTAGCTTGAATCATGTATTGATACGTTTCTCAGTCATATAGTGTCCTTCTGGACTTCAGGGGATTGACAGATTATGTATTGAAGTTAATCATGTAAGCAACGGGATTTCAGTATAAAAGTTGACTTACAATATAGATAAGCTACAACTGAAACTCCTCGTGTTCTTGAAGAGTAATATCGACTTTCAAGGAAGATTTTTACTCAAAATGTGCGAGGCGGTAGCAGTTAAGTAGTTAATGAACCTTATTGGTGAGAACCATGACTAATCTGAAATATCACGTGACCGTTATTTCGGCCACCTAGAGACACCATTTCTGTCATAGGCCAGAGCAACAGATGTGAATGCACATCTGGCACCCGCAAAAATGGGGGTTTTGTGGCTTTTCAGCCTTGCTATATTAGCAGCGGCGTTGGTTCTTGGAAGTATGAAGTCTGCCTGTCTGGTCGCTGTTCATAACTAATGATGTTAGCTTGTATCGTCGTCGTGCTTTGTCCATCATTTCTCGGCTTTCGGTTCGCAGAATTTCGAGGCGAACATCGCGGTGGGATCTATGATCGGCATTATTTACGAACAATGACTGGCAGTGGCGCGGCACTCTCAGAGCAGATTGAATTGGACGATTTAGCCCGTGAAGACCTTGCATATGAAGACGACTATCATGTACGATAGGAATGCGTCAGAATTCGAGATCTGTTTTGGATGAAGTATCGCCCTGCTGTGCTTCATTATCACCGTCTACAGGAGGCAATGAAAAGGGTTTAATTGTAAACCTTTTCCTGCTGAAGCTAAAGGCCCAGTCTTCACCAGTGTTCCGATCTCCTCCTCCGCCTCGCTCATGGAAAATCGGAAGACGGTGGATCTTAAGCATTCCTTTAGGTGGTTCCTCTTGTGCCGTAGCAGCACCGGTAGCTGTTGACGAGGCTGAATCTGCAGAATGGGGGAAGGGCGTCAATTCAATAACACCGTCGCTCAGCAGTTCAATCCATCGCACAAGACCCGAAGACCGCGGATAGAGAGAAAGTGGCAGAGATATCATCGCTGTCATACGATTTGAGTAGGAGGATAATAGCGCTCGGACTGAATGTAAAAATTGGAGAACAAAGTCAGGCCTGCTAGCAAGGGGCGGGTAATATGCGGGCGACAAGAGTGATGGTACGATTACTCTGTGGACTGTATGTTGTGGGGACGTTGATATCGCTTCGGATAATTGCTGAATTACCAACGAAAACGGATTGCCCGGATGTGTGGTTTGGGGAAGAGGAATAAAATGTATGGAAGATAACCCGGGGTGTGCCAGGCGCTTTGTCAAATCGAATGTATGGCAGAATACAGCGGGTGCCGGTAGGGGTGAAGTTGAGGACTGTGGCCCTCTATCTACAGCCGGAGCAGGAGCTGAGTCGCACGTAGCGAGTTAGGCGCTCAAGTTATATTTGAAGATTTGAATAGTGGGAAAAGGCCCACATACCTCTGGCAGGAACGATCCCTGCACTAAAATCCCCTAACCTTTCATACCTCCATGCAATTTTCATCCTTTCATTTTTCGGTTTCTCGTCAGCTGTTTCCGATGCTCCGGTCAGGCCTGGCAAAGTCGCTGCCCACGGGGGCCCAAATCCAATAACATGGAGATGCTGTTCCTGAACAATTCCTTCTGCCGCATAGTATCTCAGTAATGCGCCCGCATAATCAGTAGTTCCGTTTTCTTCAATCAAAAGGGATGTCCCAAGCGCTAGACCACCGTGTCCTGCGAGTAAATTGTCCAGGGTGGAAGTTCCAGTAGAGGTAGTTTGTCGACCATCAACTGGCGAAGGCCGAAGTCCTAGCGGGGTAGGCTCTCCTTGGCCGGAAGAAATGCTGGAGGAGCTACCTCTTGGGATGCCAGTAGATAGACCGATATTCCTCCTGCGAAAAGACATGATTTGGCCGCCCAGTGGGCGAAATTGAACCTTATGTTGAGAGCGAGGAAATCATGCGAGTCCAGCCATATATTTCATAGGACTAGGATGTAGATTAAAACGGCACTAAATATTTCCCAATGCAGTCTAGCTAACTTACTGGGTAGTTAACAAGATAAGGTACTCTTCAGATTTCAATCATACAAAGTTCTCTTTAGACAATATTCAAACAGGTGGTGTTCTACTCAGGATATATCGCCGTTAAAGGCATCATCTCTTCTCATACGCCCTGAAATAAGAGGAACACTCTTCCTAGGTCCTGCCATGTCTGACCCAATACTCTTCGAAGACACCTTCACAATCACCGCCGTCAATGCTCAAAAATATGACCGCGTTTCTCGGATCAGCTGTACCTCGACAGACCAATTGGTCACTTTCACCCTAGACGTCAATACGGAACTCTACCCTTGCACTCCTGGGGATTCTTTATCACTTGCCCTGGCGTCCACATTATCCTTGGACGGCAAAGAGGAAAACACAGGGCGGCGTGCAGCATGGAGGGACGTGGGAATGGGCGAAACTACGTTAGCAAATGACTATGATTATGTGTGCTATGGAAAGGTATATCGGTTTGAAGATAGTAGCACTGCTGGAAATATGTGAGTGTATCTGTCAATTTTGACTGTAGTCTGGGTCGCATTCTACAATGGGGAACCCTTCAGGCTAACAAAATATTTCGCAAAATAAGGACCGTCTTTGTTTCTTTTGGCGGTTTGTTGCTATTTTTGGATGGACCCTACAAAAAGCTGAGCCCTCTGCGAATTGACTATCTGTATCTTTTGATAAAGAAATAAGCGGCACATATGAAGAACGATACTCGACATTAAAAGGTCTTGTGGCTGATAGCAAGTTTCTGGTGATTTGCATTTAGCGTTGGTGTTCTATCTGGTTAGGTATCAATGGTCTCTTCAGGTTATCTTTGTCTAAATACAAACAGGGACATCGATGTCGAAAAAATCTAAGTCGTGGGAACTTCGTGGCGGCGATGGATTCTCGCCTGGATTTCCAAATAGTCCTTCTCATTTTCTGGAGTTATGATGTTATGCCGAATAAAAAAGTCTATTATCACAACTGCGCAATTCGGCTTGAATTCTCCATTGGCTAGCGCAGACTTTACTTGGTCAATACTCCACAAGAAAAAGCCTTCAACTTCCGTATCGCACGGTTTTGGAATCACATGTGGCTCAACCTGGAGATCGTAGACATATTCACACTCAGGCTGCAAAAGTCCAGTCTCACCTCCTGCTCGTGAATCTCGAATATACGTGTATGTAACGCAACCAACCGACTGCGCGTTTGCCCTGACCAGATCTTCGGGCAGAGAAGCTTCCTCTATGGCCTCGCGGACTAAACTTTCGAATGGCTCCTCGCCGGTGCTGATTCCACCCCCAACAGTGTTGTCTAACATCCCAGGATAGGTTTGTTTTGTTTTTGCCCGTCGAGCAACCCAAATTTTCAGTCCAGTTTCATCTTTAACATAGACCGTCATATGTACACCATAAGTCATGATACCAAACAGATTGCTTCCAGAACGTTCAATGCTAGCCAGCAATTTCTTGCCCGGTCCATATATCGGATACAGCTCGTTACGCCAGCCACGCAGGACTTCAAACACATCCTTTTCCGCTGCAGCAACTAAAGTACGAGAAAGGAGTTCATCGCGCTGTTGTACTGTTGCGGTGTCAGAAGCGAGGAGCGTGACAGTTCGCAACTCGTCATTTATTTCCCAGATACCTGCTGGCCAAGGGAATATTTGCACGACAGCTTTAGGAATATATCCAAGTCGTGCAATACATCCTGATATTTTGAAAGAGTAATAGTTGGAGACGTATTGCTTGTAGTAAATGGGGTCATCTTGGTAGTAAGGGAACCTATCGGGGAAAAGATCAGCAAACTTCTGTGACCTCTTCGTAGATGCATGGAGAGAACTGCAAATTAAAGCTAACCTATCACACTCGTTGACTAGATCCAGATATGACTTCATATTGGGCGACTCTGCAGCCAACCGCAGAACAGAGATATGTCGCGCTCGTGATGATAATACTGGCGGGCCCTGTCGAATACCCCGCGATGCCTGTGCGATTACATCATCCAAGGAAACAATCGCCCGCTTCCACCAGCTTCTACTCCGTAGTGAATATTACAAGCTCTGCCTTGTCGTGTCTTTGGCATTGAAGCTATAATGAATGTTCAATGTGCTGGTCGCAATTTTAGGAGCTCTTACTACTAACGAGCTGTCCCATCTTACGGCGTAGGAAACGGTGGTTGGGCACCTCAGCTCTCTTTCTTTCAACTTTTACGCATCTACCCACCATTAACAATTGGTGAAACTCAAGATGTTCTCCGTCGTCTTACCGGGTCGGCCATGTCTTACAAATCCTGCCACTATTCAGTCTGATCCTAATTCTCCTGCGACGAACTTCGCTTTCACATTCCCTGCATGGCCCAAGTTCTCACATATAGTCGTTTTTCTTCTCCCTGGCATTACACTTCCTCCAGACGCTGCAGCGGCGGTATATATACATTTTTCAACCAATCAAGATAACAACCTCCAGGGATTCCGCTTTCTTGGAGCACTCGCAAATGACAAGCCTTCCGCAATCTTCAGAGTCAACGATCCTGTTCGGCCACGCACGGAAGCGGAGGAGGAAGATGAAATGGTCGACGAAGGGGTCCCGCCTTCCCCTAATGTCCAGATGACTGTCACGCTAGGGATATCAATTGAGCCTACGTCTGATGTTGCTGCCAAGGTGAAAGCTTTGTCAGAGACTACGGAGCTCATCAAGAAGACTGATGCACAGCAACGACCAAATATATCAACAAAACTACTAGCACAAAGGATCATTGGAAATGCGTTTAACTTTCTATCGAGTTTTGCGACGTTGAACGGCCGGGAAGAGATGGTACCGCTGAAAAGTTTCCGAGACTGGTGGGCAAAATTCGAAAGAAGGATAGATACCGACCCAGGATTTTTGGAAAGAGAAGGAACTGAGTAGCGATATTCTCAACTATGACTGGTTGTTGATACTGGAATGCAGCATATTGGCAAAAGGTGTCAACTTATAATGCTCCTATGAATTATATATGTGTATATATTCCTTTGAAGCCTTTCGGACTGGGAGCATGTATGTATCGGATTGTTTCAAGCGGTCTGATATATTTTTGAATCTTTCTGGTCTTATTCTTTTTAAGTAAAGAATTAATGGTATCACCAAGTCGCGCTAGCTTCTATATAGCATAATCAAGTTCTGGGGGGTTATGCCGGTTATGTATCAGAATTAACTGAAATACCCCCGTGTTTCGGGATACTCTATACTGCACGATGATTCTGTTTTATGGTCATTCCTCAGCCGCAAACCGAATGAAGGCTTTCCCCACGGCGATGCCATCATGTTCCCTTGCGACATTCTCCATTCCCTCCTCATAGATCCCGGGTGGGAAGGCGCCCATATATTTACGAGTATGCAAAAGCTCTATGACAATCTCTTCAGTAAATTCAGGGTGACCCTGAACAGATATAAATCGGCGAGGTGAGTACATCCCTTGTACTTCACATCGGGGCGTGAAACCAAGCGGAATAACTGCCGGCGGGTAGTTATGGACTATATCGCGGTGCATTTGCTGCAAACGCTAAAGGTAAAAATGGTATGTTAGACGGATGTTGATGGTAATGAAAGGACATTGAGAAGTATGCACCAATTTTTCCAAGCCGAGTATTTTCTTTCCTTCCTCTGTGAGGTTAATATCATGGACCGAGACTTCCCATCCAGCATCGTTTGGACCGACTTTAGCGCCTAATGCCCTTCCAAGGATTTGGTGGCCAAAGCAGACGCCAATCACGCGGACGCGATCTTGAGCAAGGATCTGTTTGGTAAAGTCGACAAGCTTCAATATCCAGGGAGTACTATCATACGAATTATATCCTATGACATGAGGGTTAGCTGCATACTTGTAGTAAATGAAACACAAGATCAAAGGACGCACTTGCTCCTGATATCAGTACCGCATCAATATCTTCTAGCTTGGGATATGAGTCGCTCTTGTTCACAATGTCCCACTTGGAGATCTGCAAGCCCGAGTCGGTGTCGATCGCATCACTCGGGTCTAGAGTCGCCGCAGATGCACGTAGTAAAGCCTCGAATACACCGCCGTAACCGCCGTACTTATTTTTGGTATTCGTCAACGGCTCATCGCACTCAAGCACGGCGATTCGAAGTGGTGGTCTCATGGCTCCTGGCCGGCAACAGATATAAATGTCAAGGAGGACAGAAAATATGGGGGAAAGACCGATGTAAAGAAAGAGGGGTGAAATTCCCCATAACCGCGCTTGGTTTTAAGGAGCTTCCAGATACCTTTCCGCTGGTTCCAATGGTTCACGATGCTCTGACGCATCACGGCCGAGATCCACGATGGCCCCTCCCATTGGCCTGGGCCCTTTACCGCTTCGGCCTAGACAGCGGCAGAATGACTCATCTGGGCACATGACCGACTTATCGCCGCCCTTATCGGCAAACTTTATGTCGGCTCCGCCGGAATTCGAAGTTCGGCGCGACATCGGGGATCAAGGCTCTCAAACTTTAAACACATCAAGCTCACCCCAGGCACAACGGCGGAACCATCGTCATCCAACAGCTTAGAGCCAGTCTTTTGGCTCGAGGAGCGGGGAGAGTAAGTGAAGAACTTCACCAGGCAAGTTGGGCTTTCTTGTGCACTTTTGGGTGCTCGTCACCTCAAGGCTTTACGATGGTGAATTGCAGCTCAGCAGTGGCGGCCACTGACGGTGGTCAGGTGGAGTATTTCAGTAGATTTCGTCAACTGACAGCAATTATATTACCCAGGCTTGCAGAAGTCGACACAAACTGACATACGCAGAGGCGATGGGCGACCAGGTTGTGTCTCAGAATGCCTCAGAAATAACACCGCTACTCCAGAATGCGAAGACTAAGAAGCCGGATATGAAGAAGTCCTCCTTAGAGCCAGGTTTCGCCACAGTTCAACCAAACCCTCACAGAGATGAAAGTAGAACTGCTTTGCAAGAAATTGAAACTCCTACTCCAGTGGGCCAAATCATACCGAAGGCTAGTCACTTCATTGATGTTAGTACCGCTCAGTTCTGGACCATCTTCGCTGGCATTTTGTTTTCGTATATCGTTGCTTTTTTTGATTCTACCCTGATGGCCTCGATACACCCTGTTGTCACTTCGCATTTTAGAGCCGCAAATTCCGCTTCGTGGCTGTCGACTGGGTTCCTCTTAACATGTACAGCATTTCAGCCTGTTTTTGGCCGACTTTCCGATACTTTTGGTCGGCGACCAGTTTACCTATTCTCAATTATGATGTTTTTTGTTACAACTGCTTGGTGTGCTCTTGCTCAGAGTATCGAGAGCTTTATCATCGCAAGAGCGTTCTGTGGCTTTGGAGCTGGTGGCGTTATCTCCCTTGGGATGATAATGAGTTCAGACCTCATTTATGTTGAGTATAGAGGGATCTATCAATCATATCTTAATCTTGCTTTCGGGACTGGTTCATCCCTTGGTCTTGCTTTCGGAGGCCTTCTAGCGGACATCTTTGGCTGGAGAGCTACATTTGCCATCCAATTGCCTTTGATTTTCACATATCTGATTGTGGCTTATTTTACCACGCCGGCTTTTCTTGGACCACAATTTGCACACAAGGAGGAATTTTCTTTGCTACAGGCTATCAAATCCATCGACTTTGCTGGATCGTTCTTACTGGTAGCTGGTGTAACAGCGTTGATGCTAGGCATCAATTTGGGAGGAAATGTGCTATCATGGAACCATCCGCTGGTCATCTCCTCGTTGATCGCCTGTGGCTTCATCACTGCATTGTTTATCACAGTTGAGCGCAACGCAACACGGCCTGTGATGCCTTTGCCACTCCTTTTCAGTGTTCCGCGCGCGAATTTAATACTCGGCAACTTTTTTGCGAGCTTCACCAGCAATACAATCTTATTCAATGCTCCCCTCTACTTCCAAGCGGTTAAACTAGAGTCTGCCACTGACGCGGGTTTTCACCTTGTTACAGCCTCTGTGATACTTATGATAAGCAGCGTGCTTACCGGTTTTCTAATAACCGCAACACGACGGTTACAGCCTCCGCTTCTACTAGGAAGTGTGTGCTTTATTCTAGGGACTCTGTCTATGAGTGGTCTGCAAAAAGATACCCCCAGTTGGAAAGCCTCTTTGTCCATTGCCCCGTCTAACCTTGCACAAGGCCTGGCGTTCCCGGCGATACTGTTGTCTGTATTGGCCGCTACTAGCTCCGACGAACAGGCGGTTGCAACGACTACGCTCGGCTTATTCCGTAACCTCGGATCCGTGATGGGCATTGCCTTTAGCAGCTGGACCCTCCAAACATCCCTCCTCATGTATTTGAACCAGTCGGTTACAGGTGTAAATAAAGCCGAGATTATTGGTCTTGTGCGGAAATCCGTTGCTGCCATTGCAAAACTTGACCCAATCCATCGAAATGAAGGTACGCAGCCCAAGGAGTTTGGTAAAGAGTTTTGCTGATGTATAAAAGTCATTTATGCATATGAGAACGCGCTACGTGTGACCTTTCTCTCAACAATTTTCTCGTCAACTATGGTTTTTATTCTGATCGTTCCCCTTAAGCTATCGCCTTTACGAAGGAGGGAGTAAGTTGCAGTCTCTATTGTTGAAGCACTCATGGAATGTTTGGTAGGTTCATATGAATTTCGTATCTTCCCGCAATCTTCGTGTTGGGAAATCAGATTTGACCCGAAGATTTGCACGGCTTACCGGCACGAAGTCAATTGATTAGTTAACTAATTGGAGTGGGTGGGTGGCTAAGCAGATCGTTCATTATTTCGGGTTCTTAGATTCATGGAATCATGGAGGCGAGTGTCTCAAGAGTTCAATGTGAAACACAAAATGTCGTTAGACACTGGTTAGTTAGTTATCAAAGAGGACAACTATGAAGACTTCATGCCAAACAACTTGTCTGCCACAAGTGCCACTGTGCCAAACGCCTTTTCAACACTGTAACTGGTGATGTCCCTTCCTTGCCAAACCCGGCCCTCCCCGCTAATTACCCACCCTCGTAACTACATCATCGCATCTTCGCGTTCAATCGATCTCTGTCGCCTGTTGTGCGGCTACACCTCCAGTGTTCTCGGCATCCCGCTCGCTAGTTAGTTACATATTGACTGAGCCACGAACCAACGCGCCGGAATCCAGAACGGACTCATAGCTTGTCGAGACATCCGCACATACATCAACAACACGCATAAAGGCATCAGTACGAATTTCTTGTTGCTTTTTTATCCAGTATGTTTTTCCATTTTGAAGGTACCGTAGCTAACGTGTAATTGAATGGAATTCGCGCAGATACAACGAGGTTCCCTGCAACCGCGAACCTCCCTCCCTCGCTTTGCGCGCCCTCGAACCCCCAGCATCGAGAATAGTCTTCCAATCACCCGTATAGTTACTCTCCTCCGGATAGCTCCGGAACGACAACCAATCCCTGAAAGCGAATACCAGCGATTCTACATCAACCTTGGCTCGTCGAATCTGCCCTTTTCGACAGCGACTGGGCATACCCGTGGTACCTGAACAAATTACTACGCGACAACAATTTTACAGAGGACACGGTTCTAGTATTGAATACCGTGATAGATGTGATTGTGAACGGGGAACACTGTTAGACATCGGGCGCAGTCTTGCGCCTTGGGGTATACCCCTCTCCGATTAATCTGTTTCTACGGAGTACAACTATACATTTTGCATGGACCACAGGACATTGGACGATACCAATGTCATCAACTGTTGGGGGACACCTGCTTCCGCAGAACGAGTTCGACATCCCCTTGAACCTAGGCACACCACCATCTGTGCCCATCTTACCTGATTACTCCGGCAATGAGGGACCATACCAGATATCTGCGACTGTGGATTCGGGGTTACCGCGGACAACCCAAGGGCAAGAACCCAGCGGGCCATTAGGTGCTTGTAGCACTCCTGCAGCGGGAGCCAATATTGGAAAACTGACTCTCCCACCTAAACCGAAACGAGTGCGCACTGGGTGCTTAACGTGCAGAGAACGACATCTTAAATGCGATGAAACACTTCCTCGTTGCCAGAACTGTCAGAAGTCAGACAGATTGTGCAAGCGTGGAGTGCGTCTTAATTTCATTGATACACAAGTAGCGGCGCCACCATATGCTGTCCCATCGAGTCACGATTGGAACGTCAATTTCCGTGACGAGTCGCGTGAGATAGCATCTGAATATCTCGGTGGCTATGAACGGTATCCCTTATTAAAAAAGGGATCAATGCAGCCACGCCCAATGCCCACATATGGATATCGTGATTCGCTGACAATGGCCACACCGCACCCGGGGCTAACAAGTGCATCGCTTCTTACCTCGTTTTCTGAACAGTCACAACCGGATATAGCAGCTGAGCCAATTTTCCATAGTACTCCTCAGGCGCCAACAGAACCTGGGTATCATGATCACTCAATAGCACGTTCACCTTTCGATACCCCGAAACACCCCCTTACTGCCTCTCATGATTCTCGACCGTGTTTGAATACAGCGGAAGAAGTGCTACTTATGCAGGTATATGTGGAGGAAGTGGGCCTTTGGATGGATTCCATGGACCCAGGTAAACATGTATGTAATACCTACCTAATACTCAGGCATCTTTCTTGGCTAATTGAAACGAGTAGTTCACTCAAATACTTCCTTTTCACGCACTTAGCGAGCCGATGCTTTTAAATGCTCTTCTAGCATGTGGAGCCCGCCATTTATTTCTCGTAAACCCGTCATTTGGTGAAGAAAAGGCACTATATTATTACAATATTTCGACTAGAGATCTTTTAAACTGTCTGCAGGATCCGAATCGGGACACTGTCTTGTGTGCTACTACTGCCGTAGTATTGAACGTTTATGAGGTGATGTGTGAGAAAGCCATGCAAAGAATGAACCATATTGCTGGTGCCCGTGCACTGATCAAAGAATGTCGTTGGAATGCCAAGTCAACCGGTATTGGAGGTGCCTGCTTTTGGTTAAACGTTGGAATGGAATTATTGAGCTGTCTTCACTTTAATTGGAAAATGGCCTGGGATCCGGATACATGGGACATCGACATGAACATGACTTTAAACCAGGGAAGCATCGCGGGTGACGAAGAGTTTTGGACCCATCGTATGCTTTATATATGCGCAAAGATCGCCAACTATCGGGCTGGTGTGGCGTACCAAGCACTAGATCGCAATGCCGACCCTGGTGTAAACCAACGTTGTGAGGAGTGGAACTCATTGCGAGGCTGGTGTGATGAATGGGCGAGATGTGCACCAAGGTCTATGATGCCTTTGGGCTACTTACACCCTTGGCAAACGAATTCGAAATCTTCCTTCCCTGAAGTCTGGTAAGTTGATTCGTAAATGGTTGCTCTTTTATATTCTAATATCGATGTCCAGGCTTGTGAAACGCTCTGCGATTGTTGGACGACTATTCTACCATACTGCCTGTTGTCTACTCGCAAAAATCCATCCCACAGAATCGGCATATTCTGATGAGATGCTCTCGATGCAGCACAGCCATGCTCACGATATCTGTGGTATAGTAGCGCATGTAAAGGATAGGTAAGCCACTTGTTAAAATAACTCTAGGAATGGTGGCTAATCAAAGTATAGAGGCGTTGCCAGCGTTTCAATTCGGTGTCTGGCGATTGCGGCCGAATGCGTCGTTGGCAGGGAAGCACAAGAAGAAGTGATCACAATGTTGGATAAAATAATAAAGGAAACTGGCTGGCAGGTTGGTTTCTTGCAGCACGAACTTGTTGAAAAATGGGGTTGGCATAGCACTTCCACACAGATGTCACCTCATCAGCAACAGCAAATGGCATCAGCTGGCCCTTCCTCCGACCTCGGATCATCATTATTAAATTCTGCATTGCCTAGTGCAGGCCCATCGAGGCCCCGGATGCCACAGGGAATCGTTAATCCGCTGATGGCGACCGCCGACTTTTCATTCGACAACCATCCGTACCAGAACCATTACGTTGCCCCCCACAGTAACCATCTGAATAACTACCACTACGGCTCTTATTAAGGAATCCCGGGAAAAGAGATACCCGAAGCTGTTGGTCTGACCACGATCTGCCAACTTTCATGACTATATTTGGATTTGTTTTGAATAAACAGAATATTTTGTGTTATAATATACTAGCATAATCCGATTATGCCAACTTTACTCCGTACTCTGAGTATAACCACGAATTTGCCGTATGCTCGTATGTATGTACATAGAAAACTTTTTTTTTTTTTTTAATTTCCTTTTTACTCGCGTAGCCATGGTTGAATTACTCCATTCAACCGTGATATCTGTATCTTCAAGTTGCTAGATCCTATAACTACACAGTTACGAGTTACATAAGCATGTATACACATGTCTACGCTATAACATAAAGATAGCGGCGGAACTTTCAGCCCATTCTTTGCGTACGGAGTAGAGCCGTGAGACTTCAATGTGAGCGTACTGACTAATCCGAAATAGCCTTTTAGTTAGTTCCCCGTTCCCCAGCCATTGGCCAAAATCGAACTTATTCTCAACATACAATGGACTTGTCGCATTCGCAGGCTCAGCGGCCTCCTGCTACCCCAGTGTACGTTCTTCGGGGGCATGCTGCCGCAGTGCATGCAATACATTTTTACAGCGACAATGTAAGGCTGGCTTCTGGAGACGCGGATGGTTGGGTTATTATTTGGGACATTACTACCAAACGTCCTGTCGCAGCTTGGAAAGCTCATGAAGGAGCAATCCTCAACCTCAAAAGCGTTGATTCTTTGCCAAATACTGAAAGCAGAGATGAAAAGGATGAGATGTCTAAAACTCAGGAAAAGAAGATCTTTACGTATGCACTCTCTTACTAGTATTGCGTTCGCCGATATACTTATATTTCCTACAGCCATGGAAGAGATAATTATCTACGTGTATGGAGGCTAAATTCAGATGATGAGGAGATCCTTGATAACAGGCTCCCTGTTGAAGAGAATTCCACTTCTGATAATAGAGCTGAACCATGGTTGATCTACTCAGTCACCGTGAACGCGCTGAACTTCTGTGGTTTTGCAATTACCACTAGACCCAGTTTAAGTCATGCTGCAAAAACGGCAAGTTCTGTCTGTGAGACGTTTATTGCAGTTCCAAATGCCTTGGATACTGGTGGTATTGATATTTTTCATCTTCCCACACAGAAGAGAGTGTGCATCCTTCATGCGGACAGAGCAATTAACACCGGCATGGTAATGGCATTACAGCTTTTTTTCTCGCCTAATGCTGATTTATATATTGTATCTGGTTACGAAGATGGCCATGCTATGGTCCATGTACAACGAGGACCCATTATTATTACGGAAGACACAGTTGATTCTACTGTTTCGACGTTGACGTGGAATTGGGAAAAAGTATATTCAAGTCGTGCTCACTCGCAACCCATTCTTTCGCTGGACATTTTTCCAACTGATAAAAAATATTTTTTAACGTCCTCGGCCGATGCGATCATTGCTAAACATCCGATTCCTGTTGAAATTGGAGACTCAAATTTGAAGAACGACGCACCAGTAAGAGTAGTTAATACAAAGCATGCAGGCCAGCAGGGCTTGACGATACGATCCGACGAAAGAATCCTAGTCACTGCTGGATGGGATAATAGAGCACGTGTATATTCATGCAAGAGCCTAAAGGAACTAGCTGTACTAAAATGGCACAAGGAAGGTTGCTATGCGGTTTCCCTCGCATACGTTGAGCCAGACATCAAGAGCATGAGGCCGCCAGTTGACTCCACTGTTGCTTCGCCAGTTAAAAAAGAGCCTGAAAGTATTGCTTTGACATTAAGGAGTTCACCTGGATCTCTGGCAGGGATAAAGCAACAACGACATCGCGAAGCAACACTCACACATTGGGTAGCTGTGGGTTCTAAAGACGGGAAAATTTCTTTATGGGATATCTATTGAATTCAAGGCGGCAATAAAAAAAACGTCAAACCAGTATGCTGGCTTACATGGATTTAAGCAATATTAAATTCGCTTGCCCCAGCCATATGCTCCTTCAGCTTTCGCCGCATTTTCCTCATCGCTTCAGCTGTATCTGTCGTGGAAACAGCGTCATATCGTGTAGAAGAACGTTTTTTCTCACCGGTTGCAGGTTGGCGAGAATCTTTAAACGACTTATTTGTGTCCTCTTTACCCGGCCTCAAGCCAGGAACATTAATTTTGGCAGGTCTATCTCGCAAGGCAAAGCTTTTCGCCAAATGACCTAAATGCAAGTCCTTGATGTTGAATATGTGCCGTTCAGCAGCAACATGGGTTGCGTACCCACGTATATGGGATTGATAGGCCCTTCTAGCCATCTCTAAAATGTTTGGATTTTCGAGTGCCCAACGTTCAATATCCAGCTGCCATTCAGTGGCCGAATCTTCCCACCCTTTACTAGTAGTGTCATTGTTCCCTCCAAAACCACGCTTTAGTATCTCGTTAGCGTCACTTCTTGTTACGGCACCTCCACTACCTTCTCGATAGCTACCCTTCAGTATATCAACGTAACTTTCTTCTGGGCCAGGCAGAAGAAATATTAGCGCACGGCCATCACGGCCCAAACGTGCTGTGCGGCCGATACGATGGAGATGATCGTCAGAGCAAAACGCAGGGTCATATTCGATAACAAGATCAACGTTAGGTAAATCTAGACCACGGGCTGCGACATCTGTGCAAATCAGGACAGAGGCATCTTTCTGCCGAGAAAATGCTGTTAAAGTCGTTGTTCGAACGTGTTGTGGTAGAGAGCCGTGCAATTTATGTAAGATAACAGGGTTAGAAGGATTAGAAAAGGCAGTTGCTGTCGCAATAGTATTGCAGAGATTTGTATTTTTAGCATCCGATTCCTTTTTGGGTTGATTCTCGTTAATCAGGTCTTTACTCTGAGGAGGCCTGGTGAAGGCCTCGAAGTGGAAGTCCACAGAATCTGCACAGGAGACAAAAACAATCGCTTTCATAACCGAACCCTTACGTGCAAAGGTCCGTTTTAGCGAGGCCATAAGGGTCACCAACCGAAGCTTCGCGGCAACTACTGCGTACGATTGCTTCAGTTGCGCAGGAGCCGAAAATTCAGATTTTCGCGAGCCATTTTCAGCAGATATTTCATCATCCTCGTCAGTAGGGTCTGCTTTAATATGTAATGCATCTGTCAAGCTGATTTCTCCCAGTCTTTGCACATTCATTTTCAAAGTTGCCGAGCATAAAATAGTTGTTCTCTTCGCCGGTAGGTTACGTATTGTGGCTGGTTTTAGTCTCTCATCCAATTTCTTTATAATTCCAAGAATCTCATCTTCAAAGCCCAGATCCATCAATCTATCACCTTCGTCCAGCACAAGCCAACGGACGTTGCTAACATCGAGCACTTTCGTATTTTCCAGGTGATCTGCTAATCGGCCGGGTGTGGCGACCAAAATATTCAACCCTTTACGCAACCGCGCTTTTTCAGACTTCTTCTTTTCTCCTCCAATTACGGTGCCTGCCACAATCCAATGAGCGCAACGGAGTAAGTTATCTAGCACGATAGATATTTGTTTGCAGAGTTCTCTTGTTGGCGCCAGTACAATGGCAAACAACCCCGAGTCCCTGTGGACTATATCACTGTCTCCTTTTTTGTTATGGCTTGAAATTCTGATAAGGTGCTCGACGACAGGTAAGAGGTAAGCTAAGGTCTTGCCAGAACCGGTCTGGGCTTGTAGGAAGGCATCGCCTTTTTCCTTCAGCAGCTGAGGTATTGAACTCTTCTGAATGGCAGTGGGGGTCTTTAGGTTTAGCTTTGTTAAGAGATGTGTTGCTAAGCCAGTAGATAGACCAAGGGAAGTAAATGTATCAATCCCATCAACGAGAGGTGCATTCGAGGGCTTGGGCGGCTCTGTATTTTGGCTCTGGATTTTCACCTCTGCAGAATCATTCTTGGCAACTGGGTTGTAGGTGAATAGCGAGGAAATAACCTGCCTATCTCCAAGTGTGCCGCGGTCAGCTTGTTCATTATTCGTAGATCCGCCTCCAAATATTGGTTTGGGTGTAGGCTTGAAATCTCCTCCGTCCACTCTGCGGCGCTTTGCGGGCCGCTGATTTGCCAGGACACTGATTTTATTAGGATTCTGAATATCGCTCTTCGGATTTCCTGCTGTCTCCCCGCTTTTGTTTTGTCGCTTGACAGCAATCTTTTTTGCGACTAGGCGATCTTTCCACGTCCCACCTTTAAAGCGTTGCTGGGGTTTGATTATGCTCTCGTCCAGGCTAAAATTGAGAAGCATTCCATCCTCAGCCATGGTGACAACTGACAGCCCTCTGGCTCTCCTGTCGTTGTGATGGAAATCGACTTTTGGAGAGCGAGAAACTCGACGTCGAAAAAAAAATATTAAGACTGGAGAGCTGGTTGGTCAATAATTTTAGAAATCTTTAATTGGTTTAATTATTAGAGTTCATTTTTAGCCCAATATAATTGGCTACCCATACAGAGCAACAACTACCACACAAAGATTAAGTCGTCGCATACGGAGTACTGATTTTGTATAGCCATCATAGGTACGGAGTATATAAACTGTTTTAACAATGCCGTAGATTATATATATAGATATGCCCTTCTGATAACGTAGTAAATTTAGCACGCTATCCAGGAAAAATAAACCAAAAAAATCACACCATTCATGTCCTTGGTGGAAGGAGAATATTGTCAATTAATCTCACTTGAACAGCACCTCCGCCTTGTCCGCAATCTTCACCAGGCTGAGGCTCTTCAAGGGGATACATCTTAATTGCACCGCTCAAGACTGCTCCTCTTGAACCATCAACGGTGTGTAATTCTTGAAGAGATTCATTATCTGCAAGGGAAATGTAATCTATGTCAAATCTTGCGCGTTGGCGAGGTGGCAGGTTCGCTTGTTCCTCAGAAACGACTTTTGCAGTTCTGTATGCAGCCTCAAGGATATCGTTCCTGCTACACATGCCGGAGAGATAAGCATGCTCAGCCTTCTTCAAGGCCGTCCAAAGAACAAGGCCAACCTTCCGTCGCCGAGCACCTAAATAAACATTACGAGAGCTCATTGCAAGTCCATCAGACTCACGTATAGTAGCGCCAATTTTAACCTCTGTTTGCAAATGAAAATCCTTGACCATCCTTCGGATTATCACTGTTTGTTGCACATCTTTTTGGCCAAAATAGACTCGTTGCGGGGTCATGATGTTGAATAATTTCATACAAACTGTTGCTACCCCACGGAAGAATACTGGTCGAGACGCGCCTTCCAACTGCCTGGCGAGAGGCGTGATCGTCACGAATGAGCCATCGCCATCGATCTCTGATGAGGGCGGCAGGGTGGGGTACATGACCCGGGTGGTGGGCGCAAAAATCGCACTGATACGCCCAGAAGGTCTTGCTGAAAATTCGCGATTCAATTCTTCTAGCTTGCGCATGTCTTCATCCCAAGTGCGCGGGTAGCTTTCGAGGTCTTCATTCACTCCAAACTGTGTGGGGTTCACAAAGACACTAACAAAAACATCCGTGTTCTCCCTCGCAGCTTGTCGGATAAGCGAAAGATGCCCCTCATGCAATGCGCCCATTGTAGGCACCAGCCCAAGAGTCTTATTCGAAAAGAGAAGCTGCTTCCTGAATGCACATATTGCAGGAACATTCTGGAAGACTGGAAAACTAAGGTTATTCAAGTTAGACGCGGAGCCCGCCCCGGTATAGAGTCTACATGATATCGCTTGATATACGGATTAGTATTATTTGTCCATCGCACTGCTGCTGCCAACTTACATGAGAACAACCTCACCGATCGGGGCATCTTTCAATGTACCTAGTAGGTAGAATTGACTATTAGATAGGCGCGAGAAGGAAGCTCATTGGAAACGAAGGTGCGCAGTTTCAGGCAGAAATTTTCTTTTTTTTTAGAAAAGCCCAATCCTAGCCTGTATATTCAGCTCAATGGTAGAGGGCGTATCGCATTCTTAACCGCTGTGAATGCGCTTTATTAGATTTCCGAGAGCCATGATATTATCTAACTAGCCTCTCCAAGATTAGCGCTGCGGGTGGCCGAGGTCCATTGCGGAGGTGGAGAATCTTAGCCTCCGCGCTTGTTTTGCACGGGAGGATTCACGTCGTCACTTGACGGCAAAGACAAATTGGCAGTCGAGTCGGCAATATAATGGCGAGAGCTTCCAGGGTTAATGATTCGGATTGAGGGGGACGGATCATGGGCCGTCATCGAGGTATCCACACGCATCCATAGCTATCACCGTTTTCTCCGTCCACGACTTACAAATCCTCGATCTTCCAACCAACATGGTGTCAACAAAAGGAACCGAGACCCCTTCCGGGTTTGCGCCTGATCTCGAAATTGTAGGAAATGAGGTCCGGATTCAGCCCACCGGTTTTACCACCCACACCGGTGCCGCAGACGATATAACAGAACGGAGATTAGTACAACAAATGGGTCGCTTTCGACAAAATCCGTTCGAATTTTTACGGGAGATCAGCCTTTTTGTGTCAGGTACAGGGTGGCGTGCATATGAAGACTTCATTGGCCAGCCTATCTTCTATTCAGGCTTTACAGAGAAAGTGAAGTCCGAGGTTCTCAGTCATCCTCTGCTTCAGGGCAAGATTGCTGAGTTGGCGGAGTTAAGAGTGGGCGTTGAAAAACAGGAAGGACTTCTCAACAGCTCCTTGGATGAAAATGGCGAGAAGACCTTGCGCCGGAAGAATGAGATCATAGTCAATCTGCGAGAGGTCGTTGACACAATGACTGACAATATGGTTTGCAAGATGGAGAGTAAATCTTTCATTAGAGGCGCGTACTATATATGTACACAACTTCTTACGAGAGCTTATCATCAAGGTGAGTTCTTCCCCGCGCCAAGGATAGTCATCCTCTAGCCCATATCTGTGATCTCTCCATACTTAGTCCATCTGTGTAGGAATTCATGTCTCGAGCGAAGAAGTGCTGCGCCTAAGAACAGTTGCAAAAGAGGCAGCCGAGAAGAAACAGTCAATAATCTTCTTGCCTTGCCATAAATCCCACATCGATTACCTCTCTCTCCAGATTATCTGTTACCGCCTTGGCATCGCTCTTCCTATTGTAGTGGCAGGCGATAACTTGAATATTCCTCTCCTAGGACCGTTTTTGCAGCATGCTGGTAAGAACAATAAACAGTTTCCTAACCAGCTTGTGGGTGGTTACTAAATAGGAAGAATAGGTGCCATGTGGATTCGTCGTAGTTTTGGAAACGATCCCCTGTACAACACCCTTGTTCAATCTTATATTGATACTCTTCTCAGCAATGGTTATAATTTTGAATGTTTTGTCGAAGGTGGTAGGTCTCGGACAGGGAAGCTCCTCCCCCCAAAGTACGGTATTCTCAGCTTCGTACTCGATAGCATCGCTTCTGGGCGCGTAGAGGATGCAATAATTTGCCCTGTCAGCACGCAGTATGATAAGGTAATAGAAACAGAGTGAGTACTACTCTAATACTTCGATTCCAACATTGCAATACTAATAGATGGTTAGATCCTATATTAGCGAACTCCTTGGCCAACCAAAACAAAAAGAGAATCTCCGGGATTTCTTATCATCGTCCTCTGTCTTATCTCTGAAACTTGGCCGCGTGGATATCCGCTTCCACGAACCGTGGAGTCTAAAAAAATTCATAACCGAGCAATTGACCAAAGTTGGCAAGGTGTCAGGCAGCATTAGCCTTGCACAACACATGGATCCTACTGAGAAGGGTCGTATTCTCAGAAGCCTGGGCTATCGAGTTCTCTCACAAATCAATGACGTTTCGGTGATAATGCCCACTGCCTTAGTTGGCACCGTCCTTTTGACACTCCGCGGGCGCGGAGTTGGAAAAGCGGAGCTTGTTCGCCGAGTTGACTGGCTTTGTGGACGAGTGCGAGCAAAAGGCGGACGAGTTGCACACTTCTATCGAGCTCCTACTGCGCAGGTAGTGGATCGCGCTCTTGATGTCTTGGGCCCGAAATTAGTCGGCTTGGTGGGCGGACTAGCAGAACAAACCTTCTATGCAGTAGACCGGTTTCAGCTTTCGTTCTATCGAAATATGACTATTCATCTTTTTATTACAGAGGCCCTGGTCTCTACTGCGATGTATATTCGTGTGAAGCAAGGCGGTGGACCAGCAAATCAGCGAATATCTTATGAAGAGTTATTGTCCCAAGTTTCATTTCTCTCGCAGGTTTGTCTACTGTTCAGCCCCTAATATGACAACTAATTTGCAGACTAATTATTGTAGATATTTCGCGGTGAATTTATCTTCCCTCCTGACGGACTACTTATCAATCTCGAGAAAACTCTAAGTGGCTTAGAGCGGGATAAAGTGATCAAAATTACCAGGAATTCAGTTTCTGTTCCCACAGTCATTGAGCTGAGCGAGGAAGAACGGGAATGCGGCCGGGAAAACTACGATTTTTACTGCTTTCTTATCTGGCCATTCATCGAGGCTTCTTGGCTGGGAGCCGTCTCGCTCATGGGGCTTACACCGCCCCTTTCAACTCCGTCCACTGCCTGGATTGACCTGAAGAAAGCTCAAGATAGTGCTCAACTAGTATGTACTTTGCTCGTAGTCTATGACTCCCACAAGCCGTGCTAACTTTAGGATTTAAAGTTGGGCAAAACACTTTACCACCAGGGTGACTTGTCGTATTTCGAAGCTGTGAATAAGGAGACTTTGAAGAATGCATACCAAAGGTTTGAAGAAGAAGGTATTATAGTTGTTGCTAGAAGCAAAGAATCTGGCGCTGGCGCTACAATGCGAATTTCCCCCAGCTGGATGCCCGAGAGGGATCCTGAAACCGGTAGATTGTTGCCTCGAGGCAAGCTCTGGGATTTTATGGATTTAATAGCTCAGTCGAGACGAGAAGGGTAAGCTAATATCTCTTCCGGTTCTTGTGTTGCCTTTTACTTACCTTTGCCTGCTCTAGGAAAAACCGTCGAGATGGAGCAACGGTATCTTCTCGGGTTCTTTCCATGAGTGATACTGTCGGGCAAGCACTTTTCCGAACCACAGCATCTCGAGGTCTAAAGGACGGACTACAATTGTCGACAAGCCAAATGAGGCGGAAAGAAATCGGGACACCGTCTAAACTGTGATGTCGTGACCAAGAGATTTATCATTTTCTATACCCCATAATCTTTATTTTAAATCTGTCCCTGGTCTTGCTGGACTGCGCCTAAAAGAAACTTTTATCTATCTCATTGTAAATATACTTACTTATATGGGTGCGTGGCGCGATTACGTGTAGAGTCAACTTTTTTGAAGAGTAGTTAAGCTAACATAACGACGAATTAGCTCATCTTTACAACATAGACAACATTTCTAGGCCCTATCCGATAGGTGTTTCTAATGAGTACATAATATCTATTGTCAACCTTATCCTCTCTGGTGTGATATCTATAGCATTAGAAAGCAACCATCTCTTTGAACCATCACCTGTCTAACCGTCGGCCTGGAGGCGGTATCAATGTTCTAGGTGTGGTTCGAACCCGTCATAGTTGGCGGGATCCTACTTCATCTTCACAAAACTCAGTATGAAAGTTCCTGAAAGCTATAAGCTGAAATATGCTCTTCTAGAAGCCATAATCAGCCGATTCTTCTCTAGATCTTCTCCAGTTCGCAGTCGTTGAGTCTCCACCCCTCAACGCGTATGACATAAGTACAACTTTAAATCTTCCAATTCCTGTTCCCCTGTGACTCTAAAGGAGTGTTCCTTTTGCTAATATAGAATAATTTGTGCTTCACCATCCTAGAAAATACTGGGTATGTCTGTTTTCCCAAATTCTGATTACTCAATATCTTTGACGGCCGGAGAGCATTGGGACAAGAGGATCCAACCATACTCTTGACAATCGGCCAGTATCTGTGGAATGTTCCTGAATGGCTAATTGCTTATAAGGCCGAACTATTACCATTCTTCCTTCATTGAAATGAAATCCATCGTGTTTCCATCCCATTTCAAGACGTCCTTCTAAAACCGTGGGACAATCTGTAAAAGCAGCCGAGGATATGAAAATAACAAAAATCTCGATGGTGTCAGGTTTCTCCAGCCTCTTTGGCCTGTGAGGATATGGAAGCCCTGGAAGCGTTCCGGGGCTGTGAGTTGCTCCTCCCTGTTTTCTCCGCACAATCCTTATATATAGCGGGGTGACTAAGCGGTGTTTCAGGCTGATGGTATTAAATTACTAGTTTATACAACGTACCTCAGCGTACTATCCATTCATTGGTAACAAATTGTTTCAATCCCCGACATGCCATAATTTACGAGTGCTCATTGGTTAATACTTTTAGGTTCCACACCAAATTGTTTCGATACATGTAATGCTATACTCCATACAATCCCTGGATGTACGACGATGTATAAATGACGCTATGATAAGGAAACAGCTTTCATCAGCGTTGCATCTTTGCCCTGATCAGCTTTTAATTACTCCAACAACCTTTTATCGTTCACTTGAATACTTCTACTCTATTTCCTCGCTGCTATTACTCGTTCGTTGCAGTTGAGCACTGTTTAATCTCACTTTTACTTGGAAAAAAAGGCATAAACCGCTAGCCGCTTCCTGGAAGCTTCATTCAAGCACTCAGAGATGGCCATATGTCAATTATCTTCTTAATTCATACAAATGGGGAAATGTAGGCTCTGCCTTACAGCAATATATTGATGGCTTACTGATGGCAATTAAATTCTTGACAGGGAAATACGCCGTGATCCTGGACGCTGGATCGTCCGTATGCTCGCCCTTTGTTACACTCGGAATGCCTCCGGACAGATGAATGATGTAACATATTTCTATAGGGGACTCGCGCACACGTATATCGATGGCAGGATCCTGCTGTAACGCGCCCAAACCGGAAAATAAAAGATATCGAGAATCTACCTGTTGTCAGCACAAAACACAAATGGACTAAAAAAATTAGGCCTGGTATGAATCATGCTCTTTAGAGGTACATGTCAAGCTCCTGCCTTGCTGACTATTTCAGGCGTGTCATCATTTGCTCAGAAACTTGACCATCTTGGGCCTGACCACCTCAAACCGCTTTTCGACCATGTTCTTCGCGTTATTCCCTCGGAATCTGTGCAGGAAACACCAGCCTTTCTCCTTGCAACGGCTGGTATGAGGCTACTGCCTAAACAAGAACAGAGACATCTCCTTACAAGTATATGTTCATATATACGCGAAAACACTAGCCTTTCCCTACCCGATTGCAGCGTCCACGTCAAAGTCATTGATGGAAAAACAGAAGGGCTATATGGATGGATTGCGACGAATTATTTGCTAGGGGGATTTGATGCATCTGAAAAGACAAATCATGGAGCGAGCCATCATACGTATGGTTTTCTGGATATGGGCGGCGCATCCGCGCAGCTAGCTTTCACCCCCAATGCTACGGAAGCACGCAAACATTCGAATGATTTAACCTTACTACGCCTCAGAACAATGTCTGGTAAGCCGAGAGAATATAGAGTATTCGTTACTTCCTGGCTCGGGTTTGGCGTGCGTGAAGCGAGAAATCGCTATGTGGCAGCTCTTCTCAAAGGGAAAGGAAATTCCGACAAACAAGAACACCTCGACCCTTGCCTCCCCGAAAAGCTAGCAGTCACTGTTGATGGTACTATTATTCCACCGCAAGTTTCTGCTCCGGAAATGAAGCCATACCTTGTTGGCACAGGGAAATTCAATGAGTGCCTGCTGCAAACAATGCCATTACTCGCAAAAGATGTTCCGTGCGAAGACAACCCTTGTTTGCTAAATGGCGTTCATGTCCCTGCCATAGACTTCAACGTTAACCACTTTGTGGGCATCAGCGAATATTGGCATACTACCCATGACATATTTGAAATGTCGCACAAAGATAAAGCATATGACTTTCATACCTACCAAACGCGTGTTCAAGAGTTTTGCAACATGGACTGGAATGCGGTAAAAGCTGGAATTTCAAGCCATAAATGGGGCAAAAAGATCACTGAAGAAAAAGCATACGAACTCTGCTTCAAAGCTGCATGGATCATTAATATTCTACATGACGGCATTGGGGTTCCACGGGTTGGCATTGAGAACGCGCATAGCTCGACTTCAAATAGCACTAAGGATGTTTTGGATGATGAGAAAGAGCAGGGATTTCTTGATCCCTTCCAAGCCGTCAATAAGATCGACTCAACAGAAGTTAGCTGGGCTCTTGGAAAAGCAGTTCTCTATGCATCTTCACAAATGGCAGCTTCTAAGGACACCCTTCCTGTTGGCTTTGGTAGCAATGTCCCTGGTATCCCGGACGATTTTCAATACCCTTCCTCGTTGAATGTTCCTGCATCGCTTCCTCATGGCTCTCACCCAAATGCAACAAGCGAACATTCGCATGATGATCTGTTTAGCGGAGATTCGCCCCGGCGAATTCCTGGTATTTTTCTTTTTCTATTAATCATTTTAATTGCTCTTTTCTTTCTTTGTGGTCGTGATCGCAGGTCGCATGTGTATCGAAAACTTGGGCTTTCAAGAGGTCGTGGAAGTCCGCGTAGACCGAAACGCTTTTCACCCACAACATTTTTCTCGTTCTTCCGACGTAGGAGGAGCGTTGGATATGAACATGTTCTTGAAGAAGGAATTCGTGATTTTGAGCTTGAGGTTACTAACTCAGATGATTCTGATCACTCCCCTACAACTTCACTTCAGTCATCAAAGTCTGGGAGCTGGAGTCGGGTCCAGCATCCTCATCAATTAACACCAAAATACGCCATCGATAGCCCATCCCCTCAGAGCGCTGGATCAGCGTTAGAGATTGAAGGAGTGAATAATCATGCTGATCGGACTGGTTTGGTTATTCGAACTGAAAGTCGAGACCGATTATCTCCTCTCACGCTTGGGCCAACCCTTACCGGCAGGAAATCCAGAGCATCGAGCCCTGTTCGACACAAGAGCCCACTCTTGAACATTTAACACGGTACATATTAATTAGGCGCTTATGTTGGATACTTGAATTCTCTGTGCCCCTCTTGTTATGTTTTAATGGGGGTGTTCGGCGCGTAAAACGAAGAACGACAGGGGCGTTTAGGGCACTTATTCTGCATCTACTCCTCTTTCTCATGCACCTTTTGAATAGATGTCCGCCCATTCATGATAAGCAAGTAGATGTGTAATTATATAGAAAACAATTGGTTTTGAGACAATTTCGATGCATGTATGTATTTATTATAGATGTGAGCCAGATAAGGTATTTTTGACCTTGTTCTTCAAGGTTGGTACACAGACGAGTCTTCTATTGAAAATAGACCAGGAACAAGAGATGTTGGCGTCCGACACGCCGATGCAACAGTATTGATAATAATGGTACCCGAGTTACATTTTCATTTCCACGACCTCCCCGTTACCGTCCATGGCAGCCTTTGGTATCCGCCCCTCATTTAACTCTCGCTCCAATTTTGCGATCTCCTGCAAGCTCTTTGCCTCTCGAATCATTTTTTCCACTCGCTTCCTCTCCGAGTCTGTTAATTTCACACGGATCGGCCTCTCGCCGGCAGATGACGAATAATCACCCGTTGATGTGGCGGATATCGAGGAATTTTGAAAGGCACGAGATTTTATGCCTAGAATCTTTGTGGCTAGCGAAGATGGCTGTTTAGGGGAACCAAATAGTTCAGCGGCTTTAGCACGTTCGGAATCCTTCACTTTTTGGAAGTCAAGGAAGCGGACTGAAGGAAGCAGCCAAATTACCCAGTGGCGATAATGCTATATTGGTTTACGTTTAGTCTAGGGATTGAAAAAATTGCTAGAGTATTGACATACCTCCTTTCTTGTTGCCGGGTTTTCCAATAAGCTCAAATGTGTTAAACGTGTGAGGGTTTTCAACGGCTCTAAATCGGCCAATTCTGTTATATTATTTGAAGTTAAGATTAGGGTCGTAAGGTTAGGGATTGATTGCGAGATTGTGGGTTGAATATGTGATATTCGGTTTCGTGCCAATAGTAGTGATCGTAAGCGGGGAGAAAAAGGGAAGTTAGAGATAGACGAGAGATCATTGTCGGTAAAATCGATTGCATCTTGATCCTATCAGCATAGGGTTAGGCCACGGTTCTCAGCTCATCAAATAGAGTAACAACAGCAAAAGGGGAAGCTCACTCGTGCAACACCTAAGTTCTCGATGACAGGAATTCTATGTCCTATAAACCAATCCCAAGAGGAACCATGGTATCAACGGTGCTCATTCCTCAAATGTAGTATCTGTTCTTTATACGCACCTCGGAGGTCCAGCTCGCGCTCCTTCAAAGGGTTTATGTACGAAAGAGAGTTCTGAATCAGCTCTGTAGTGAGACGCATTGCAGCGACGTAATACTGGAATCTTCAAGTATATACGATAAGGCAGACTAGCACAGAATGGGTTGACCGCTCTCTTAGAGATGTGGCAGGTTTATAGAATGACTCGATTAAGTGACTGGAGAATCTGGTGTGTAGGATCGCGTGCATGTTAGATCACTCATATTAGTCAAACATGGGGAAGGGATTCATACTCCTATTTCAAAAAAATTTCAGTATAACACCCAGCAGGGTAGTAAGATGCATCTATAAAAGAAAATGCGTTCAACCCATAGAATTGGATGAGGATAGACTTGGAGAGGCTCTTTGGTCATCTCAACGCCCAGGAAATTCTTGATGACTAAGCTAGCTGACTATCACGTGCATGTTTAGTTCAGGAATATCATTTATCCATCTTGCTGGGTCGCTGATATAAATCGACGGCAAGCCTCAAGCCTGCACCACGGTTCCCCATGCTACATAGGCTATTAAAGGTTACGCCTTTGGGCTTGTGCAAAATAACTCCAATAATAGTCAATGGTCTCCATGCGCCCTAAGGAGTATACAGATTACTATATTGGAATGAGCTTTCGATGTCAAAATAAAGTTATGACCAGGCTTGGCAAGGGCACCACCTCGGCGGCTGTAAAAACAAATTTCCCAGTCATAAAGATCGAAGACACAACGCATTATCTTATCTCATAGAAGTCCCTTAACTCTGTATATTAATATGGGCTTGTGAAGTCCTTGGTACTACAGCTATGGCGAAGGAGTTCATACCCCCTTCCCCCGCGCCCTGGCGAGAATTAATAGAGCATCATCTTTCCAAAATATCACCCATGGAATTCTCTTTAGCTACTATTCATCGCGATTCAATTAGTGGCAAACTTTATCCTCGTGCGCGGACCTGCATCTTTCGCAATTTCTGGTCGCAGATACCTCTCCACCACTCTGCAAAGGAAGCAATGGAAACAGCCTGTGGCCGTAATACCAAAAAAGAGACTTATGGTGACAGGGACAATGATAATAGAAGGTCACATCATAATCTTTGTGGTGCTATAAATGAAAAAGTGTTTTCAAGTGACTTGTTCACATTTACAACTGATGTTAGGATGGCAAAGGTTTCTGATCTTACGAGCCTTGATGGCAACCCCGGTGGGGATGTCGAGGCCGTGTTCTGGATAAAACCGTCTTCTACTCAGTGGAGGGTGAAAGGCAAGGCATTTGTTATTGGTGGAGACCCCAAAGACGAAGTAGAACAAAGAGCACGGAGAGAGATACAGAAGGGCATGCGGCAGCAGTACCCTTCTTCAGAGGAATCCATACAAGCATGGAGCTGGGAGAAAGAAATTACTGCTCAGTTTGCAAATTTGAATCCTTTGATGAGAGGTGAGTCTCCTCTTTATTTTTGCATTTTCTATTGTTTCTCCCCCTTAGATTAAGCCCCCTTCCTGTGAATTACTCTTAAATGATCTTTGTAGCCCCATGACAATAGGAATAAGGCCATTAACAACTGTTATACTGTACAAAAAGGTTCTTTCAGAAACCCACCTCCAGGTACCATAAGGTCAACACCCGATTCTGACTACCATCAGAAGCTTAAACTCGGGCAAAAGGTGGACAGTCCCTGGGATGAAGTGGCAAGGAGCAATTTCCGCGTTGTGGTTATTAAGCCAGAGGACGTCGAAATGGTAGATTTAACAGCGCCAGACGCCGCCTTGAGGGTGCGATGGAAGTTGACGGACGGTCTTGATGATAGAGGCACTGGGTGGAAAAGAGAAGACTTGTGGCCTTGAAACAATCTTGTACGATATTCAAGTACTTGGATACTCGGCATCTCTGGAAATTTTTGTAACGGGATACTGATAGAAGAGACTTCTGATACCGATGTTTTTACCACTGAGTTGCAATGTTAAAGCTGAGAGTAAAGCTCCCTTATAACCCCAAGTATAAGAATCTCTTCCACAGCAACCTATGATTGTGCTTGTTTTCTTACAGCAAAGGCGAAAAGCAGCTACTGGGGAATTCCTATTTCTGTTATGTTCCTCCGAATAGCGATATCACACATTCGCATACACAAACCTTCCTCCTGCAAACTACACAGACACACATCAAAATCAAAGATTACCAAGAAATTTCTTACTCCCTTTTCTTCAAGCTTGTCACTTCCTCTATCTTGACTTCATCTCTCTAACTAAACACTTGCTCTGATCTTGGCTTCATTGATCTTTTAATTAGCACGCAGCTTCTTTGCTCCTCACTGGCGTATTCGCTTACCTCCAGAGACAATCCCTTTTCAGCTTCAGTCGCGCTTTAAGTCTAGTCCAAAACCTCATTGGGCTCTGTCTGCTGCTTACTGCTTGCCTGGCATTCGCCTTCTTACATTGTTCATTTCCCATTCAGGTAATGCCGTCTGTCTCAACATGGTGACTCTTTGACAAGCTGACAATGTCAACTGAGACAGCGCAACTTGCAAACTGCTTGCTGCTAGCGGGGTATTCTGATACTTTCGTACATATTCCTCCCTATCTGCGTGTATATCCAGAAGGCAACCCAAGCGAAAATAAGTGGTTTTAATAAAAAGGTAGTCAATCTTCCTCCATCAGTTTATACAAACGCGAAAAAGGAAAGAAATAAACCAAAATGATGTCAAATTACAGTGATTCCGACGTCGATGACGAGATGGCCTGCCGTTGCTCGTACTGTGGTAGATTTTGCTCTCGCGCGAATATCCATGAGTTATCCGGCCTGTGCTTTCCGTGTGAACACAAGCTTCATCCATCCAAGCTCCTGCCGGAAGACGAGAACGAAAATCCAGAAGCCGACGAAATTGCCATCAACGCGAATGAAAGTGAGTCGTGGGGTGGAGCATCAGTGGCCTCAAAAGCTGAAGGCAAGGAGAGCGGTTCTCAGGAGTCCGGGTCCCACCCGCAAGGGTTTGGTGAGCCGAACCAACCTGCAGAGTCAGCTCTGTGCGCCCGATGCTGGACGAGGTCACCGACGAGAGTACTCTATAACTCTCCCACCTGTGACGAGTGTTTCCAGGAGGCTAAAGTTAAGAAGGTATGCCATCATTCCCAAAACAATAATATGCTGCATAGATGCTAATAACCAGCAAAGGAAGGGTCCCGGGGTACGAAGGTAGGCATATAGCAGACCTGGGAGTTCAAAAAAAAAATCATACTTCGGTGCTAAATATCATAACAGCGGCGATTCCAGCCACCGACGCCTCTTCAGCCAGGCAAAAAGTTGACACGAGTTTGCGACTCGTGTCGCCAAAAGAGGAAAAGGTGTGAACACCGTCGTGTTGTTGACGCTGATGATCGTAAGTTTTCCCAAAATTGTTTCGCAATAGGCTTCAGTATTGTACAAATATTGACATAATGATCCTCTTAGCCGCTGCGACGGATCGTCGACGCAAAAGGGTCAAAGTCGAGGCACCCGTCCCCGAGAGCGACGAGCCAGAGGACACACTCGAAACAGGCGATGCCATCGCAACGGGTGAGTTAAAGGGGGCTTTAACATGCTCTAGTCAAAGAGATATTGGCTAACCGCTGGCTGTTCAGACGCCGACGCCAACCCCTCGATCGTGCCAGTGGTCGAGAAACCTGCGGTCAACAACTGTGGTTCTGCAGAAGAGAACCTACAGTGGGCAATCAAACAGTCAGTTCAGACTGTTTACCGCAGGGAGATGGAGCGCCTGGTTGAAGTGGCTGAAGCCAAAGCGGCAGAGGCTAATCAGGCGTTCGAGGTTGTCAAGCAGCATGTGAGCTGGTGGCTCGCGGAGCTCATGAGACCCAGTTCATAGGCTGACGAAACCAACGCGGCTGCTGGGGATCCATCCCATCAAGAACCAAGATAAAGAAGCATTCGGGCGGTTATCCCAGATTTTCCAAGTGGTGGTATCCGTCACCTGGGCGGTCTTTGGTGATTTTGCCCCTGCTTTCTCTGCACTCTTGAGTGCTGGAAGGTTTGCGAAGGGGGTATCTGCTTATTACTCATGGTGCACCTTGCGATTTTCAAGGTGCCACTGCAGGGCTGGTTTAAGATGGATGTGGGAGCCCAGGCTGCATTTAGACTCATTGGCTGCGAGTGCGGGTGCTGATCGACAATGGGTGTCCCCTTGCGCGAGACGAGACGAACAGTGCCCTACCATGCCGGCCAGCATCGATGCGAGTCTCAAATCCCCATCCCTGGCTGCCAACGTCGCAACGACAACCGTCTTCTGCTTTGTGCCTCACCGCTCGTTTGCGACAGGCTTTATATTGCCTTCGCGCGCTCTACGCCGGATCCGGCTAGCGTCACTCACCATACAAGCCCAGCCAGTACGGTACCAGTACTGGTTCCGCCGCCGTCAGGGGATACCGTACCAACCTTATTTTCTCCTGCACGTGATGTTCCGTTACAGCTCGTATTGGCTGTCGCAGGTCCGATCGTTCTTCAACGTTGCGTTTTCGCACTGCCGTTCCCGCTATCCAGCATTCTGACAGTCATGTCTGTGTGAGCCTGGCACCATTGCAATTGATTGAAATCCCTCCTCTCTTTTTACCTGAATCGTCTTGCGGTGTGCTCTTATTGCCATGCATGCGTCTTGTTAAGCGTTGGAGCTTCCCTTTGTTTGGCTGATCCCGTTCTTCGCCTGAGCCACACTTCCTCCACGACCACCCTTAATGCTTTTATGATACACAGCCATCGAGGAGACAGTCTCCATACGCAGACCTAATACCCTGTGGAGCTCATTGCAATGGGTTCCTACGAGGCCGACTCATCCCGCTGCTTCACTCTTCTCGCCCAGAAACTCCCTTCGTGGCTTACTCGAGTTTCCGACCTAGCTGCCCATACCACCGCAAAACAGGAAGAATTCAAGGCCGATTATACTAAATATGCAAGAAAGGATAGAAAATCCCGTATGCGAAAAGGGAGCTCCCTCCACACAAACAGACCTGATCTTGAAGGCTCGTCACATTCACTCAAATCGTCATCAGGCTCGGGTACCTCACAAATTGACAGCCTGACCCGTATGAAACTATTAAAACCAGGGGATATAAACCAGAAAAAACGGATTGACGATTGCTCTGGATCACCCAATGATACTGACCGACATCTTCGCCCTCGCCGTCAATTCATTATCCACTATGACTGCCAAACCCAAACTGCGTTAGAAAAGCTAGTACGAGAGATAGGCGGGGCAAGAAACCACATCCGAAAAGGTAGAATGGTTTACATGATGAAATCCAGTATGGAAATGAAGCCACTTCCGGAGGGCTTTCCGCCCGATGATGCGATGAAGCCCATATTTAGAAGCACCAGACAAATCACAAGACCTTTACCCGGTGCAAAGAATTCCCCATTTGATTTGGCGGATACATACTTAGAAAATGCCCAGGCGCTATGCGAAGCAGCCGCCCATCAATTCTTGCGCAGCGGGGATTGTTCAAAAGAGTTGGACCGGACAAGACAAAAGCTCAAATTAGCATTGGATCTAGCGGAGATTGAAACCGAAATTGAAGCAGAGGCAGAGGCTAAAGCTGAAATGAAGGCCAAAGTGAAAGCAACTGAGAAGGAAAAGGAAAAGGGAAAGGAGGCTGGGAAGGAAGTCGAATTTGAAAAATTAACGTCAGACGTCGATATCAAGGCCACAATACCGGGAAAGGATCTGGATGCCCCGAGGCCTGCCATCGAAGTCGATGATGCTTCCGATGTCTCCTCTATATCTATTGACATAACGGCGTTTCGAGCTTCCAGGTTCAAGCGATAATTTGGAGCATTTGGAGCTACATTTTGGTTGTGCCTGACTATTCTGGATTTCGGGATATCTTTTGCACCATATGTTGTCATGCCACTGGTTTCTCTCTTAATGATTACTCTCTGTTGCCTATCGTATTGGCCCTCATGAAAAGTAGGCGCCAAATCTATGAAACTTTGACGTCGTGATGATAGCGTTGATTTCTTCCATTTTATGACATGGAATTTCTGGTTTAGCGATGGGTTTTGCATACCCAATTTTGTGAACAGAGTATTTCTAATCAATATAAGTTCCCGTTCAGTGGAGCTATTTTGGAGGGTTTTGCCAGGTAATCGGGAAATACATCATACTATTTTTCACAATAATCCCCATCCTTAGGTTCCCCCCTCCCCGTTCTGACAGGGGGCATGGGCGGTAAGGTGAAAGACCAAATGCATACGGAGTGCATGAGAAACGCAGCTTGAATGTCTTAAAACACGCGTTTCAATGGTGGCCCAGCAAAACGCCATCAATCGGTTGGATTCTTCAAAAGTCTATCATGGCAGGTATCAAGAATAACCAGCAACAAGGGGGAAGATTAGTAAAAATACGGATTATCTTCGAGTTCAGCCACCGCAGCACATCCAAACACCATTATCTGCCACATGGCAAGTATTGGTGTTAGCTCGGGCTGTTTTTACTTTTATTTTTATTTCTTTCCAAGCTAACCAGAACACGACCTACTCCGTACTCCGTATGCAACTATATATGTATGTACCTCGCAGGAGCGATATATTCAAAGGCCCTGCCTCAGGTGTCCGCTGAAAGGAGCATGCAACAGTTTGAATCGCCCATAGCGCAGCACGGGGATTTTTGGCAGTCATCAGAATACCATGAAGGCTTTGGTTAGTCGATCAAGGGTGGTCAATACTATCTTTTCACCCTGGATGACAGGGAAGATACTTGCCTCGCGACCTCAAAATCTGGAACTTTCTCCGGGTGACATAACTATCTCATAATTACGACGGAGCCTGCTATAAGTAACAAAGCAGAGGGGATTGTTTCCCGGACTACATTGCTCATTTCACCACCAGTTTTGAAAGCCATGCCTTGAATAGTCATCAGATACAGGAGCGTGGGCTCGATTGAAGTGTCGATGAAACTGTGGAAGGATTATTATTGTAAGAAAATATCTTTTCCTTTTTTCAAAAGTAGTTGAAAAGCAGAGGGGTAGTTACGGAATACGGAGTACCTACTGGTTGAACTAGCCTCAGAGTTTCTAGCAATCTAGAGCAATGCCCAAAAGGGTCGTTAGAGGCTTCCAGCCCCCGGACTCTTTAGCGCTCCCGTTCCGGAACAGTCTCCCCGATTCACATCCATTCCTTTTGAGGGTAAGTTAACCGCACCATTGTTACATCCACTGTATGCTGCGTGAATGCGCTGACCACTCGTCCTCGACTGCCATACAGTTACGGTCCCAATAATACACGAGCCCCGCAGCCATCCTGCTCAGCTTTTCATCAAGCCGCGTGTGCAGCCGATCGGAATATGGCACCTGATTTTCGTCTCCGACCTGCATGAGACACCCAAAACGTGTGCGAATAAGCTTAAGCTGGGGAATAGAAGACGGTTTAGAGGGTGGAGAGGTTGAACCTTGGGAAGCCTCGGGAGATGCACACGTTCGACCCGAAGATAATGGATCGGAGGGTCTGTTTGAATCCCACCCATGGATCTGCAGGTGGGTTTACTCCACAGTTCAACCTCTTGCGAGAAAAGATTTGTTTTTGACTCTTCAGTCGGCACAATGGAATCATACCATCGTAAATGATGCTTATTGCGGCTTTGATGAGGTCTACGTAGTTAATTGAATTTGGGAAATAGCAAGACGAGAAAGACAACTCTCAATACTCCTTGACCGGAAACCTCTCCACCTTCTAGCTCCCTTAGCCTGATGTCTCTCTTTATTACAGAGGAAATCATGAAGAACGAAAAAAGAAACCCCAACAGTTTTTCAATTCCCATTCACGTCTATGTGGTACGGAGTACTCCATTTGTAATAAGAGTGGGGAGATATTTCTAACAAAGCATGGGCTAGACTTTATATCCTTGATTTGCCTAACGAACAGAGCCTAAATCTCATCGGGGACTGGCTGCATGTCGGGCTTCGTTTGTGGTTGGCATACAGGTGATTTGAAAGAAAGCTCTTATTTCGGTGGCAAGCCGTGGAGAAAAAGTGACAAGAATACTCGCCCAGAGCATCCTTCGCGTATGTGTGCTCTATGACCTAGTGCGCGATATATACCACGGAGATCTCTTGTTTGCGAGGAGCGGATACATACCCAGACAGGCTTACTGGCTTGCGGTAATATCGTCGTAAGATTGCCGTGAAAGGCCTTGTATCGTATGCAATACGAACTTGGCGGTACCGCTTAGTCATGCTTCTCTCAACTTCAAACCTTCCGGCCTCAGACAATCAAGATTGTCTCGAGGGATGATGCCCTGGAACGCAGACGTGCTTGAGCCTCGACGCTGCCCCGTGGTGGAAGGTCGATGTCTGATATGAAACGGTTGCTATTCCATTCTTGTTTGTATATGCTTGCGTCTTGGCTCACTATAATTGCCTCCTTGGACAATTACGTTTTTCATTCTAGCCATCTCCCCGTTCGCATATTTTGCAACTGTACGGAGTATGTTGCAAAGCAATGACTACCAAAATGGTGAATTTGGGTGGTTAAGTGTACGTCGAACTCGGAAAGCTTGAAACAAATGGAATAGGTCATATTGCCGCCAATATTGTTGGCACCACGCTGCTTCCAAACTGAAGAGGAATACAAACTATGAGCTGCAGTTATATGCTGTAGCGCTGGGCAACCTGTAAATGTTTGGCTCTCTATCATCTAGAGCTCATTCTAGATAGTCTATTTGATTTTTTATGTTTGTGACGTCACTTAGCCATAGCCATATCCCTATTGCTTTGAGAGAGACCGGCCAGATGAGATATTCAACAACCTCTCCCTCTACATCAAAAGCCCCGCATACTCTATTGCAGACTATCAGAGTAGAATATCCTTAGGCCCTCAAAGGCTATATTTGCCAATGGGTTTGCTAAAAACAGTTATGAGATGTTCACATAGCCTCCCGTTGCACGCAGCTGTTTTTCATGAACACTTTGATGCTCCTCCTTAACCTAGGACTCTTTATATCCCCTTGATAAATTCACTTGACGACAACGAAATAACCCAGACTAGCCCAATTAGTCTGTGCAAAAGCCCTAATAGGGCGTGCTTGCTCACCTGCTCTTTTCCTGCGCCGTGCAAACCCCACGAGCAATATCTTTATGGACCCTTTTGCTTTCTCTCATATTATATCTTTGCAAAAACATCATTTTTCTCCATACCTTTTTTGGGTGTTGTTGGTGCTTGTTTAATGATAGCTTAAGTTAATACCTTGTTTAGCATCTGCTGCAGTATCAAACCTTCCAGGACCAGTCCCCTATTCCAATTTTAGGGGTTTTTAGGAATTAACCACTGATGGCCTCTGACCAAATTCTCATTTTCAACGTATCACCGAACCCTGCTGGGGATAATACAACAAACAAGACTCATAGGAAGCGCCCAGGGCCAATCCGAAAACCGAGTTTTTCAAGTGAAGAATATGATGACGAAAATACGAAGGCGTTTGCTGAAGCCGTGGATGCTCTGTTGAGGAATGAAGCAGAGAGTGGGGACTATGGTCAGGATTCCGGATATGATGCTGGGGATGAAGATACCGACGATAGCACCAGCAAAAGTTCTAGCGATGATAGAGAGACTCCCAGCCTGCAGGTCAAAGTTGAAGACAATGCAGCTAGGAACATCAATGGAAATGTCTCCAACGATACAACAGCCAATTCAATACAGCATTTGATTCTTCCGGTGACGGCCAGCCATCTTCGGGATAGGGATTTTGTGTATTCTCGGGTAGGTTTGCTTCACCATTCACCTTTGGTTAATTATTTCTTTCCAGAATGATGGAAAGAAAGATATTGGTCTAATAGTGCGTTACCAGACCCGCCGCACCACGTCTATCGATCCCGTAGAATATGAACTTGCAGCAGATATCGAAGAACAAGTATGTACCTGCACTGGTGACCACTTTTTTCTGTGGTCGACATCTAATATTTTGATTTTAGGCCGAGCGCTCCTTGTCACAACAGACTCCTCCAGCACTCTTTGCAGGCTGGAATTTTGATATATTTGAGGTTTGTTTTAACTCACATGGTCAAAATATTTAGAATCTTCTAGCTGATCTCTTCCTAGGATCCTGTGGAGAATGGCGACGCTGTTGACCATAACAGTCTTGGTCAAGGTCACCGCATTAACGGTGACTCCGAGCGCAATTATGGCCACAATGGGAGCAGTTATATTTCCGGTGTGCACGAATACCGTGCTGATTTTCAGTTCCCTGATTGCTGTACAATGAACGGTAATGGTGCCGATTATTCAAGCCGCGTCGTAGAGGAAGGCGAACCCTCAAAACTAAGTGACGAGGAGCCTAGCGAATTCGCGTTTTCTCGCGGAGAAGTCTCTGAATACAACGAGAATTCTCAATACGCTGCTAATGGGGTTTCAATGAGTGCCAATAGCGCCGGGCTAGACCGAGAACTTTGGTCGCCCATCGATGGACCTCTTGAATCCACCTATCGATCCCCTTACATGGGGCCAGTTGGATGGACGGTTCCGCATCGGGCACGCCCAAACTCATCACAGCCTTTCTTGATCTACCAAGACCCATCTTGGTACGAACCTGAACCGTCGCCTATTAATCCCTACTGGGACCTGCTCGCCAGCGACGATAAGGAGAATGCTATCCCAGAAGGCATGGAAACAGGTATACGGCCTCCTCCGGCGGCGGAGGACAACATCGTAACCGAGGCGCTGAACATCGTTACCCTAGCTGCTAGCAACCAGCATTGGCCTCTTCGTCCCTTAAATCCGACAAACGGCTGGGCTAATTACTCTTCCAGCACCTATCATCGCAATTTAAATGCCCGCTCCTCCACTACCTCTGGGATAGGGCTTGACATCGCAACCGGTGCGGCTCCTTTTGCAACCCCAGCCAGAGGGAGGCATAGACACTCGAATTCTCTCACGATGACGGACAGCGATAGGGCGGCAAGGCGGTAAGGATGTCGGATTCGGGGCAGGGGCGCATTGGTGGGGTGTGTTTGTTATTAGCCGTTAATATTTTTCATTCCAAGTTCCATTTTGATATCCACAGTATTCTTTTGTATTGTTGTTGGAAGGGGTCTTGGCAAGGAGCATATGGGTGTTAGTTAATTCGCATTTGGGCAACTTTTTTTTAATTCTTGTGAAGATACATGTGATTCCATCCTTTGGGTTAGGTGGTCTTTGCGTCAGGTGTTCTGTCAGTTAAAAAAAATCTTGAAATGTAAATAAAAGATACTGGCTCAGTTTTTCATTATGCTATTTTTCGCTTGGTCAGTGCGGATATTTAAAGCAGATAAATGGATATTTGAAAAAGTTCAAGGGATAGAAAAAAGGAAAGAAGCATAAGATTTTAATGGGCATAGATAAAAAGAGTGTGTTTATGCCGCATTTATATAAATTACTTATTAGGTTTCATAAAGATCAATTCGACAGACATAGCAGTCAAAGTTGTTCATTCAAGGGGGTATCAGGCACCAGAATCCAACGTCAATGTTCATCCCGCCCAAAAAAAAACCACATCACTTTGACAAAAGGGTGAAGGATTGACAGAAATAATGAAAGAAATACATAAAACATCACCTCTCCTATCATAGATTGAGCGGGAGTCCCCTTAGACCCAATAAGATTCATTCACAATTTTCCGAAATCCAAAAAGAGCAAAAAAAAAAAAAAGTTATGATTCACAATTTAGTAATAGATTTTTTCTTGGTAGATGGGTGGAACGCCACTCTCCTCGTTCCATGTAATCTTCCCATTGTCATCAATGAATGCATCTTCATCAGTGATGGGAATAACCTTTGAAGTGTGTGCAACTTCTTGCTTACTGATGCCACCGGCATCCCGTGGAATCCACAGTAGTGGTGGCGTAGACCCAATTGATGGGTGGAAGTATGCGTGTTGCTCCACTTCAGGTGGGTAAGAGACGATGGCCGAATCGTGGGGCACCAATTGTCGCAGGGTGGCGTAGTTAGCGTACTTATAGGGCTGGAAAAATTTGACAAGCGGGTTGGCTTTTGGCATTGGTGGTTCAGAGGCAGCGCCGTTAGATAGCCCTTTCTCAGCGTCTGTGAGCATTTCTCCGGATGCACCATTGTGGGGTGCGTGTTGTGGCACAGAAGTTTCGTCCACTTCCAGATTTTTCGGGAGGTAGTTGAGCAAGGGGTAAAGGGCCTGGCTCAGCGCGAAGTGATAGAGAACAGTGAAAACACCGCAAATGATCATCAAAATCAGAGGGCCCAGGGCGTGTCGATCAGAGGCGGCTCCAATAGCGAATAAACCAATGAGGCAAACAATCAAAAGATAACAGCCGACAGTTGTCTGCTGCAAGGCTCGAGGGTAAATCATGCCTTTCGTATCAATATCTGTGTTGTTCACATAGAGCATGTTATATCTGTATGCAACGTAGAAGAGATATAGTCCAATGGTCGCGAAGCCGAGAACAAGGGGAGCAATAGCAGCATAAGTGATGGCTAGAAGCTGATAAGCAAGGATAGAATGGAGGATGTCGAACATTACTTACCAATAACGCAAAGATTGGTTACCACAGGGAGAATCGTTCCCCAGCCCATTCCAGCCAAGGTAGACCAACGAGTATACATCTTTCGGGGCGTATTATCAAAAAGCTTACCCAAAATCTTGGAGATGATAAGGCCGACGATTTGCAGCAAAGCACCAGAACTGAAAGTCAAGCCCTGCAAAATGAAATATGCGATGTAGAAATTGGAAGCCTTGGGGATATTTTGTGCGAGGAGGGAAGCTGCACTCTGTGGATTTTGGATAATTGAGGTGACAACGCTTGTAGCAGCAGAAGAGAGGGTGGTCACCAAGAAGACCTGAACGACCTGGAATGCAAAGAAGAAGTTTTGTGTCCTCAGTTCCACAGCAGCGGTAGTTGGGACACCCCCAAGTTTGGCCAAAACTAAAATACCGAGTTAGATCTACAGCAGGGTAGTAGTATTGTGACAAAACTTACGTCGAAGCACGATGGGTAGCAGGGCCATAAGCACCGAGAGGAGGATAACCGGAAGAAGAGACGTGATGAGACCAAGAATGACAGGTGGGCATTTCAAGATAAACCGAAGGAAAGGGACTTTGTCGGTTAGGTAGTTGATTTGGGAGATAGAACCAACGAAGGCGACAGGGATTGCCCAGAAGATAACCATGACAATGACCACGGCGATGGTGGCAGCATTGCGCATGATTAGCTCCCACCATTTGATACGCAGATTCGACCAAATAATATCCGCAGGGTTCAAGCCAATGTAGCGAGGGGCCATGTGCAAGGGTTGATTATGAGCCACTATTTCACGAAACGTGAGTAAACAAGTTAAACTTCATGAGCGAAGTAGACTTACACATTTGATATGCGGCCTGTGCATCATTTTGCGTGTAGAATTCAACAAAAACAGAAGACAGGAGCTTAGCATCACCGGCGCGAAGTTTTGCCTGTAGTTCTTCAATTTCGGGGTTGAGGCGCTGAATTTCCCCACGGGCCCAGTTGATAGTATCCACCTTTTTGCCAATGATCATTTTAAGTCTGTGTGTTGGTCGGCTCGAAGGCTTGATCCATTTCGCTGCAGCAGAGCCGGACTCGCCTTCAACAGGCTCCATGGCGGTAGCTTGGAGATTTTCCTCGTCGGTCGTTTTACCTTTCGTGGCCTTGACGCGAGCGGTGGTTGCGAGTTTGATCAGCTTTGTCTCAGCATCTTCAAGTTTGAAGGCAGCCTTGTCGCGGTCCTCAACCTTTTCCTTGAGTGCATCAACGTCAGGCACAAGCCAGACGTTTTTAACCTTGTCATCACCATACATCTTTCGGATGCGAGCCTCGTCAAGATATTCATCAGGCACGGAGGTAAAAAGTACGGTTTTCGAAGAAATGCGATTAGCATAGAGAGGCGAGAAAAAGTAGGCTTGGCGCAAATTGATGAAGTAGATGCTTTCGCGAGTGACCATGAAGAAAACAAAAGCTAAGCATTCTTTAGTACCCAGGAGTTGATCCAGATGAAGCTGAGTAAGTGGACATACCGATGAAAATCCAAGCAACGAATGCATGGGCATAGTATCTATTCAGATTTCCGGCGACATTACCAAACGTCAGCATATCCAGCTGCTTTTTTCCGCCGCCACCCGTCGCATTGACTGGAAACAGGATGGGCCAGCTAATCAGACAGCCAACAAAGCAGATAGCCGAAGAGATTTTGAGATAGCGCAGAAGAAGATAGGCATCCATCGAGTGGTGGCGAAGCACGTAGGTATCCGGTAGTTTCATCATGGAACCAATCCAGCCAAAAAGGCCAGGGGCAGGAGCAGGAGTGCGCTCGTCTTCGCGCAAAGAGCCGATGTATGTCCTGGGAATATACTGCCTGCGCTGACTGAGGCGCAGGACCATGAAGACCAAGACCATTGCGCCGGAGATGACGAGCGTGGGCAACAAGGTCGAGACGAGACCTGACGCCGAATTGGAGGCATTGTCAATGTTCAGCTCGTCCTAGACGTCAGACGTGGTTAGCGACGCGCAGATAGCGGAGCGCGACGAGGAATGCTTACCGCCCGTTTGGCGAACTGGACAGAGGTGTCCATGGTCACTCCAAGGGGCCGCTTGCGCAGAGCACAGGCGAATTGGTAGCTTTCAGGGAACTCTCAAGGTACGAAAGGTAGTTTTTTCGCGCGTTCGATGCGGTGGAAAGGGGGAGAAGGCAGCGAAAGGGGGAAAACGAACAAGAAAAAGAAAAAGGGTGTCTCTTGGGCGACGAGAGAAAGAAACGCGGGCGATCACAAAAAGACGGACAAGGACCGCTCGAGGGAGCGGGCGGATATTAAGGAGGAGCAAACCTGCAAATGAAGGGACGATCGGGTGCTGGGCGTTGACGTGAGCTGGAGCCACTGGGAGCTCCCCCGCCAAGCGCCCACGGTTGCGCGGGCTCGCCACGCTGAGTCACCCGCGCTAGCCCGTTTCAGCCCGCCCGGAGGCCAGCATGTGGCGCATGCGGCCGCGCATGGTTGGCCAGACGCCGCGTCAAAGTTTGATCGCGCCAGCCACGGCGCCGCCCTGTGATGCGATTGGCTGACTCGCATGTGACTGGCTGGCTGGCGACGCCACTCTGCGCCCGCCGTCGCACCAGGTCCGCACGTGATGCCGACGCTTACCTAAGGTCGCGCGCTAGCCCGCACCTCTGCTGGGTACTTCGTTGCAGGGGCAGCTTCTTGAGCGGCAGGGACAGGCACAGCAGGACCGATCTGCTGTGCAGAGCACGCAAGGTCGGGCGAGAGGAGCAAGTGGCGGCCTTCTGGCCTCTGGGGATGTAACCTCCTGCAAGGCCACTCTCTGGCCGACGTCCAAGGAAACAGGTGGGGATAAAACAAAGGCTGTGACCCAGGCCCTAATTCGCCTTAAATAATAATAATGACTGGTTCCAGGTGGTCTGAGCCACGGCGTGGAAAATAACATGAAGGCTTGTGACGTATCCTCAGGCGAGAAGCTTGTGTGGATCAAAGTTTGATTGTGGGAGGCAAGACGATCCTATAGCTTATCTCAGCAACGAAATATCAGACGTAAAGGCCTTCTTGGCCATCAATAACGCGTAGCCAAAAAGCGTATATCAAAATATGGGGTAAAAATATATATATGAGCTGCGTCATTAACATATGCAGCGGAAGGTCCGCCTCGTGTAAATACATTATTGAAGTGCACGATGTGATATCGTGGTTGCCAAAAAGAAAAAAAAAAGAGAGTAAAAATATTTTAATGAGAGAAAGGGCAGGGCTTGCCACCAACAACTGAACTGATGAGTGGAATCGAAAACTTTTAAAAATGAATCAAAATGAAAGGTGGCGCCGAAAGGCATGCCGAATTTTGTGAAGATAAAAATGCAAAGGAGCTATACATGAAAGACAAAAATGTAGCAGTGCAGACTCACAGCATCGAGTCGGGTATCAAGAACATGCGACTGAACGCCGGGCTTATGGTGATCTGGCAAATGGCAGGGGAAAAAAAGACGGATAATAGCCCAAAGAGCCGTGCACATAGACACATATCTCTTTAGAGGCCAGCGCAAGGAGCATATAAAAATTCTTCTAGTCCGTCTCAACCGTGGAATGTGTGTTCGACCGTAGCTCTCGTTTCTGTAAATCAAGGAATGCCCAAAGGTTGGCTTCGAACTTTTCAACCGAGATTTCAAGATCCAAGGGCCTCATCATCAAAAATCTCAATAGCAATTCGCTGAACTGGAAATTCAATTCTTGAGGCAGTTTTTGGACGGACTCCATCAAGTCACCCACAATCCATGCCCGATGGGGATCTTTTAGATCGGCATCAAACGGATCTTCTAGAAGCATCCAGACCAGAGTCTCTGTCGACGGCCAGTGATCAAGACGGTGCGAATTTACCTTCGTTAAGGCGTTCTGGAGAAATCGATTGCACATGTGAGGAGAATTTCGGTAATGCATTAAGGAGAGCGTGATATAGATCAGGGATGAAATCCGGCAGAGGTCGTGGATGGAGCCATATTTTACCACCCAACGCCGTTCTTCGTCCGGGACGTGACTCGGGCGTGGTCCGGAGGAGAGCAACATATGGAAAGTAGAGCCAAATTGGAACGCCGACATTCGTAAGTCGCTGGGTGTAACAGGGTGGCAATATTTGGCGGCGAATTCTGCACTTCGAAGGAATGACATTAGGCGGTGAACGTCTTCGGGACTTCCAATCACTTCGCGCGGGCCCATCGTGTACCGGACATAATGTACGAACACATCTTGGAAAAAATACATCCCTGTACGGGGCCGTAGTCGCAACATAGCCTGGTGCAAATGTTCTGCAGCTTTTACTTTATCGCCATATCGTTCTTCCTGCAGGGACAGAGCCGAGAATGCCATGATGACATTTTCATCATACGGGTTGTTCGTTTTCTCTATATATCTTGAAAGAGCTCGCTCAGCCGTTGCAATGTACTGAAACGACTGTGGAGTATTTCGTACGCCTAATACCCGAGCACGAAGTCTTGCACAGTAGGTTAAGATCATTACATGGAATGTCATTGGATGCAGCATCGCTTGTTGAAAAGCAGCAATTTTCATGTGGACATTCTGGCCAGACCAGTAGGAGAGCTTTTTGGTCCAACAGTCCACGAGCTGTTGCGATTCATCAGTCAGCGACAGTGGGAGTGTATCAAATGGATCCGATCTGTTTGGACTCAGGTTGAGATGACGACATAGAGAACAAGTTATCAGGTCAGGAATTCGAAAATCATCCGCATCACGCCTAAGCTTTGACCTCTACACAACACGGATGTTAGAATATGAGGACTGGCAGCTACAACAGAGCTCGTGAGGACGTACCGCCACGGAATCTTTCTTGGAGGAGGAAGAAACCCTCGCGGCAGCACCCTGCGAAGGCTCAACTTTCCTAGTCCAATGGAGACCCCGGGTTTCTCGACCGCCAGGCCCAGCAGTCGCTTGGGCGAGCAGTTTCCTCCGTTCCTTTTTCTTCTCCTGGATGTGGTGTTTCATGACGTGGGCACGCTTGCCTTTGCTCGAGGACTCCTCATTAACAAAGAAAAAGGTGCGCTGAGGGACGGGCGGCGACAGAGCGCGTTCAGACGCGGGTGTCCGTGTGTCTGACATGGGCTGAGCAGGCATTATCGGCCGGCGTGGCCATGAAGAGCCATGGTTTGTTGCTGGGGACTCACAGTCAGCTGGAGGACGAGCCAGTGCTAGTGCACGGTTGGATAGCATAGTTACCTGACATGTCGGGCGGCATCGGCGGGGTTGTCTGTGCTTCTGGCGCGGTACAATGGAGCCCGGGAGACAGCCCATGAACGGCTATGTACTTCGTATAAAAGGGAATTGGGCTATAAAAAAAACGAGGAGCGGCGGGCTCACCGCGGGCGCTTTTTCAACGCTTTCCGCCAGCTGCTATGATTCGCTCCAAACAGGGTTTGCAATCGAAGGCCCAAAAGCGGCGCCAATCTAGCAACGAGAGCCAAAGGACGAAACAGGGCTCCGGTCTGGGAGTTAGTTAATGGGCGAGTTGGGAGCCGGGGATCAGGATAACGGCTGCGGGCACAGGGATGCAGACAGTGCAGATGGACGGCTGCTTGGCGGGATTGCACCGTCCCATCAGAATCCCCAGCCCGACACGCCTTTACCCTAAGACAGACAAGTGCAGAACTCTAAGGAGCAACAGGCAGCTGGTGCTCGTGGCGTGGACTGGAGGGTGGAAGCCGTGTTGCGATGCTGGTGCTGGGATGGGAGAGGCGGTGGACGTCTGAATCGAGGAGTCGGGGGGCGTGATTGGCATGCACTGCGCGGTGCAGATTGGCATCCCAACCGTGCTGCCCAAGATGCCGGTTCTGATGGAAACAGCTGGGAGCAGCAAGCCCCGGACGGTCGTAACTGCTGCTTAAATCCCTATTGCGCAAATCGCGCAAGTGACGCCACCACGTAACTACAACCCTCCCCAGCCGCGAGGGCGTGTGGGAGGCTTTTGCATAATAATACCCGCCCAATGCCCTCTGGCGACGGCCGAGCAGCCTTGAATCTCGCTTGTTCCGCCCGTCTGAGCCCTTTGATGGGTGTGCAGGGGCCCGCATATCCTGCGCAGACAGCACAAGCATGCCCTTTGTCTCGGCCTCAGCTCCATCCACGCCCCAGAAACTCGACGCCGCGTCCTTCTACGCGCACAAGAACTGGCTCCAAGCAGCAATCTGTATCTAGGCCGCCTCTAACCTTCGCTGTGGCTGGCCAGCCGGCATCCATTTGTGGCCTTTGCTTATGTTTGGGCCATTGGCTCCCAAACTTACCGAATTCCCCTCGCACCCGATGTTCTTTCATGCTGGAGGGATTCCTTTTTCTGGCGAAGTCTCTGCTGGCCCCAATCACAAGGCTTACAGTCGTGGCGATGCAGCATGCCCCGGCCTTGCCTGCAGAGCACGGAGAATATCATTTGTTCCCCCGTCAGTAGTTCTCCTGCGCTGTATGCACAATGGCCTCTTCTTTCATTGTTGCAGCGTGCCTGTCACCTTACAGATCCGATCCGCCTATGCATACGAACCTTGAGCCTTTGAGCATATGTAGTTACGGAGTATCCTGGTCCTTGTGAAGTGGTGGGAGCGGGGTTCGACTGTGATCCTCTAGAACATTGGTTCCGAGCAATTGGGTTTAGACATTCTCCAGTGGTGGACGGATGGGGAACCATGGTTGAGAGGTTCTCATGCTTTAGCTTCTTGCGGCAGGCTACTCGTATACACAATTTTGCGGTTCACCAACATGTAGTTGTCTTCCCACCACGTTCCTTACCAACCAACTAACTCCCCCAATCGAATCACTATGATTGATTCCAAATGCCGGAACCACACTTAAAGAATGACCGAAGAAAAATGGACTCCGCACACCCGTCTCCCTAGACCAAAACGGTTGGAGGGGGTGGTAGCGTAGTGAAAGCATGAGGCTGGCGATCTCCTAGCCAATCCAATTTGTTCCACAAATTTCTGTTGGAAGTACGGAGTACAGTTAAACACTGAGGGTCACTTGTGGTACCAGACAGTGGGACCCAAATGAACAGTATACATCATACATACATACCTACTATGCACTGTTACTGGGTGTTGGCGGCGTAGCTATGTTCCATATGCAATCTTTTTTTTTCTTTCATTTGGTCCACAAGAACACCCCACTTGCAAAATAAAATTCTGGCAGGTCGAAGAGCTTTGGTTGGACGACGGTGGGGATCTACGGAGTACATACTTCATACATGTAAATGTCCGTGCTGTTCCTCAGGTGCCCTGTGTTTCTGCAAATAGCCGCTGTCACCAGGACGGTTATGGGTGCCACAGAGCTTCAGCATAGACCACGTTCACATTGAAACTGTGGAATGTTCTCCTCGTGGCGAGCGGGCCTTCAGCTTCTGCTTCCTTCGATGATTGGTAAATTAGGAGGCTAGACAAAGCCGCTGGGAAGACTCTAGCCACGCGGCTGTTTCTAGACAACTCAGTTTTAAGGATTAGGCCTTGATCGGTTTCCAGTATCGTATGGGTGCTCAGTGGCTGGAAAGCATAGGAGTGCCATCGGTTTGGAAAAAGAAGATAAAACTATGTTGGACAGATCAATATTTGGGTATAACTACATACATATCAAGGGCAAGAAAATACTAGATTTTGCAGAGCCGCTTGGGGATAGAACAATAGATATGCTTTGCAAATAAAACCGCCAATATCACAACCACCGCCAACAATACTGACAACTATGGGGCCGACCCGAAGAAGTGAAGTGAAAGGGTATCGAACGCCGGGTTCAGAGGAGGATGCCTGATCGGCGGCTCCTGAGACAGAGACGAGCACCATGGTATGAGAAACCAGGAGAAAATAAGAGGTAAGAAAGTTTTGGGTGTCGTGAATGTTGCGAATAAAAAGACTTTGACGGAAAAATTAAAAAGCTAGAAATCAGCGAATACTGCTAAGATTTGGGGGATTGGGGAATAGTCTAGGACGAGCGTCTTCTAAGGTAATAGTGCACTCAGTCCAAATGAAATTCCGCGAAACGCCAATGGACAACGAAAATAAAACCGACAATCATTAAGGCATGAAGAGTGTATGTAAATCAAGATTAAAAAGGCAGGGAGAGGAGGTATTATTGAGTGTCCGTGCTCATTCGCGTCTGGATATCTGTTTCAATGGTTTTTCTCCAGTGATCAGGCAAGCAAACGCAAACAAGCTAAATAGTGGTTAGCAAACTAAACAAATCAAAGATGCAATGGGGGTCAGCTTACTGGGAATGCCTTGATTTCGCCTGATGCGGGCGGAGACGAATCCCGTCGTCCAGTGCCATTAGAAACACCACTATCACGCTGGGCTTTATGCTGCGGATCATAGTCATCAGCTTTCTCATTGATTCGAACGCCAGTCGCCCACCCATCATCCCAAATGCCCACGATTTTCAGCATATCGCCCCGTTCAAGTTCAAACTCGTCAGCTGCGCGAGGCTGATATGCCCAAAGGACGGCAACTTTGTCGTTAGGATGAATGTCATCTTGAGAGTAATAGTCTCTAAAATATGGAAGTTGTTCGGATTGACCGCTTGCAACACCTTCTGGAGAAGAAAATTGCCCACCACTCCCTGGTGATGTGTCGGGATCACCAGCAAGGGCGGATGCGCTAGACAACGACGCGTTTCTCCTGCCCGTCACAGGAGGTCGTCGGTTGGAGCCGCTGGCAGGGCTAGGGAAAACCTCAGAGTCCGAGGAATCGTATTTTGCCGCACGTGGAGGCGAGCTGTCATTGCTCTGCAGAGCGGACATTCTAGCCACACGTCCTCCAGGAAGAACCTCGTATGCATTTGTTTTGCCGCTGCTGCCAGGAACAGAATCCGGCCCCTTTCGCGAGGGTGGGGGTTGATTGAAAACACTTTGCTGGCGGTTGCGTCTTCGCCGAAGACAGAAGACGAAAAAGAGCACGATTGCTACGGCTAATAGACCTACACCAGCAACAGCTCCAACCACGATACCTGCAATCTTTCCACCAGAAAGACGGCCGGAACCCGCACTTGGTGAGGGGCTAGGGCTGGATGTCGACGTGGGGAAAAGAGGTGGTAAACCAGTCACTTTAGGTAGATCAATCCCGCGACACCGATTTGGGGCGTCGGCAGTAACGCAACATGAATCCGTGGAGTTTGGTGAGCTCGCCGCACAAAAGCCGCAAAGACCAAGCAGGTTTGCGCCATAGCCGCATTCTTTTGGTTCGTTCTCGCTCCCAGAGATACATCTCCCAGTAAGAGAATCCGCAGGAATTGCGCAAACAGTGAAGTCCGCTCGTATTTGGTCCATGAAATTGCGTTTTGGAGTGCCACAGAGATCCGAGTTTGCCACAATTAATTCTGCACTTGTAGCGGACAGCGCCTACCACGGGTTAATTAGCAATAATCTTCTACACACATAAACAAGGTATTGACGAACACATGTATCTGCGCACAATGGCTTCGAGTTCTCTGCCGACAGACGACATGGATCTTTCGAATTCTGAACAATTCCATTGCAAAGAACACTGGTTGTATATCGAGCGTAAAAGTAACTCGTGTTTGTGAGTTTGACGTTAGAGCAACCGAAAAGGTTTTGATATCTGCCAGCTGTCAACGTAGGCCCACAGGATTTACCGCCCCCACAACAACATACTTATGCTTCACGAAGTCATGGTTCACATATGTGCCCAGCTCTCTATCAAAGTCCTCAACGGACGACACGAACGCAAGGAACGGACTGTGAAAATTTGAGGGTTAGCAAGGTACCTCCCGACAGTCACAGAATGTTGTGCGGGGCATACAATAGGTCGACGAGCGGCTTAGTAGTAGATATCGAGGAATTGGCAAAAGCAGGACACGTGGAAGAGTTTTTAAGCGAAATGCAGGCTCCCGCCATCGTTGGCGTGCGAGCGATTGCCCACGATATCAACGTCGAAGCGCAGATGTGTGAAGGATTGCGACAGTGCGGGTCTTTCAAAGTCCGGCGGCGATGGCGCGCAGCGTTTGAGAGGTTGAATTAGATGTAATAGTAGTGACCGTCATGAGGACTCCAGCTAGAGCAGTATCACTTAGAGTATCGGTATTCGCCGGGCGGAACGGTTCCTGGCAGTTAGGTTGGTTGCCCCTGACGGATCGCGAAACCGAGATGGACCAAAAACGAGCGACGAACGGAGGGCAGGAAGAAAGGGCGGCGATGAAGCGAAGTACAAGCAAGAATTAAAGAAAAGGAAGTAACTAGAAGCCCATTCAAAAGAGTGGCAGCCTGTGGTGAAGCAAACAGGCGGAACTGGAAGAAGAAGCGCCAGAGCAACACAACAGCGTCGATGGGCAAAGTTACGGAAGAGATTGGTGGCTGCGGTACGGGCGTGTATCGGTACGACGTTGCGCGGACCAGACCGCTTTGACGGCGCGGAAAATCAAATACGGCGGTACAGAGTCCTGCGCGCACCAGAACAATAACAACGCTCCTGCCAGCCAGGGACTAAGTAGTGGGTACGGATGCCGCGGAGGCAAAACCAGGGCGCTGTCAGGCGTTGCAGCCCGCAGACTGACGCCCGTTAACGGCGCGCAACCAGACTTCGCTTCGCCATGTGGCGCCGCGAGTATATTAGGTCACGTAAGCGTACTCCGTACTCAGCGTGTAAATACTCGCCTAGCCGTATTATCCACTCTCCACACCACGTGATGATGACAAAGCCCCCCCGCGCCAAGAATTAACGATGAGTCAGCTGCCGCAACGTCATCGCAGGCGTCCACATTTCACTGCGATGGGCTGAGCGACGCTCGCTCTTCTGGCAACCAACACGCTCTCGCCTTCTCCCATCGCCATGTGCTCGCCCGATCTTTTTCTCGGGCTGCTGGCCATCCTCTTTCCGCCAATAGCAGGTATGTAGCTAAGGTCTCTTCCCTTCGTTCCCAGAGAGCGCGAGGGCTAACCACACAAACAACTACAAACAGTGTGGATTAAAGTCGGGCTCTGCTCTGCAGACTCGCTTATTAACATCGCTCTCTGCTGCCTGGGCTACGTTCCTGGTCTCCTTCATGCTTGGTATATCATCCTGAAATACCCCGAAGCCGACGACGAGTATCCAGATGGATACCAGCCCATTGTTGGCGGTACACATCACGATCCTGAGCGAGTGACATACTACTACGTTGCACATCATCGTCAAGGTGACCATGCGCCTTGTGGGAATCATTCGAACCAACGTTCATATGGTACTACGCAAAACGCTGCCCCCGAAGTGCCTCACGCTTCTACAAAACCAGGCCCCCCTGGACCTCCCCAGCACCCTTCCCAACAGCAGTTTCCAGCTTCCTCTGGAAACGCAGGGCCAGGCTCCAGCTCTCAACCTCATGACGAGCATAGGGCACCCCCAACTTACGCAGAGGCCGTGAAGGGAGACCACAAGATTCAAACCTGAGCTGAGACGAGATCGGAGATATGGACCGCTATATGAAGCTGTCAATTGAATGTTCCTGTGTGTGTGTGTGTGTGTGTGTGTGTGTGTGTGTGTGTGTGTGTGTGTGTGTTTGATGGGTGGCTATGGAAGGTGATTGCATAATGCCATAATGATGTTCTGCGATTTTCGTTTCTGGTGCTATTTTCTGTGTCTCTCAACGGCTATCAACAGAGAGCACCCGTTTCTGGCGTTCAATGTGTCCATCTCCTTGTTTTGAAGAATCTCAAATACTCCAACACCGACGACTATCATGGACTTTCTAACGATAGCACTGGTGTGCAAATGTATATCCTCCCAATTTCTCCCTTGTTTTATCGTATTTTACTAGATTTTTCATAGCAATACATATTTTTACAGTCTCACCAAACTCTTCAGAGGTGACGATGATAATAGTAATGTGGTGGTTCATAATTTTTTTTCTTCTTATATTGTTGTTGGCATTGAACTCTCACCGGCCAACATGGGAGGGAAAAGTAAGTTCTCCCGCAAACACTCCGCACATCAAACACGTCCAGCACCGCGCTCATGAAATCGTCTTCATGACGGAGAGGCTTCTGTTGCTGCTCAAGCCATGCAGCCCCTTCCGCGCCTATTTCGACAATCCCTTCGAGCGGGAGCCGCCTTCGCTAAAGCACCGTCGCCTACAACCTCGGCGTTCTTCTCCATTAGACTTGCGTCGCGAACCTCGTTTCGTTCGTCCATATGCCCACAATGCGAATTTCGAGTGCAAACGAGGTTTTATTCCGTCAAAGGTGATGGGATAGGTAATGAACATGGAGGCGATGGTTTAAATGGCCAGCATCCCAGGAATCAGAGCCCAGAGTCGCCTCCACGGTCGAGAAACGACCTGGCCGACAAACCCCAGGGCGGTCATAATTTGCGTGAAGATGGCCCAAAATCAGAGAAAGGTAGCCTGCCTTCGCACTGGGAGAATCGACGCTCGGAAATGTCGAAACAATTTTCCCTGTTGATGGATAATCTACAGTCAAACATATTTATCGCGAATAGACACCTAAACGACTTGACGGGATACTCTGCTATTGAAAAATTAAAAAAGGAAATTTCATTCCAGGGTATGTGCTATTCTAGTTTCGTCCTTCAAGTGAAAAGAAGTCTACATATTCGAATTTAGCTAACACAGCGTTCAAACAGAGGACCATGTTCAACACACGCGCGCACACGTTCGCGAGGCCAAGGACGCATATTCATCTGCCATAGGCCGTCGCTCTGCTTCTCAGCGAGAAGTCAACGAACTTCTCCAAAGAAAGCACGCATGGAGTCCCGCAGACCTCGAACGATTTACCTCACTCTATCGCTCTGATCATGCCAACGAGCGAGCCGAGACCGAAGCCCAGGAGGCTCTTGTAGCCGCTGAGCGCGAGGCGGAGGAAGCAGCAGCCCTTCTGAGCAAAAACATCTTGTCTCGATACCATGAGGAACAAATTTGGTCCGACAAGATTCGGCGGATGAGCACATGGGGCACATGGGGCCTTATGGGGGTCAATGTGCTGCTTTTTTTGATTTTCCAGATCGCAGTTGAGCCCTGGAGGAGAAAAAGGCTGGTGAAAGGATTTGAAGAAAAGGTGATGGATGCTCTCGAGAAGGAGCGAATAGTGGAACCGAGTCATACTGTTGCAACAGCCCATCATACGGCTGAAATTTCCCAAGTCCCAACTCAATCTCAACAGTCTGAGGAAGAGCTCCCGCCTGATATCGAGCCGGTGCAGCGGACGGAACCGAGCTCTGTACCAGGAACTACAGCCACTATCACAGCTACGCCTCCTGATACCGTTTCTGAGAAAGAAACTCAAGACGAAATGCAACTCGAACTCGAGCCTGAACCGGAACCCGTTTTGGAACCCCAAATTACGGCCATTTTTCCTCCTGAACTTTCCTTGTCCCCTGATACCTGGCAACAGACCTTCCGGGACTTGTTCAGCAGTCGTCGTGTGACCTTGTCTCAGCGGGATTTAACAACAGTAGCGCTAGAAAGTGCAGCGGCTGGTGCTGCTGTTATGGGTGTGCTGATAGCCGTTTTTAGGCCTCGATGAGCTATGTTTAACGAGTGATTTGTGGAACCTTTACTTTGAATAGAATCTTAGCGTTGCTTTGGAAATGTACTATTATATAGACATGCCTTGTGCGTCCGTAGAGGATTGCATTTTGAAGAGTCTACTAAACGCTTTGTATATAGGAATGCTTTACTATAGAAGCCCTTAAAAAATCCGGGACTGACGATTCTCTCTAGTTTATATATCATCTCGTTCCATGAGTAAAGAGCTGTGTATAGTCTTGTAATACAAACAATCAAAAAGGAATAATATAGGACCAGTAGAGTATCAAGACGAGAAATACAGAATATGAACAGAGTAGGGTCGGAGAAACCCTAAGTAGGCATAGGAGCGTAGGATGAGTATTCCCTTTTGGTCTCTATATGAACCCAAGACAATAGGTTTCCTTCATCTCCCTGACTGTTTAAACGTAGAACTGGCTCTACATGTGTGATTATTTTTTCATTCTAGCGAGCTTTTCCCGTCTCCATCAAGCCTTTTCACAGTATCTTGGCAGTTGAGTTTTAACCGATGATGAGCGTATCTTCCGAAGGGAAGTCATATTGGGGTACCTCTAGATTGAGCGGTGCGGGGCCTTTTCTAATACGGCCGGAGATATCATAGTGAGAACCGTGGCATGGACAGAACCAACCACCAAAATCACCCGATTCGCCGATGGGGACACAACCGAGATGGGTGCAGACACCTATCACAAAGTCTCAGTATAATTGATGCGGATATTATAGATTGGGAGTTATAGGCATTTGCGTACCCAACATGACAAGCCACTCGGGTTTCTTAACGCGATCAGAGTCCGGCTGAGGATCCCTAAGGCCTTCCCAGCTTGTGTTCTCGGCTTCCGCAATTTCACTGGCGGTTCTGTGACGAATAAAAACAGGCTTGCCTCGCCATTTTATAATGACCTGTGATACTATGTCAGTCACAGTGTCGCCATATTGTTGCCAGGTATCTTGTAACAAATTGACGTACATTCTTTCCTTCGGGAATTGCGTTGAGAGCGATTTCGACTTTGGCTTGAGCGAGGACGTCGGCGGAGGCGGACATATTCACAAGGAAATCTGGACCAATCCATTAGTATGAAGATCATTCGTGCAATGCTTTCTTTTCTCCCTTCTCTGGAGGTGGGCAGCGATATAAAACGCCGCAAACCCAGATCACAATCTCAACGTAATCTAACATACCCTGCACAGTTGCTTTTGCTCCGACGGCGGTAATCAAACCCATACTTCCAGCCATGAAGTATGAAAAGACTTTGTTTGTCGAGGTTCCGCGTGGGCTGACATATTTCTTGAAGCTCGGAATCTTCAGAGAGGAGGGACTCTCCTTGCTGCTACCAAACGGGCTATCAAACGAAGACGTGGTAGTAGTTTCTGCGGTAGATTTCGCTCGGAGTTGCTGCGAGTTTGCGGCGACGGCAAGTGTGCGAGGGAGGGCAAGGTTTTGCCGGGCGCAGACCCGGACAAGGGAAGAGGCAGAGGAAGCGGTAAGAGGACGCATAGCGGGGGACGCAATGGCAAGGAAGAGGCGGTAAAGGATTGCAATTGAGCAAAGACCCAGGGGAGCGGTCTTGACGGGAGCGAGGGTTGACTTGTGATGTTGAAATGTTGATGTTGCGAATTCGTGAAAGTCGGAATCGCCGGCGCGCTGATTGGTCGGCGGCCGCCTCCACCCGAGGCCTATACCGTACACTCCGTGTAGCCCGTATACGCCCATTGCGGCTCATACACTAATTATTACTGATAGATACTGATAAATGGTAGATAAGCGCGAAGTTTGTTCAAGATGGATGTTAATATATAAGAAAGTAGCCTCTTAACGCCGAATTTCCCTATCTAGTAACCGTGTTTCAAGGATTGTCTCCATAGCTAAAGTGCGCCCAACACAGATGCGCCGGTTTTTATGAGAAAATAGTAGTTACAAGAGAGGTGCAATGCGCAAAAGAGTGCATATGCAACGCTGCCTGGAATATCTAGCCATTCATCTCAGCATCTTTCTCTACGGGCTCATCTTGGCCCGGTCCTTCATGAAGAAGAGAGCTGCGAGTCCGGGAGGAATGTATAACCATCGGTGCCCGGGAGGACTGCGCTCCAGTATCATCAAGATTCACCATTGACTCTTCACGCGGTGCCCTCGATTCACCACCTGTATTTAGGGTACGTTCTCCTTTTGGCTTGCTGGCAGCCTCGGCAGCTTCGCGGGCGCCCTTCTCTTTAAATTGTTTATAAGTTGTAGTTTTGGGGATGACATCCGAGAGGAACTCAAGGTTGTCGATTCTGGCAACGGCAGTTGCTATAAGAATTACATATTAGAGCGAAAATACATATGGGCTTATTGGACTCCACGCAGAGTAGTTGCGCACCTAGATCTCTATATTGTATATTTCTCCTTGGCTTTCGCTCTGATTTGACAACATTATAACTCTGCTCGGTGAGATACTGGATAAACATTTCCTATCAAAAGTCCAGTTAGTCAACAGGCTCGTCTTCCTAGGATTGCAATACAGTAGAGTCTCACTGTTGCGACTGAAACTAGAAACGCTGCATTGTTGGAACATTGTGCAATATCCTCGTCAAGACGGATTATCTTCTTGATTCTCGTTACTACAACAGTTTCTCATTATTAGCCGCAGCTGGTACATAGCAGCCATTACATGTTGACACTTACATGGCAAAGTACTCTGGCCAGTCGCCTCCTCTGGCGGGGGAATCGCGTTGGTGTTATAAGGCATGGACTAGACAGAAAGAGGTCGGTATGGGTTTGATGTACTTTTACTGGTGTAGATAGAGTACATATCTGAAGAGGGCAGAGTCGGCTGGATCAGTTGATGTTGCCAAAGAGTGCGGAGGACAACCTCACCAAACGGTTGGCGCAAAATCATGACCAGGAACAGCAACTCCTTCCACGCGCCACACCCAAGGGTTCGGGCATTCTACATACTGTTGCAATTCTAATATAAATCCTTTATAAAAAAAGTGCCGTGCCGCGCTTCACTGGCAACCTCAGCTTGGCGTGCAGTTACTGCAACTGGAGGCCACTATTAAAGAATCTACTTGGTATGAAAGGGCATTCCATTGCTTCAGAATGGTAAAATAGTTGGCGGTTCTATCGGTGTGATGAACCCCAACGTGTCCCTTACCTCCGCTCGCCAACGCCGCCTTTCTGCTCATGCGGCGTCGACGCGCGACATCCGACGCACTTCCGGCAACTCGGTGCTCTCTGGCGACCATGGACCAAACCCAGGGACCACGCACACGGAGTTCAATGGACATATCCCTACAATAACGGAGGAAATTAATGAAATCAAACGATATGATAATTTTACGACCATAGATTGGGTGCAGGATGCGGTTCACGAACAAGCCCGGCGGCGAGCATGGAAGAAACAGGGTGCCAGATCCTGGGATCAAGAGGGCGCGCCTGGCTGGAGACGTAAAGTCAGTGAAGCCTATGATGCTGGCCAGGCCTGGGTGGTTGTGACCATTGTCGGAATTGCCATTGGCCTGAACGCGGCTTTTCTGAATATTGTCACCGAATGGTTGGCGGACATCAAACTGGGATATTGCACAACCGCCTTCTATTTAAATGAAGCCTTTTGCTGCTGGGAAGCAGAGCAGGGAAGTAAGTGTTCAGGCGAATTCCTAAATTTCCATGCCAAACTGACGTCTTCTAGAATGTCCTGAATGGAGACGCTGGAGTACCTTGCCCCCGATAAATTACGTTGTATATTTCTTATTTGCCGTGAGTCTATCTCTTCAAGCTTGAGATGTTTAACTCTGATGGCTTTAGATTTTATTCGCATTTTCTGGTGCTGTCTTAATCGATTCCATTGCCCCATATGCCGCCGGTTCAGGCATATCAGAGGTCAAAGTTATCATTGCAGGCTTTATCATGAAAGGGTTTCTGGGAGCTAGAACACTGTTAATTAAATCTATTGGCTTGCCATTAGCCATTGCTTCCGGGCTTTCTGTCGGGAAAGAAGGGCCGAGTGTCCATATTGCAGTCTGCACTGGAAATGTTATTTCCCGGTGGTTTAGCAAATACAGAAGACATGCAGCTAAGACTCGAGAAATTTTGACTGCAACATCTGCTGCAGGTGTGGCTGTTGCCTTCGGAAGCCCTATAGGTGGTGTACTATTTTCCCTAGAAGTATGGCTCTCACCCCCTATTTTAACCATCCAATTAATTCTTATCTTTATAGGAAATGGCCTCCCATTTTCCTCTCAAAACGCTATGGAGAAGTTATTTTTGTGCTTTGGTTGCTACTAGCATTCTTGCTGTATGTCCGCCTTGCTTATTCGTCTCTTAAATCAATTTACCATAATACTAATTCGATAGGCAATGAATCCATTTCGCACGGGTCAAATAGTTATGTTCCAGGTCAAATACGACCGAACATGGCACTTTTTTGAACTAATCTTCTTTGTGCTCCTTGGAATTTTTGGCGGACTATATGGTGCTTTTGTTATGAAGTGGAATCTCCGGGCACAGGCATTCAGGAAGAAATATCTGTCCCATCATCCCGTCCTTGAAGCAACAGTTTTGGCTGGGCTAACCGCACTTATCTGCTACCCTAACATGTTCATGAGGATTACCATGACCGAGATGATGGAAATCCTTTTTCGTGAATGCGAAGGCAAACATGACTACAACGGGATATGCCAGTAAGCCTGCATTCCATACCTTGGCTTTATATTATGGAGACTCATACATTTAGGGCTGCTCGCCGATGGTCGATGGTATTTTCCCTTTTTATGGCAACCATATTGCGAGTTTTCTTTGTGATTATTTCCTATGGCTGCAAAGTTCCGGCTGGTATTTTCGTACCATCAATGGCTATAGGAGCATCATTCGGACGCATGGTTGGTATTCTTGTCCAAGCACTACAAGAATCGTTCCCAGACTCTAGATTTTTTTCATCATGTGAACCCGATGTTCCGTGTATAACACCAGGAACATACGCATTTCTAGGCGCAGGTGCCGCGCTGAGCGGTATCATGCACCTAACAATTTCGGTCACTGTCATTATGTTTGAATTGACGGGTGCTTTGACGTATATCCTGCCGACCATGGTAAGCCTGTTATTTGCAAATTGTTACTTAGCATTGCTGCTGATCACAATCCGCCAGATTGTTGTTGGAGTTACTAAAGCTGTTAGTGATCGATTTGGAAGAGGAGGTATCGCGGATCGAATGATTTGGTTTAATGGCTTTCCGTTTTTGGATAGCAAAGAAGAGCATATATTCAATGTTCCTGTCTCCCACGCCATGACAAATAACCCCGTTGTTCTTCCAGCAGCAGATTTTCCCGTTCATCAAGCTGATCAACTCCTTGAAAACAACAAATTTCAAGGGTTTCCGATTGTTGAAGATCTTACATCACGCACATTGATTGGGTTTATAGGGCGTACAGAGTTTCAGTACGCACTCAGCCGAGCAAAGCGAGAAGGCCTCCTATCGTCTAACGCAAAATGTCGTTTTGTTCCTCAATCTCACGCATTCGACCCTGACTTATCGTCCACTCCACCCCCCAGCGTTTATTTAGATACTCCAGCTTCGTCGTCTAGACCCCCAGATACACATCTAAACCCTCCTCAAACATTTGATGATATTGCAACATCATCTGGGACCAACTCCATCGATTTAAGTCTGTACGTCGACGTCGCCCCTATAACAGTTCACCCTCGTCTGCCTCTCGAAACCGTTATGGAAATTTTTAAAAAGATGGGGCCGCGTGTGATCCTAGTTGAACATCGTGGTCGATTATCAGGGCTTGTTACCGTGAAAGACTGCCTAAAATACCAGTTCAAAGTAGAACACCAGGAGCTTGCCGAGTCAAACGGGGATAGGGCCCCTTCCAGTGCAAACATCAGGGAGGGATTAGTAGAGCAGAAGGCATGGGAGATTATCCAATGGATTGGTAGAAAAGTTCCGTTATGGAGAAAGCAACGCACTCGATGGGAGAATGAATCTGACAATGCACATAGGGGTCAACGAGATGACTCTTTTGATATCATTGACGGGATAGAAGATATTGATGGAGCCGATGGCGTCGTGGAATTGGAAGAGAGAGACGATGCGAGATTATATTAATCGCCGGATGAATTGTCCTTATATAATTTCTAGATCGTCTCCTCATCCTCCGTATTTAGAACTGTGGTAGGTTTCTGCCATTATACTGTACATATAATACAAAATGAAATTTTGAAGACCTTTCTGAACACACAAATCCAGCATTTCCATATACGGGCTTCAATTGAATCTTTAGCGCTTTTGTCTTCACGTCTTCTTTTGTGGTTTGCTGTCTTGTATTTCGCCCGCATCGTCTCTCAACCCTACAAGAATACACCCGGAGGCCAGGAACGAGGCACCAAGCCACCACAAGGGAGTTACACGCTCATGAAAGATTACCATACCTAGGACTGCAGTGACAAGAAAATTGGCGGTTGTGTTCGTGACAGTGACTTTTGTCGAAGAGCTAGAAGCAGTCAAGGCTCTCGTGAAGAGTGCCCACATTGCCATAGTTGAGAGGGTGTTTAAACCAAGAAAAAACTGGGAGACATCAGTGAAAAGGCAAAAAATAAGAAAAACAGTGAGAAACAATCATACCGCTCGAACGAAATACTCTACTGAAGTATCTACGGGTGCTGAGGAAGAAAGCAAGTGCAATATTTTCCGTGTGAGATTGGCTGTGAGCTGGGCGGTTGTTCTGCTGTAGTGTCAGTGTAACTCCAGTCCTGGCTCCAACGTACAGCGACCAAAAGTCTCGGTGTTCCTTCTATTATACGAAGAGATTCTCTTTTTTGGATCGGACTTACAATTTTGCAAACACACCGTTCAAGGCAGCAAAAGCACCGCTAGCAAGTGCCAGGAAAAGCCATGTCTGCGATTGGGTTACCATGGTCGTCTGCTTCTGATCTTTGATTTGGTTCTTTTTTTGGTCTAATCTTGCGAGAGAAAAAAGAAAGCAATTTGCTCATTAGCACGATGTTTGCCAGAAAATCGTCCTACTACGGCTTTGCTTAGAGAAGGGGAGCCAGGGGCTGCAGAGGATTGATGTTTTCTGGGCCTGTGTGCACGACCATTAAACATACCAGAGAAATTAGGCTCTTTCAAGCGGTTCTGTGACTCTTGCTGCCCCGGCTTCCCCCCTCGCCGGCGAACTGATGACGAGTTTGCCATATTAGCTGCGCTGCTTTGGACTGCCCCCTTTAGCTTAGTTTTGCTCTTTGAGCACGTTTGTGATAGTCAATCAATAGTTAACTAATCAAGCTAGAGTAGAGACTGGAGATCGTTGAGCAAGCTTCACCCTGGGCATCGGTGGGAGTTGATAGAGCCACCTATGACGCCCAACTTCGAGGTAGCTTGATGGGAGGACCAATGTTGATCCGCGCCGTTCACCAATGCCCTCCACAGCAAACTCTATTACCACCAACAACATGAAGTAGAGATCCGCGACAACATGTGCAGTTCATGAATGGGAAGCTCTCCGATCTTGAAGACGTTCTACTCTTTTTTACAAAAATATTAATAGTCTAAAGGGATTATCTTCGTCACTCTTTGGTCCAGGATCTGTGGAGGATATTATCCCTCGGGTGAAACACATCCGTGAACAAATACGATGACGATGCATGGTTTGTGATATGATCAAATTCGCAGGCAAACCATGTAGATCCCAAATACCGACACTCATTCAATCAATGCTTGGAAAATTCGGTGCAGCTCGCCTCCATCTCGACTACTTTACGCAAGAATTTACTGGACAAACAAGCTCTGCTGTCGCGAACCCCAATTCCAAAACTCCTCTACTCTGACTGGTTGAGATGACACTCAATAATCGTGACCTCGTCTGCAGGGCTCTTCCAAAATTTAGTTGTCACAAGACCCGCCTTTCCCACCAGAGTTGAATACTCGTCCCGTGTTCGTTGTCTGCCGTTGACACACGCCAGCACTTGAAGGTCTAACCTACTCGTAAGCACAGCACCCCAATTCGCAAGAAGCGGTGGTGGTGCAATGAAATTTCTTTCATGGCGCAAATCCGCAGGTCTATAAGTTGGGAAGGCAACGTGCTCGCATATGAATAACTTGCTGGAGCCCCCCATCGCACGACTAATATTGCCTAGGATCTTGATAGCTTGGTCATCGGGCCAATTATGAATAACACGGCGCAAGAAATAGATATCAGCCTCCTTGATGGGCTGTTCATTGAAAAAGTCATGCCCCATAAAACGTACTCGGTCGGAGCCTTGGAACTCGGGATAGTTCTTTTTCATGTGCTGCGGAAATGAGAGAATTAGGGAAGCAGTACGGAGTAGGTGCATTTGCAAAAAAGAAAACTAACCTTGTGAAAGCTACCTTTGTTTGTCGGTAAATCCTGCACCAGGAGCCTCAGATTGGAAAACCTTTTGATTATCGGCATTGTGCCGCCGCCCACACCTCCACCTACATCCACCACTAGCGTGCCAGATTTCTCAGCGGCCCATGGATACACTGGAGTATTTTCAATTAATTATGGCATATGCATTGATTGTAATATGTCGAGGCAGCTACTCACAACCTAGGAACGCTTCCCAGCCGATAGGCAAGCTGGCAAAGGCCGCGCCTCCTCGCTCAGCCAAATCAGGGCGAAGCTGTTTCCAATACTCATACATACCGAAATCTGTATTAAATGCAAGATTGAATGCTGTCTTGTTTGCTGCAGATGAGCACTTGAAACTTGGGTGTACAAGAGCCTCCCAACTCTTTCGGGTTGCTGCCCCAATTTCATCGGTACTACGATGAATCAGTTAAGCCTGTTTGTGCCTCAATTTCGGTGCCTAGTACTCACTTCAACTGACAAAGTGCTTTGACCCCTTCGGATTTCAACAGAATGGACAATTCATTATTCGCAAATACTTGAGGCTCAAGTTCTTGGAATATATGCAAGTTACTTAGTGCTCGAAGGTAGCGTGCGAGTTTGTCTGCTTCGATTCCCGTCTTTTTTTCAAGCTCGTCCACATGAAGGGGGTGATCAGAAATAACGTTGGCTATATCAGCCTGACTAACGGTGTTTAAGGCTGACATGTCGTTGACCTAGTTAGGCGGCGGTATCAGAAATTTTTTTCTCTCTTTCTTTCGCCTAATTGATTCACATACGCTAAATATAATTTCTGTCATATAGTTATCAACATCACAAAGCGCTCTCAGCATCATGCCGGAGCTTGAAATACATCTCAAAGCACGTGCAATGGCCGGGTCATATCTATCTCGAATTGGATGACGCTTGCCCTCCGAGAGGTCTAGCGGGGGGTCATGGTGTTTTTTGATGTCTTCCTGGACGAGATCGATAGATGCATTGATCAACTGACGAAGCAGTTCTAATGGGGTTTGGGTGCGCTCCATAATTACTAACTCTCTTGGAAATTTTCTGGCTTTGGTCTGTCCATAAAACCTGCCGGTCCTCTATACTTCAATTTATAGATGGCGATGCTTCCAGTCAAAGTTGCAGTTGAGGCACAATCAGCTGAATCCTGGGTGTAGCTCACATCATTGGCAGCACGCACTCGCCTTATCTTTCCTGTCTTTTTGGTCCATCGGACATGATGTGATAGCATCATGGGCATCTATTGGCCCTGTTTACCGTATTCGCAAAGCACGGAACTTGTTAGAAACTTCCTCTATTTGTACAAGCTATAAAGCATCATCAAAGTATTAACTTCGGCGGGGCGGAGATAACGCTATTGAAAGCTGAAGTGAATAGTCTAGAATGGACTTTAACTCTAAGCATCTGAATTGCAAATATGTATGAGCTAAGCTGCCCGTCCTGTTCAGATACACGCGTTATAGTAGGGAAGCAATCTGGGAAACCACTATCGATCGTTTTAAGCAAATGCAATTCATCTCGAGAAGCACCCGCAATCTGACCTACACATAGGCCGAGGGGCAAACAGAGAGGGTGGGAAAGCAGTATCGCTTTTATGTTGGATGATGATATCCATGTCAATTTTTCGTTATTATGTCGTAATCCGGGTACTTTTAAACGGCGACCTCCCCTTTACTGGACCAATACCCATTTGAAAAGTATATTATTGGTTGCTTTTGGGATATAGGCATACGAAAGTTGATCGAGATGTTTTCACATGTCGAGTATCATGATCATTCTTCTGCCTGGATTCGCCTCCAAGTCCGTTTCCCAGGCACGAAGAGAGCAGTTGAAGACTTAATCGTATGCGGCTAAGTTTTAGCGATACTATATCACTAAACAATGAGATATTCATACCAGGCTAACAGTCATGAAGAATATGTTGGGAAAAAAGGATGTATGCATATATGTATCATGGGAAAAAAGCTTTATGGAAGTGCTCCATTGGAGACAAGCTCGAAAGAGAAGATAGTGGGCACTGCGTGTCATAAGAGGCGTGAGGGTCAATCATAATATATGTATATATATGTGTGTTAATGCCGTGGTCCTTCTGCTGCTAGGCTATCGTGATTTACATCCGGATGAGGCAACAGCCAACAGCAAGGCGTCTATTATGGTGAGAGTCTCTGGATTCGCCATCTAAATGTCTTTGCATCCCCCTCTTCCTGCGGCTCGTCTTCACTGTGTACTCTAATATACCGGAATCTGTCGTGCAACCGGCTCTTTCTCCCTTGCCAGAACTCTACAGACTCTGGAACAAGCCGCACACCCCCCCAAAAAGGGGGCAGCGGAATCTCTTCGGTGTCCGCAAATCTTTTTTCCATCTCCGTGACCCGATTTTCCAACGTAGTACGGCCATCATCAGTGGCATAATTTTTATATCCGCTAGTAGAACAAGCATTATTATCAGAGCCGGCGGCTGCGTCGCCTAGATCTCCAGGCTCCGTAGACCAGAGTACTTTGCTCTGTTGGCTGGCCCATGCCCCAATCTGACTACCCCTTTCCCTTACTCGCCAATATGTCTCGCTCTCTTCACGGCTCAACATCTCGATCAGCCCTTCGATACGCACCTGACGTTCCACATTTGGCCAGTTAAACGTGAGAGCTGCCCACCGGTTGGCCTGTAGCCGTCCCTGTCCGCTGTCCGATATTACACTCCCATTCTGTGCCTGCCCGTCAAGACCGGTCTCAGTCCCAAATACCTGGCCGCCTTTGCCCGCCCGGCTGCCCCAGTTGCTATATACAACCCAGCCGCGCTCGTCCAGCTCTTTCAGGTACACGATTCGTGCACTGACCCTGCCTGAAGGCATGCTGGCTGTGGCCAGCGTACATGTTTCTGGTGCTTGAGAAGGCTGCAGTCTGGAGTCGCGAAACCAAGAGTGGAACTGGTGGAGGGGGTTGGTGGGGTGGATTTGAGAGATGGTCAGGGGCGGATTGGTGACGAATTGATGGGCACGGGCGGCGCGAGAGACCACGGCAGCATTGGCAGAGGGAGTTGATGTGCCTGAGAGTGTGGGATCGTCGAGATCAGGCAATGGGGGCTGCAGGGAGGAAGGGTGAGAGACAAGTGGTTGGTTGGTGATGGGCACTGCTGCGGCTGCGGGGGCCGAAAGGGGCCCCTGGATATCGCCAGGCGCAACTGGACGGTGATCAGCCAAGCTTTATTAAGAAATTAAGTAGATATGGGAAGATAGAGCCGTACAGATCAGCCTCTTGGGGTGGTGGTGAGGGTGGCTGTCGGAATGGTCCTCATCGCTGGCGGGCTGCGGGTTTCCCGAAGCCATGTTTCTTTGAAAAGGCGCAAGACTGAGTGATTGAGGTGGCCGCCAGAACTTGTTGCGAACCAGAGACGACAGCTGAAGCATTCAATTTGGTCGTTACGTGGAGTGGGAGTTCTATGAGAATGGAAGCAATGCCAGGCTCATCGGCTAGTCAAACTTCCCGCAACGCCAAAATGCCACCCAAACGGCCATCACTCCCGGGCAGTTCCGGGCATCCATATGACGGACAACTTGAGTTCCCTTGACAAGCATGCAAGAGGTTGAAGGTGGCGTGATATCTGGTCTACGGATACGAATGGCTTGGAAAATATGCAAATTTCGTACGATCTTTGATCTATATAGCATTCCGGATCCCGACAGGGCCACATAACAGCAATAATATACATCATGAGCCAGTCATTTTTTAATCCAGAAGAGAGTAGAGATGTGTCTATCCAGTAAAAGCAAATGATCATCCAGCAATGCCCAACCAAATCCGCCTTAACATAGAAAATTCTGTCCGTGACGCCGTCCGCTAGCATGAACAGTTATATCAAACACCGATAACACCATCTTTTTTGGAAGAAGTAAACAAAGTATATATCACCGAAAAGGAAATAGAACTGTGGGTTGATAAGAACAAACCCGGCCGTTTTTCAAAAATTGGAGACAAGAAAAGGAAGAAAACGGAATTAGAACCTGATTTAAATGTCTGAAAAGGCGCGGTGTATGAAAGTAAATGCAAAATGGGGTATATCAAATCAAAACACCACAGTCTATTCAATTTCCACGCAAAATCAATCTGAATCAAGGCTAGACCATCATATGGTAGTAGCAGAGACGCTGCCGCCACTAACCAGCTCCACCACCTTGCTGGCAACGGCAGAAGGATATCCACGGGAGAGCATCTCCTGAACGACGGCAGACGCATTTTGTCGATCCTCAGCTGCAAGGAATGCCCGAGTCATGGCCTCGTATGTGCTAGGCTCGCGCTTCTGCATGCCCAGGCTGTCATACATACTCTTTGCATTGACAACATTGCCATCGGCCGCCCAACCGTGAATCAGGGTGTTGGCGATGTATGCTGTCATCTCAACGCCCCGTTTTTTCATATCCTCAACGAGCGCGGTGGTATCGGTAACTTTATGATTGGCGACCATCGCTTCGAAGAGAGCCTGATACAAACAGGCTTGAGGTTTCAAGGCACCATTAGACAGAGCAGCATCGAAAACCCGACGAGCACCTTCCATGTCGTGGAGAACGCATCCTTTGGCGTGAATGAGAGACGCGTAATGAACGCCTTCAGGTTGTTGTCCAGTCGACCGGATAGCCTCCATGATGCCTTCTGCGGCCGCCATGTTCACCGGTTCCAACGAAGCGTATGCATCAATAAGAAGCTTATAGGTGTGCATAGTAGGTTCGATATTCTTGGACTTCATCCGTTCATAATACGTTAGAACCTTTGTTCGATCGCGCTTGGTATTAAGGAAATATTGAATGAGCGAGTTGTATGGTGCTGGTCGCGGCTTGTAGTTCGGCATAGACTCCATCTCATCAAACATTTCTTCGGCAAAACGTTCATCACTAACCCTGCAGAGAGCATTGACGATTGTGCCATATGTAACACTGGTTGGGCGAACACCATTGGCACGCATTTCTGCAAAGTACAGCAAACAGTCATCAATGCGGCGAGCCTTGCCGAGTTTTCCGATCAGTGCGTTATACAAGAATGACGTGGGCTCAACGCCCTCGGACATAGCCCTGTGGAATATTTTCACGGCTTCTGTTGCCTCATCGAAGGTCTTGGTGGAATCCTTTAGGGTGGTGATGTAGAGGCCAAAAGTATTCGCTGAAGGTGCGGCGCCCATGTTCAACAGCTCTTGGTGGTACTTTGCAGCTAGGCCACGCTCGCCTGAGGTCAAGCAAGCAGCAACCATGGCATCAAAGATAGAAGTCCAACCATATTTCACGGCACCATACTGAGGAATTAGGGGCACGTCGTGTCTGGCCATTCCAAGGATTTCTTGAACTAGGTTCATTCGGCCACACTTGGCAGCTGCCGTGATTAATTTGGCATACGTGATGTACCTTGGATGTCTCCCAATACGGCGCATATTTCTGAATTTGATCATGGCGGTATTGAGGTGGTCGTCCAATCGGCCGCGAGAGCTTTCGAGCTCTTCCGCGATAACAGCAGAGCCTCGGAAATCAGTTGAGTGTGCATAGGGATCGAATGAATCTTCTGGGTAGGTTGGTTTCAAGCCAGGAGAAGCTTTCGTCACGGGAGTGTAAGGTGGCGAAACAAAGGTCCGTTCTGCGGGAGGCTGAGTAAAGCGTTGCCATCGTCGTAGTAGGTCAGGTCGACTGTCACTAAGCTTTGCAACTCCTTGACCTAAGAGCTGTTTGGTGTATTGGTTGATTGGTATTCCCGTTGACATGGCAAGCTCAAGCATATGAGCAAAACGAGCAGGATGTGCCGCGTCAAACAGAGGCGACCCATTGACAAGCATACCGGTTTGGACTTGAAGGGCAAGATTGAGATCATTGGCACTTAGATGAGCAATTTCCATGGGCCCAAGGCTTGCAACGGCATGCTCTGCCACTGGAGAAACCAACCCACCGTTCTCAACCATAGACCACAAAAGAGTCATAGCAGCGTGAGATGAAATGTTTGGCGATGACTCCACCAAGATTCGACCAAAGAGTTCAATAGCTTCATCAATTTCTTCGCGCAGTTGGCCCTGTTTATTCATGCTGCTATTCCTGATTTTGGTGAACATAGTACGGGCTTGACTTAGGCCTTCGTCGATATCGCCACTCCTCAGAAGAGCGACAGCATACATGGCAGTAGGCTGGATGATATCTGCAGCTGCACGGCTGTTGGAGGCTAATATAGCCCACTGAGATTTCGCCGACATGAGATCACCCTGGCGAACATACATGGCCATCATGGCGACAACAGGGATTCCATCGCAAGGTTTCTCCACAGACAAAAGATCGTATGCTTCGGAAGCAACGGCAGACTCCCCTGCATCTGCAGCGGCTGCGCAAATTTTCGACACGGCCAAAGTCAAAATGTCTCCACCAAGGCTAGTACGAGCAGTCTGAAGGGCATCAGCAAAATTGCCGGCGTTCAAAGAGTGTTGGATGAGGCCATCCTGCATGATGACATTTTCCGCAGCCGTCAATCGTTGTTCCCGGTTCTCAACACCATCAAAGGAAGCCCTGATTTTGTCGAGGAATCGGAGGGCTCCATCATTTTTGCCGCATGTCATGTATGCCTTGACAACAGCGGCATAAACTTGCTCGTCTTTCCTGTCAACTATGCCAAAAACGCCGCTGTTATCGGCAATGGCCAATGCTTTGTATTCGTTGTAGCACTCAACTGCACTTTTTAGGTCACCGCTGGCCGCAAAAGCGTCGATCATCGGAGGGAACATAGCAGCATGGGGTGCAACTTTGTTGGCTTCCATGTGGGCAAAAATCTGGATCATCTTGTCGACTTCTCCACGCAATGCGCAGGCAGTTAGGAGGGTCTGATATACATTGATTGGAAATACAATGCCCCGGTGACGAGAAGTGGCCAGTGTGAACAATTTCAAAGCAATAGGTAGAGAATGGTCCTCAACTAAGAGTTCATGCTCCACCTCGCTAGATCGGAAGATGAACTTCCCGGGTTCATCCATGCCTCCATAGCGGACTCGTCCTTGTTCAAGTTTCTGGACCATATGCTGACAATCCAGTGCACGGGTAGAAAGAAGTTGTACCAAGGTTTGATACGTTTCTTCATTTGGCATGACATTTCGGCGGATCATATCAGAGTAAATATCAAGGGCTTTTGGTACTGCATGGTAAACATCTGGATGCAGGTGAATGGCTGCCTGAAGAAGCGCGTTATATGCACCAGCACTTGGAAGCAAGCCATCCTTAAGTAAAGCTTCAAATGCGGCAGGGATTTGAGCGAATGAACCAGTTGATGAAAGCTCCTCGATCCGCTTAGACTCCTTGTTGGTCGAGGGTAATTGTTTTGATGCACCGTGCGGCGTTGCTGGCACAGAAGCGGCGTCTTGAACGGACGAAACGGGTGTTAGCTCGGCGCTGGAGCCTTCCTTAGAATCGAATATCTCCGCAGAATCAGCGTTAGACGCTGGAGCGGTGTCAACATTCTCCGCAGCATCCTGAATCTGTTGAATCTCACGAGCAACGGCCTCGTCGACCTTGGCACTGACATCTTTATCGACAGGAGCGCTTTCGACGGATCGCAAACTGCGATTTTCCGCCAATGACGTGGAGGACAGAGAATTTGGGTCTTCCTTTACAAGCTGTTTTTCAAGCTTGCCATCTTCCTTAGCGTCCTTAGCACCCGCCTTGTAGCCAATTCTTTTTGTAAACTGATATTGTTTCCAGTCTGCTTCATCTCCAGTCTGTTGTGCGAGCTGCCATGCTGCAAAATAAGCAGCTAAACCGGAATCACCCGAAGGGAGATTGGAAGCAGCGTGTCCTGCCTTCGGACCGGCATTCGATGAGCCGGAAGCATGCTGGAAAGCGTTTTGGAGTTGAGCAGTCCGAGTAAACTTTCCGGGAAGGGCGGTGATTTGATTTAGGGAAGTGTTCGAGGAGGCATAGGACGATTGCGATGCGGCAACAACGGATTGGGCGTAGCCGTGGGCAAAGGTCTTCGAAAAGGTCTGACGCGCGAGGTGTGTAAATGGCTTAAACACCATTTATCTTATAGGGTGCCTCTCCAGGTTGAAGAGGAGGTTCTACAATGAACAGTTAGGGCTTGGCAGATGGGATTCTTGGAGTTGACTCACATCTGCACTCGGGGATAACTGGACTCGCAGGTTCATTTGACGACCTGTAGCCGTCAATGAACGCGCACCGGGGTGGTAAAGAAGAATGTGAATGGATAAAGAACCGAGCCGGCTGTTTGACTGCCAGCAGCGGGAGAAATGGCGATTGAGTTTGATCGAGTGACACAAAAATTATAGTATGGATGGTTGAGGAGAGAAGTATAAATCCTCTCCCGAATAGCTCTCCTTAGTATTCCAGAAAGAAAACTCAGAGAGGAGAATTCCAGTCAGAAGCAATGTGGCCTTTCGAAAAAAAAAAGAGCGGCAACGATGCTGACGCCTGCATATTATTAAAGAAATCCACGGTGGAATCTTTTGCAATACGCAACATTCGGTTCTAGGATTTGAAAATTACGCTAGTCTAACCATATGTGGCCAAAAAATCCAAACACCAGCGCATCCATTGGCCAATATATAACCTCGGAACCGACAGTACTGTATTGGCGTGTATCCGCTCTCGTGACGGGCTGTGCCTTCTTTCGTATTTGGGGCTTTGAAATCGTACGATATCACTCGCGCTGGTCTGAATCCCACGCAAAGAACGTCGCAAAGGGGTCAACGTACAATGGCGCAGAATTTCATCGTGCTGCTACCACCGCTTGGCTGCTGTACAGGCACTGCAGTCGATATCCATGCCCGAAAGCCCCGAGAGTGACAGAACCCGCCAGAGCCGAATGACTCAGCGGCCGTTCCGAGAAATTATCGGCCCCGCAACCCTTCCCGAAAAGGGAACCTGTCGTCGCCGCGCCCCTTGAGCCGCTGACATCACCCTCGGTGAGCGGGAGATCGGCCGCGTTGGATGCGGGTGGCAGGACGGATGCTTCTGCAGTTGTCTTTTGGCGAAACAATAATCCCGAAGCTCAGCTGAAGCCATGCTGTACGGCTTTGGGGCCAAATAATCCATTCTTCACTCCTGAATCACTGTCGTATGATGCAAGCATTCGAAAGCTCCTTGACCAATTGCATTGCCTCGAGCCCCGCTCCATACTAGGGTGGACATGCCCTAGAAACGCTATAAAACTCCACCTATTTGCAAACAGGGAATAGTTCTCTCGCGTGGCCCTACTCCGTATGCATACGTACCCTCAGGATAAATCCAACCCCGATTTTTTAGCTCCTAAAATTCACATGTTGCGTTTAAATACTAACTACTCCGTACCCCAGATTTTTCGGAAAGCCGTGTGCTAGTTTCCGCACTCGTTAACGCTTCGAGGCACGCTGTACCGGGCTGGAAATGCTGGCACTCCTGACCACGGCATCGATCGATCCGGAGACTTGAGGAATCTCACCCGTCACCTTCGTTGGTGCCAGAGAGGCCGGTGCGGGCAAATGCAGGTTCCTAGCAACGATACTAGCTGGTAGCTCCAAGGACGGTATCGACGCATCCATTGTCGTCGGCACAGTCGGGCTTACCTTTACCGATGTCGATGGTGGTATGGCCGTCGGTTTACTTTTCGACGCTGTGACCTCGGCATAAAACGCTTCAAGCTTTTCAACGTTAGAGCAGAACGCACGCATTTCATCTTTGATCTGGCGTGTAACGTAGTAGGAGTTTCGCACCCCCTCCTTTATGGGGACAGGGGGTGGTGGGCTGAAAATCCCTAAACTGTCTCCTCCAGGGATGGGCCGAACGACTGGTGGAGCCAGCGGAGAACGACGATCGAGTGGATCGAGTGTCACTGCTCTAGCACGTGGAAAATACTCCGAGGAGCGATCGAATCGGCTAGGATCTTTAAAATTCACTGGGCTGTGGCTGTTGTAGAAACGGTTGGAGAGAAGAAGAAAATGGCCTTCATCAGTGATTTGAGCAAGAGCCGCTCCGCTGCGGTGAACATATTGGGGGAATTGATAGCTGGGTCTGCCCCAACTGTAAAAGACGTCCACGTCAGGGGGAAATGAATCTTTGGCTTCAAAATCTAGGACAAAATCAAATTTTTTCAAAATTGCCCTTTGGTATAAATAGCGGTCAGGTACTGCCTGCGAAGTAAACGACGTTGCAGTGGGTAACGTCGTTGCATTGACTTCGGGAGGGTTGACTTTTAGTTTAATGGGATACGGCCGCCGGAATACCTGTCTTTCCACGATGGATGATGCTTCAGATATCGGTAGCTCAACAAGTTTCAATCCATATTTTTCTGCTGTTCCAACCCAGGACATGATAGCATCTTCCACAAGCTTAGGCGTGGCATTCATCCAGCTTAGCTCGATATGGAAACAATTTTCCGGGTTATGAGTCCTGTCGTAATGGAGGTCAATGATTTCCGGTCGATCCGATCGGTTGCGTGGGTCAACATTATATTTCAAGGATTTCGCGAGGAAAACTGATGGTCGAGGCCGGTTTAATCTTGGATTGCTTGTAACGTCGACTTTACCCAGATCGTCGACACTTTTATCTGACCTTGTATAGGTGCTGGATGGCGATTGCTTTTTGCCTTCACCCACGGGGGTATTTGGACTGGCTTTGTCAGTCTTGCGCGGCTGAAACCATCCACCTCTTGATTCTGGGCGAGGTATCCTAAATTCGTCTGAAATCTGATAGAAGTAATTGCCATCTCTGAAATCGTGACGCCGCTGAACGTGGTTGAACAACCCATGCTTCATCAGCTCGTTTCCAAATTCGACTGCCTCTTCCCTACTATCAATATCGCGAAAGTTTAGTAAAAGCCAAGTTGTGAACTCCATGCCAACAAAGCAATTGTAATGAAGACGCCAGTGCCATCTTCTATCCATCAATTTTACCCCTTTCTTACTTTGAATTCTCTGGGACAAGAACGAAAGGGTAATGTCCGATCTTGTGAGCAACTCTGAATCAGGTAGTAACTGGGCAGGTGTATTGTCTAGTCCAGGATCTTCTAAAAGTAATCTATCGAGCTCAGCAGCCACAACTACTGAAGGATCACTTGTTTGGTATATGATGTTTAAAGGGTTTTCGTCTTTGCTTTTGAGGGTAGCAGGCTTCAGCCGCTTGACTTCTGGAGGTACGTATCTGTATCGTTGCCACATTTGAGTTAGCTTGTAAATTCCAAGAAGGTGAATTTCCTCTTCATTGTCCTCGTGATATGAAGAGATTTGCATTCTCGCATTTGTGGGCACCTGGACAGGTATTAAGACAAATCTGGTTCGCCAAAATCGAAGTTGTTTGATAGAATTGGTGATATGGTCTCTATGGCCGGCAATAAATGCATCCGCTAAATTCCAATTATACTCTTCCGGAGGTACACCCAAAATGATAGTATTTTTGCAATACTGGGCGCTCAAAATGGTTTTAACAGCCGGACTATAACTTATCGAAGCGTCATCCAGTTCGTCGGTGGGAAATCCATTCAGCAATCGGCGGCTGAACTTCGTAACTTCAATTTCGCCTTCAGCGCATACGATTCTGTGAATAACATTCCCTCTCACCATGAAAATGGTTGCACCATCTTTTGGCAATGTCTTAGTATCAAAGATATTGACGAGGCCTGTGGATGGATCTTCCACTCGTTTCCCAACAACTATTTGGAACCCGTGAGATAACCTCAAGGCAATCATTTCTCGAAGTAGCATTTCTCTCGTTTTAGGCGTTTCATAACCAGGATCTTCATTTTGATAAACTCTATATGGACTTTGAAGGAAGTTCGTAGTAAGCTCCGCGTCCGAAGGTAGCTCCTCGGTAGTGAGTGGTAGTGACGCTGGCGACTTTAAACTCTTCCACTTTACGGATATCGTTTTTGGCATTCGGGGATAGACATGATGCCAGCGTCCAAACCAGCTTGCACGAGTAGGGGCATGCTTTGGCGGATTCCAGGGATTGACAGAGCGTATCCAAGGAGACAGTGCATCTGCAGCAGACACTGTTGAAGTAGCAGAAGACTCGCCATTGCTGAGAAGGTCCAACCTCCTTCCTGTTCTTTTGACAGGCAGTGTCCCTTGACTATCGTGTTGTAACGAATCATGCCGCATTTCACCTGTGTGGGAGGAGAAGGTTTCGTCTAAATGCATCGGCTCGATGCTACTGTCATCATCAACCTGTCGAGCAATTTTAATAGAAATAGGCTTTGATGGCGTCATTATTTCAATATCCTCAGCAATATTATCCACAGTATTCCAGAACCTGGGCGTCGTAGCTCCAGAGTTAAGAGGAGATGATGTTTTTGGTGTGTCAACAGCAGAAGCTTCGGATGTAGCGTCCTCTGGAGTTTTGCCACCGGTTGTTGGTAGAGCCTGGACATGTTCGGCATTTATTTCAGTCCTTGCCTGTGCTCTTGGAGGAGCAGCACCAAGTCCACGTAAAGCAAAGCTAATGGATTTGGAAATACGCGGAACGGTCAACCGAGGCCTCGGCTTGATACTGGACCTCCTCTCTGCAATGAGTGATGGGACTGTCATTTTGGTTGACGGAGAAGGAGCTTCTTCGTCAATTCGGTCATATTTGATACGAGGTCGACTAAAAGGGGATATATACTGGCCATCTCTTTCATTTACGTCCCTGTTCCGTTTGATTTCCGGCGGCTTGAAAGTGGTACTTTCAGCTACCTCAGTAATCTGTTTCCCTTTTGGCCGCTTCACAGAGCGTTGTTGCCGCTGCTGCTGTACCTTCGGATGGAAAATTAAGTGGTCATACTCATCCATCCATTCGATGAGGTTCGTACGTTGTTTGGCTTGCGGTGGCAGCATACTCTTCTTAGACTCTTTTATGTTATACATGTACGATTTAGGCCGGAATCCGTCACCTCCATGTGATCTATAAGATGATTCTGGGGATGGGCTGTGGCCAAGAGACGTACCAAGAGAGATCATGGTATTGGGACGTTTCTGGTGGCGAGTTGAAGAAGCCATAGGAGGAATGGATACGCTTGACTGTTCACTCTCCATGACGCCCATCATCTGTATTTCATAAAGCCTCACCTTTGGAACAAAAGGTTGAGACCGTTTTGAAAACGTGGCCATTGCTGGAAGAGCTATAGATCCTTTTTTTGATGCGACTCTACTGGCCCGGTCCAGCTTGGGATCCCAAAAAGAGATGTCCACCCAATGTGGAATACCATAACCCCATTCGTCTTCTTCAGCAGTACCTCCTATACTTTCGAGAGCCTGGTCAGAAAATGCGCTCCCCGGCCTATCAAGAGGAGAAAGGCGACCTGTGGATAAACTGATTGACATTCGACGATGCTCGTTTTGATGTAGTCGGTTTGAAATGGAGCCGCCATGCTGATGAGATGTATTGCGAGGAAGCTTGTACTTGAAGAGTGGAACTGAATGAAGCGGCATAGGGCTAAGACAAATGAGGTCAATGCCTATGGCTCGACTAGTAAGTACGTCTGAAGTCAAAGCCAACATCTTGAACGGAACCTCAAATACGCCCGTTCCTGGAGTAATAATAACTATTGAAGTTCCTGTTCTAACCAGGTCGCGACCAATATGCTCGAAAGCGAGGTAAGATGTTGCAACGTTAATCGCCTCCAGGATATTACCACGGACCGCAGATGTTGGGCACCCAGCAATTTTAGGGGGGAAGGAATCGGTAAACCTAGGGATATCTTCCGCTGCAATTGACGTCTCCGGGAAATATGGGGGAGGTATTGAGACATCTCGCAGGAAGACACGGAATTCTTGTTTCAATGTGTCCAAAATGGTAGTCCACTGGCCACTAGGCATGTCGTTGACCACAACACGATAAAAGTCTTGAGTGTGCGGTGAAGAATCGTCGGGTGAGCGGTTCAAAAAGGCGCTGTTTAGAGCACTGGGTCCCGAAGCTAGAGCTTCAAGGTCATATTGCACTCTTGTAAAGAGGACGATGGTGACTAGGTGATGAGCATCGATACGCGCCCACCGCTTGAATAATTCTGGCAACATGCTGTTAATCACTCGGCTGAACAGAATGTCGCCGGTGGGCTCCGAATCGAAATCCCACATTTCCTTAGACATTTGAATGAAAAGAACAAACCGCGCTGATTCGCTTCGAAAGATAGGAATCGTGTTTGGGGAGAAATAAGCAGACAGTGACTTTTTGCCTCTGATGTATACAGACTTTACAGTGGCCTTGATGCTATTCATGAAAAGAATTTTCTGGCCCTTGTAGATGGGCCGGTCCACAAGATCCGACATGGTCAATCTCCACATATCGGAACGAAGAAGAAACTGGTCCCGAAAGATCAATTCCACGTGGGATGCCGTGCACGTCTCAGGTTTTCTGTGCGAGATCTGGACCTGCATGCGGTTCTTGAAGCCAAAGGCATTGGCCACGGTGTGGGAAACGGAGACTTGGAGATTGGGGTGTCTGGATTTCACCTCGGGCGGAAAGGGCTTGATGGTAAATAGAAAACGCGCAGAAATTCTCCTCTTCGGGTCTCTGCCGTATGCGAATTTCAAAGAGCTAGTTCCACGGCCCAGGGATCTCCGCGAGAAAAATGCGCCATCATGAAAATACGTGCCGGCGGATTCGGACTTCCTGTGAGAGAGTAATTGCTCGCCATGTGCAGGCATTACTTCAACCAGCTGTCCCACCTTGAATCCTACATCGCCCAGGGCTTGAACGTTGCAGAGAACATCCTCGCGGGAGAACGTCTCCTCGTGGATCCAAAGAGTATATGTTCGTGGGACAGGGGTTCTTGGCGAAGGGTGAGATGAACCAGCTCTGGCAGACTCGAGCTTCGCATCTTGGAAATGGGCAGTAGTTCCCCGAGAAAGGGTGGGTTCAGCACCGGTTGGGTGCAGCTGCCGCGGAGGCAGACCCTTGATAGACCCAGACTGGTGCAGTGCCATGATGTTCAGGATGCAACAAATCTAGAAAGTAGGGCTGACAAGCATTCATCATGTCTCAGTGCCATCATTGAAAGGGTCTTCTAGTGCTGGATAATGCAGATGGAGACACACAATGCCAGAACATAGAACGTGGTGAGGGAGATGTGAGGTTGATCAGGCGAAAGGGTGTCCGCACGTGACTGAACAAACTAGACAAACATCGCAAAGCAAACATTCCGATTAGTTATGTAAGATGTTTCTCTCTGATTGGACTGCATCTCCAGCCACGTCAAAGTGGCTGAGCTGGCACGCGCTAACGCCAAGGGTGTCAAGTCTGCGCCCAGGAAGCTTGTGTGGCGGCCGTCAAACCTTGGAAAAACGGGGCTTGAACCTCAACCTATACTAGCCCCCTTATTATTTTGGCTTTCGCTGTGTTTATTGTTGCCGTCTTCAGCTGCTATGGCCAACAGCACCAGAGGCTATGCTCACCACAATCTGTAGAGACTCTTGCAATAACTTCAGACATTTCAATGCTCATACTGTAAGTTCTGTAAGAAGTACCTAGTTATATAGGCTCTCTGCTTCTAGGTGTATGTACGCTGCTTGCCCGCAAAACACATCGCCTAAAGATCCCCGGTACTGTTTCAGATCCTTGCTGCCCCATGGTTGAGACAACACACCTTTGAGTTGTCCCCCTTAAATGTCAATAATGCAGCAGGACAGGAATATCATTGGTGCAAGTACCGAGGACAAATGCAAGGGCCGTAAAATGACATAGTTAGATAGTTCACTACTACCCTTCAGCCACAGCCAGTGTTATTTCTTTTTTCAAGCCATTCAACAATCAACACAGACTTGGTCACCTTGCGAGATCTCACTTGGAGACTGAGCTGTATTTCAGTTACTTCCGCAAGCGCCCTAGATTACCTGCCTACAGCATCTTGAGAGCCTCAGGAACAGCAAGATTAAGCCAAATCTTTCAGGAGCTACTCCACTACAAGCTTTCGATCACAGATAACCAACCAAACTTTTAGAAATGCGTAATAATCTCTCTGTTTACTTGTCCCTCTGATACACTGACCCGACCTGCAACAGACATATACCGCCGACGAGCCAGAAACCTCGCATGGTACGACGAAGATGGCGAGCCTCCCAGCCACAATCCCTTCAAGAAGTTCAGATCGCGGCGACGAGCGCGTCGACCGACCGACACCATGTCGATGGACGACTACCAAGACCAGGAACGTATGATCAACGACCCCCAGGCTGCAAACACGTTTCCTCCACCATCGTCCGCAGGCACAGGCAAAACCGAGACCAACGGCACCGCTGCTGCCGCTGGGCTACAGAACGGTACGGAATCCATACATAGCGCGGCGCCACTGAGCAGGCCGGAATCGGGACATGCCGCGGTCGCTCTCGACCAGTCGGCCGTGCGGCGAAGAACAACGGCGAAAACCGAGTCCGGGAGCGCGCCGGCTGGCGACGGGGCGGTGGAGGATCTGGAGATGCTGGGCGAGAAGGAGGATAAACAGCAGTATACGTTTGTGGGACAGTTGAAGGCGACGTTGCTGAATTCATGGATTAATGTGCTGCTGCTGGCTGCGCCGGCTGGAAGTATGACCTGTGCCCTGGGAGCTGGGGAAGGTGTGTGGTGCTGCAGTGCTGACAGAGGTGATAGTTATCCTGCACTATCTGCAGGTTGATGCCATTGTGGTGTTCGTGGTTAATTTTATTGCGATCATGTATGGTTGACTACCCGCATACCCCAAAAAGGCGTGGTGAGTAGCGAGCTGCTAATACAGTTATAGACCGCTTGCAGGTATGCTGGGCTATGCCACAGAAGAAATAGCCCTGAGGTATTTTCAAGCCCCTCTTTCAAACCACAGTCCCTGCTAACTATGGTAAAAGAACGGGAGAGACCCTCGGTGGCTTGTTGAATGCCACCTTCGGGTGAGTAGACGACCACACTCAGCCTTCGATCATTTACTAACGCCTTGTAGCAACGCAGTAGAATTGATCGTCTCGATTCTAGCACTGTTCAAAGATGAGTTCGTCATTGTGCAGACATCCCTCATTGGGAGCATGTTGTCGAATCTGCTGCTGGTGATGGGCATGGCCTTTTTCTGCGGCGGAGTCAACCGCCTGGAGCAGAATTTCAACGTCACCGTCGCGCAGACCGCAGCCAGCTTGCTGGTGTTGGCGGTTGGGAGTCTCATTATCCCTACGGCGTTTCATGCATGGTCAAATGGTATTTTCCTGTCTCCTCATGGCCTGTCTTGATAACTGACACGATCGCAACAGCTGGAGAAAAGGGAATTGCCCCTTTATCACGAGGTACTCACATCCCATGCACACCAACCACCGCAACCAAACAACGAAACTAACCTCCTTCTCAGGAACCAGCATCATCCTGCTCGTCGTGTACGGCTGCTACCTCTTCTTCCAGCTCAAGTCGCACACAGAGATGTACAACAAGCCCAGCGAGAAAGTCGAAAAGCGGCGCGGCAAGGTCGAGGACGGCGATGCGCTCAAGGGCCTCGCGCAGATCGGCGCCGGCATGTCGGCGAGCATGGGCGGCCACAACGCGCAGCGCATGCCGGTGCATGCTCCAGTGGAGGATGAGCAAGAGGAGCCGCAGCTGCATCTTTTCGTGGCGCTGTTCACGCTGGCGGCGTCCACGGCGCTAGTGGGCGTGTGCGCCGAGGGTCTGGTATGTCACAGCCCCTCCCCACCCTCCCACGGACTCTCAAAGTCAGTTCAGGCGTTGCTTATTTGGGGGTGTGGGATTAGGTCTCGTCCATCGACGCGATCACCACGCGAGGGCATATATCCGAGACGTTTGTCGGGCTGATTCTGCTGCCGATCATCGGCAACGCGGCGGAGCACGCCACGGCGGTCACGGTGGCCATCAAGGACAAGATGGACCTGTCCATCGGCGTGGCAGTCGGGTCGACCATGCAGATTGCGCTGCTTGTTCTCCCGCTGCTGGTGGTGATTGGGTGGATCGCAGGTATGTGTTGGACATATCATATCTCCTCCATGGGCCTGACTACTGACCGGGAGGTGGTGACCTTGCAGGCAAGGATCAGATGGTAAGTTTTCAGAGTCTCTGGAACCGAGAAGCCCGCTGACGGGAACACACCAAAAGACGTTGTATTTCGACGGATTCCAAATTGCAGTGCTCTTCGTAGCCGTGCTCCTGGTAAGGGGGTTCTCTCCGCGGCATATCCGCATCCTGGCTAGTTAGCACCATCGGCTAACCACCCGCGGCCAAACCCAGGTCAACTACCTCATCCAGGACGGCAAATCGCACTGGCTGGAAGGCGTACTGCTCATGACGCTGTACCTCATCATCTCCGTGGCTGCATGGTAAGTCCAGGACGGGGGTCGTTGTTGCTTTTTGTTGTCGTGCCCAAACGGGGCGCTTCCAGGCTGGACTGACACGCTTGCACAGGTTCTACCCTGCTAAATCCAAGCCCGTCGGGGCGTAATCGGGCGGCTGAGGCAGCTTGAGCGTGTAGTTAGTAGGAATTAACGTGTGTACTCCGTAGCACGCATGCCTGTCGGAGCTCGTGAAAGCAACCCCCTGATTCACTGTCACCTTCCCAATACATCCGTAAGCTCTTCAAGGCGTAGCTAGCTAGCTAGCTAGGAAGTTAATGACCGGCCCGGGATCTGGCAGTTGACTTCCCAACCCGCGTCAGACACCCAAACACCACCGCCCGGCCAGCGCCCCGAAGAGCTGAAGCGATCCCGACCGGCCCGTCGTACGGCGCGCGTGCTTTCTTTTTTTTTCTTCTCTCTCTTTTCTTTCATTCCCATGCTTGTCGTTGCTTAGGCGAAGGCGCGTTGCTTTTTTTCTTTCCGCGCTCGTGTAACTAACTAACTCAACCAGGCCGATAAACGACGCCGACGGGCGGCAGCGTAGGCAGGCTGAGCCGGTCAGGAATGGAATAATAATAATGATCAAGACCTGTTCTCTCCTTTTTTTTCTCTCACGAAGGGCACAAACGACCCGAAGGATAACTAGTTAGGTTAGTTAGTGAGTTTAGTCAACTCACCGCCCGCCCCCATGCTCAATCTCAATGCAGGCATCCCTCCGAAGTCCGCCATCGTAAAAAAAAAAAGAAAAAAACCAAAAAAAAAAAAAAGGCACGGAGTACAGCCCGCCCCTGACCGGGCGTTAGCACGGATGGATGCCGTGGCCGCCGTCGTAGGGCCGGGCATGTGTGCCCAGGAAGGAGAGTAGTAAGTAGTATGTATGTAGTAATGTGGTAGAATAATATTCTTTTCAAGGCTGAGCGGAAGCTGAGGCCCGCTGGAGGTCCCGCCAAGCCCCCCCCCCCCCCAAAGCTGTTAACGTCACGTAACTAGTAGTTCTCCCAGGCAGAACACCCATGCTGCCCCTAAGAATAATCCCCGAGCCCGAGCCGGCAGATGCTTGCATGTATGCATGTACTCCGTGCTCCGTATGGATAATAATTCCTTCCAGCCCGCCAACGCTACTTCGGCATGTGTTCGCGCGAGCGATCCTCGGAGGGCCATGGCAGGGCAGGATAGGGTTGGGCCTGGGTTGAATCCGAGAGCTCGGTCCGGGGGGGCAAGTTCGTTTCGAGACTTTTGTCTGGTAAGCTAACAATACTACTAAAGAGTAACGGGCACTCGGTAGGTAGTTACGGGTTTCGCCGAATGGAAACCAGCATACGGAGGTTGCTCTACACCCTCATATTCCGGGACGGGGAATCGGAAAGAAAAAGGAGGGCAGGGCAGGGCAGGGCAGAACAGGACAGGGGGAGAGGGGAATTCCGGACTGCGACTCGGCAGCGGCGAGGATGCGATGATGGGTATGTGCATGACAACTGCTACGGCGAGCATGTGGGTGCGTGCGTGCATGCGTGCGCGCGCTCCTTTTGCCTGAGAGCGGGTGTACGCGTATGCCCGGCTCCGTCCGTCGGGTTGATCCTGTTTCACGCCCCGGCGCCGGGAAACGGCTGGGAAGCACCGCAGGAGAAGGAGGAGGAGGAGTAGTCCGTGGCCCGATTCGCAACCGAGCAAAAACACTAGGCCGCCTGTGCATATGGTTGTGACACGAGGTTGCGATTGCGATGGCGACTGCGGTGTGCGGAGAAGCTTCAGCGCAGATGCCGATAGGGAGGAGTATGGAAACTACAGCTCGCTTCCCGGCTCGGTGGTTGGAAAAGAAAAAAAAGGAAAAAAAACTCCGAAAGAATCCCATTTGACCCGTATTGCCAATAGTAATAGTAGTATGTATGCAGTTAACCGATCCAACGCAGCGTGTTTTTGAGAACCAATAGCCATCCAAAGGGGAGATGAGGGATATCAAAAGAAAAAAAAAATGTACGCCAACAAGGTAGGTATCCGAACAGCCCTGAGGGCTCTATAGAGTAAAGGCCAAACACAACCAACAGACCGCAGATGGTGTATCAAATTCAGGGGTAATCGCACATCTGGGCGAAAAGCAAGCAAGCAAGCAGCAGTCCCATAGCCAAAAAAAAATGAATAACAGAAGAGGTATCTAGCAACAAAAAAAAAGAGTAACTATAGAGTCCGACGTCATAACCCATTGCACTTTTTGGCTGTATATTTCATTTCCCAACGTCACCCCAAGTCCCTCCAATCCAAAGAAAAAAAAAAAAAAAAATAGATAGTCTTTCTAAACCCAGAAAAACAAGAAAAAAAAAAAATAAATAAAACAACTTCTCACCGCACGACCGCGCCCTCCCACAGCACGCCCAGCCAGCCGGCAGCCGCGCCGCGCCGCACAGCCCACGTGTCCAGGCCCTCGCCCTCCATGAAGGCGCGCACGTCGTCGGCGGCGGCGGCCAGCGGCGGCACACTCCCAGCGGCGTCCACGGCCCGCGGCGAGACGACGCGCGGGGACGCGGACAGCGCGGCGCGGGACTCGGGCGGGGTCAGGCGCGCGCGCGCGTGGGCGTTGGCGAGCTGCAGCTGGTGATGCTGGTGATGTTGGTGCTGGTGCTGGTGCTGGTGCTGGTGATGGTGGTGGTGGTGATGGTGGTGGTGGTGTAGGAGGTGCTGGGGCGGAGCGGGCGGCTGGGCGGCGGGCTGTACGGCGGCGAGCGGCGGGGCGGGGAAGGGCGTGTGGGCGTGGGCCGCTGGGAGTAGGGCAGGTAGCAGCGAGGAGAAAGGAGGCGGTGGGCGGGTAGTGGTGGTGTTGGGGGTGGACGAGGAGGTGGACGTGGAGGAGCTGGTGGCCGCGGACGGGGCGGGCGACGGCCACGGGTGCGTGTGGTGCGGGGGAGCCGGGCGCGCGCACGAGACGGCGTAGGCTGGCGGCGAGGCCGGCGGCAGGTTCAGGATGGACGGCAGCGTAGGGGCGGTGGTGGTAGGGGCAATGCTGGTGCTGCCGGCGCGGTCGGGCTCGATGGGCCGCAGCGTCGCGCTGTTGCCGTCGCGGTGCTGCTGCTGCTGCTGCTGCTGCTGCTGGTGGCCGTTGACCGGCACCCACGCGTCGCGCCGCTCGTCGCTCGCCTCGCTCTTGACCGGCGGCGGCTCGTCGCCGTTCGCTGTAACCGCAGCAGCCGTCACCATCGCCGTCGCCGTCGCCGTGTCGGCCAGTTGATCCTCCGGCGCGCCCAGCTCGGCAAACAGAACATCCAGCAGCCGTAGCTCGTCACCACCACCACCACCACCACCAGCATCTCGTATCACCGCTGCTTCCGGCACCACGCCAGCCTCCGACTTCCGAGGCCGCCGCGCGCGGCCCACAAACGCATGCAGCCGGTGCAGCGTGCGCAGCCAGCCAGCAGCCAGCGGCAAGCGGTGGCGCATGGCGGCCAACAGCTCAAGGGCGCGGCGCACGGCAACCTGGCCGGACGGGCTGCACAGCGCGGCGTCCGCGTCCGCGTCCACGGCAGCAGCACCACTACTGCTGCCAAAGTGCGCGGCGTACACGCCCAGCAGCGCGGCCTGGTAGATGGCGAAGCCCGCCAGCGGCGTCTCGGGCAGCACGCCACGCTCAAAGCACGTCGTGGCCAGCTCCAGCAGCTGGCGGGCGGCACGGAACGCATCGCGCGCGCCGTCGCGCCAGAACTCGTCCAGCGGCGGCGGCAGCAGCAGCGGCACGGCGGACGGCTCGTGGTCGGAGTCAGCCGTGGCAGCGCCCAGCGGCAGAAACGGCATGTGTGCGCGGTGCAGCACGATGACGGCCAGGAAGTACAGCAGGTGCATCAGCGCGTACGCCGCCAGCGTGGTCTTGTACATCAGGTGCGTGTCGGTGTTGCGCGCGCTGTACTGCAGGTTGCGTGGCAGCGCGTCCTGGAACTCCAGCAGCGACTCCTTCAGCCGGTGGAAGCGCGACTCGGGGTGCCACGGCGCATACGGGTCGGTCCTGCAGAGGGTTCTTGTTAGATCATGAGTTAACGCGTGAGATATCGGAATGCCCGCTCACCTCCGTCCGTCGCCGCACGACCACTTCGCAACCCGGCCCCAGACCCGGATGATACGAATCAGCCGGCTCAGCACACACTCCTCGGCGCCGACCTCCCAGCGCTCGCGCCCAGCGTCCACGCCGTCACTGCCGCGCCGGTGCAGCGCGGGCAGCTGGCGCGGGGGATCCAGGCTGCGCGCGCGCGCCGAGCCGCCCGCAGCACCAGCACCAGCAGCAGCACCAGCAGCAACCACAGCATCGTCGAGGCGCGCGGTGCGCACGCGCTCGCCAAAGGCAAAGGCCTGGTCGCTGGGCAGCTGCAGCGCGAGGTGGCGGCGCTTGATCATGCGCGGGCGCGCGGCGGCGCCGCTGCTCAGCAGCCGGTCCAGCACGAAGCAGCTCCAGAACGTGCGGCGGCGGATCTCGCGCTCGATCACATCGTCGGCGCTGCCGTCCTGCTGTCGTTGAGGGTCATCGTGGTTGTCGTTGTCGTCGGCGTCGGCGTCGGCGTCGCGCGCCAGCCCCAGCGCCTGTGCCAGCCGCACCGCCATCGCCACGTACAGCGCCGCCGCCGGCCCGCGGCACATCCCCCACTCGTGCAGCGCCAGCATCAGCAGGCCCTGCACGCGCGCCAGGTCGGGCGCGGCCAGGTCGGCGCCATCGGGGCCCGCGAGCCGTGCGCGCAGCGCCGCGGCGTAGTGCTCGGAGGCAGCGAGGGCGGCGGACGGGTGTGGGTGTGCGGTGGTCGTGTGGTAGGCGTGGTGGTGTGCGGCCACCAGCGGTGCGTGGAAGCGTGCGGTCAGCGTCAGCACGCCCAGCAGCAGTAGCGGGCGGGCGGCGTCGGGCGGCGGGCCGGGGCTGGGGCGCGGAGAGGGCGCAGAAGCAGTGGTGGTAGTCGGCGTCGCCGCGGCGAGGGCGCGGGTGTGGGCGAGGAAGACGGCGGGGTGCAGGAAGGGCAGGGCCGCGGCGCAGTGGCGCTGGAAGAGGTCGAACAGCGTCTCCCAGACAGGCGGCGTCAGCACGGCCGGGTCAAGCAGCAGCGGCGGCGGCGAGCGTGCGCCGGGCAGCGCGGGTGGTTTGTGGGCGGCATCGCGGGCAGGCTTGCGTGGGCGTGCGCGCTTGGGGCTCTGGCGGGCATCGGGGTCGTCGGGCAGCTCGCGTTTGGCAGCGGCGGCGGCGGTGGCCGGAGGGCCACCAGGGTGGCTGCTGGCGGTGCTGGACGGCGCCGGGTAGACGCACTGGCGGCCGGACGAGTCGCAGGCGCGGCAGGTGGTGTCGATGCCGGCGTTGACGCACTTGATCTTGCTGCGGCGGCAGCGCGCGCACGCGATGCTGGAGCGCATGGTGTTGGGGGGTGTTCGGCGAGGAGGGTGAGGCAGGAGATGGGGTGTGGGAGCCAGGCGGGCGCGCGGCCGGCTGGGGAGGGAAGAGAAGCAGACAAACAAGCCACAACACAAGCAAGAGAGAAAGAAAGAAAGAAAGAAAGAAAGTAAGTAAGTAAGAAAGCACCACGAGCCGAGCACGCCGTTAAAAGACGGCCGCCGGGTTGCCGGAGAATGCGCTGCCGCCGCCGCCGCTCGGGACGCCCGCAGGCCAGGCCAGACAGGCAGACAGGCTGCCAGGCAGGCCAGCCTCGGCGTGCCTGATCGCCGTCGGGGGACCTTGCGCGCCCTGGGCGCCTGGGCTGCTGGGCTGCTGGGCTGCTGGGCGGCGCTGCCCTAACTAGTGAACACTGATCGCCCGGCGATTTATCGGCTCCGCCCGCGCGCCCTCCCCCCCCCCCCCCCCCCCCCCCCCCCCCCCCCCCCCCCCCCCCCCCCCCCCCCCCCCCCCCCCCCCCCCCCCCCCACCCCCCCCCCCCCCCCCCCCCCCCCCCCCCCCCCCCCCCCCCCCCCCCCCCCCCCCCCCCCCCCCCCCCCCCCCCCCCCCCCCCCCCCCCCCCCCCCCCCCCCCCCCCCCCCCCCCCCCCCCCCC